ACTATTTGTATTGCAGCTAATTTCTTTTATAGTTTTAAGAAAGATTTCTATATTTAAAATGATGTTAAAATCTTAAAACACTAAGAACAAATAACTTTTATCAACGCCTCACAATAAGTCAATATAAATGTTATTATTTTTCTTTTTAAAATTAACACAGAACAAACAACAAGAACTATAAGAAAATCACACAACTCCTTTCCATTGAAGATCCCTTCTCCTTTTAAACACTCTCTTTCTGCTAGAAATGTGAGTACAAGCGTGCGTGAACGTGCGTGATTGTGAAAGTTTAAAAAGCACTAGAGTTTTTTGAACCTGCAATTAAAGGAAATTATTAAATCACGCTTTTATTTAAATAAATATTCAATTAAATCAATGAATCAAATAAGCTTATGTTGAAGAAAATGCTTCTAATATCAATGCCAAATAAAATATGAATTCATTTAACAAAATAAACTAATATTTGAATTAAAAAAAAAAGAAGCGTATTCAATAAATATTCAATTAAATCAATGAATCAAAAAAGCTCATATTGAAGAAAACGCTTCTAATATCAATTAAAAATAAATACAAATTGATTTAAAAAATAAACTAAAATTTGAATTCAAAAAAAGAAATGGATATATATCAATAAAATAAACAATACATTTAAAAGATATTGATATTATTTTCGGGACTATATTTTTATAGTTACGTTAAGTTAATTTAGTAATACAAATAAGCTTTATTAGTCGACAAATTGTGAAAATACTCCCAAAAATATGTGTGTGATTACGAACGTTTAATAAAGTGGATATCGCGAATGTGACTCCCCTTTTTTTTCTCACGCACAGGGTTCTACTGTCTACCCAGTTTTCAACCTGTCGCTTGGGTGCGCTTCATGAACCGCATTCACTTTATGGCATCCACAGTTGGAAACTTTTCATTCAATTCACTTAAGTTTCTTTTGCATTTTCTTGCCGCAACATTTTGCACTTACCTCTGAACCTTGTGCCCCCATATTTGTGCTACTTTGCCACGTGAATGTAGGGCTGGAAAGGACGAGGTGGAGAAGGGATGCGAAAACTTGCGCCAACTTTCGACGCAAAGTAAAACATGAAAATGTTGCCAGTTGTCATCGTTACTCTTGTTCTTGTTGTTGTTGTTGTTGGTGCTGGTGCTGGTCGTGCCTGCCACAAAGCGTTGTTGTTGCAGCTAATGGTGTTTATTGCATTTACTATACTCTCCTGCTGGCACTTAAATCGGCATCAAGAGGACAGTGCGGCAGACTGAATGGCGGACCAACGGGCGGGCCCACTGAAGTGTGACACTGTTGCGCTCAGCACGGCCATGGGGATGTCGCTGTCTATGAGGACTGTGAGGTGCTTCGAGAACACCTGCAGCCAAAGCCGAACTTCAGCTGGCACGCAAATATCCTGCAGGCGATAAAGCAGACAGGCAACAATAACTAGCAGCAGAATCTTCGAGTCCAAGTCAGCTGCCAGCGCCGGCCGTGTGGAAGAAACTACAAAATAAATTCGCAACAAACAAAGTATACAAGGCGGCGGCGGTAGAAGATGGGGGCGCCGGCTAAAGGATCAGATGCCATAGCAGGTTGTCCAATGCGTTTTTGCTCAAAGCCGCAACTGCGGGCGCCAACAAAATGCGCAGATGGCAGCCGCATTGCTGGCTGGCTTTGGCTTCACTTTTTGGTTTCTTGCAAACTTTGATTAAATCACACGAAAAACTCGACTGCAAGAAAGTAAAACGTTGAGTAGTATGTGGGTGGACACATTTAAGTGGTTAGTGGGGTGAGGTGGGTTGGGGTGGTGAGGCAACTAAATAAATTCATTAAAGTATTAAATGATTAAATGCCCCTGCACCGCAGCGCATCGTAGTAGAGAAACGTGTCGTCTGGCTAAGCTGAAATAGCCCGTAACTCGACTTAAATGGATTAATGTCGGCTGTGATTGTACATATTGTCAGTGCGACTACACCAAGAACGTTGAATTGAACATTTAGTTGTAAGATTTACGACATGAGGTTCGACATAAAAACGATTAATTAATGAGCAAAATCTAATCGAACACGACAACGTATGCGAAATCCCAACTCGAAGTGGATTTAACTAGTTTAAGGATATGAATATTTACTCTACAGATGAGAATGTCATCGACTTTGCACTCTTTCTTGTCGCTATTTTGGAAGAACATGGAAGAGCAGATTAATTAAATTTGAATCTGAAGATCATATATTAAATGCGTCTAAGAGTCTAGAAAGTTTCAGCCTTCGTACTAAACAAAACGAAGCACATTATTAGCACGATTTATGACGATGACTAAAAAAATACCGCCTTATCTGTAGAAATTTTGAATATGATCAACTTTATTTACATTTTAAAGGGAGGTTAATTAATTGAAGTTTAATACATAAATGCTATTTCTCCCTTAAATCGATTTCATTAGGATTCTAATGGGAGATATGACGACAATCTGTTTTCATTAAATTTATAAATTTTTGAGGAGTTCTGGTGATGAAGTAGGATGTGCCATATTATTAGCCCTTTCACTGTATGTCAAAAATAACCACTTAGGAAATGACCTGAGAATCCTTTAAAATAAACGGGTTAGATTTATTACTTGCCTGGTTATGTTCTTCATATTAAGAAATAGAAATAGAAGGACCCTTAACTGAACTTTTTGGTCTCGTCCACAAAAACTTTTAATCGTTTGTGAGTTCGTTGGTGGGTGAAAATGATTTCCATTTATATTTCGAACTAACTCATGTCTCAAGTACCATATTATCAGCCATTTCAAGAAAAAGCTTTGGAAATGAACTGAGAATCCTTTAAAATAAACGGGCTGGATTTATTACTTGGCTGATTACGTTCTTTTTATTAAGAAATACAGTCCACAACATTTCTCGTCTCGTCTTTTAAACATTTGTGATTTCGTTGATGGGTGAAAATGATTTCCATTTATATTTCGAACAAACTCATGTCTTTTCAGCCCAAAAGAATTTATTAATTTGTATGCCAACAAGTGCAGATCAAAGTTTTATTAGATTCCATTCCGAAAAAGAAACCCCACAACTTTTATAGTGGATGTCTATTTGATAGGGAAACCACGCAGCATCAGCGTACAGAAACAAATACAGACATAAATACAAATAATTTATTAATTATGCGCAACCAAAACACGGACATAATGTGCTTTAATAGAACCGAACGCAAGCCTGCCAAGTTATTTGATGAATGCAAGCAATTTATCTTAATTAAACTTGAATTACAACTTCTGAATACCTCTATTGATTTATGAGTGACGGCGCGTATTGCTGTTGATGATGATGATAACAATGATGGTTTCAGGCTCTTCTCCTGAACATCTCTGGCTGTGATTACCGACAACCTTGGGTATACGTACCAAAGTGTAGTTCACTTTGTTCCTTGGCACTTGGCAAACAATTCATTAGCAGCTGACAAAGTTGCTCTGCGAAGAAAACTAAAATGAAAAGTGCAACGATTGAAATATAAGGCGATGGCGATAATGAGAGCCTAAGTGGCAGCCACAAATAGAAAAAATGGAAGAAGAAAAAAAAGCGAAACAACAAGTCAACGATACATTGAAGTCAAGATACAATGCAGCGCTTTTGTCTTTTCAATTACGGCAAAGCGTCAAACTTTTGCGCAATTATTTCCGCGAGACAATCTTCCCAGTCTCTGACAGTTTTTTATGAGACAGCGCAAAGTTCACTGTGTGCCGCAAATCAATGCTGTTGTTCTTATTGTAGTTGCAAGTTTTTCTCCAACCAAGACACTTGATTTTTCAATTTCGTGCAATTGTTGTCTGTCCCATTAATGTTTGTTGAATGGCGAGATCTGCCACTTGGCATGCGAACTATTAATGATATAGCGTCGTTTGATATTGTTGTAAAAAAATACATTTCAAATACTTATATGTGGGTAGCAGATGCGATTTTTATGAATAATAATATTTCGACTACAAAAAGCAGATTGCGTAGATTTGTGACTTATTGATTCGAAACAAGCACTTAAACCTCTTTATTCTCACTCGAGTATTGTATTGATTAGGTTTCGCAAAACAAAACAAATAAACGGTCCCAAAATAACCAGCTGTTGACTTTAAGAACATTCCGCTGCTCTCCATTGACCCTAACAGTCAGTTGAGTATTTGTCGTGGCAAACATGTTCAGACTTTATGTTTGCCTGCCGGTTCAGAGAAATTGACACGGCGCTTCATTTAATTGCGCAAACTTTGACCCTAATGAAGGCGAGGCCGGCGCAGCTAATGTCGATAAGGTCAGTGGACGGCCCCCATAAAAATGTGCCATAAAATGGGCGACCGTTGTCGGCAAATGATGTGCGAGCCGAACATTAGTTCCGCTTATCAGTGCCTCAATGTCCTGCGTTCAGGATATTTATAAATACGTCCTTGCTGGGCCAACAAAGTGCGGAGCTCTCGTGTCTCTGAATGGCGACCGGCTGTTGCTTTTCTCTTAATTCTTCGTCGCATGTCGTTGACTTCTGTATGGTCGGAAAATTAATTTTGCTTTCTCGAAGGCTTGTGGCTGGTGGGATTGCTCATTAGTGAAATAATTGGCAACTAATTGGCAACAGAGCCGAGCTGGCCAGTGGATTATTGAACAGATCAAAAAGAAGACTACTTGCTGGGCACATGCTGGGACTTGCAAAAAGAATGCAATTCTTGTGGTTCATGTCAAATGGCTTGCAAATATCTACTTAATTAAGGCGGTTGCTTCATGGCAAACAATTCAGGTATTTAATTAAACAAAGACATTTGCGAACAACTTTCAGTTTGGTGGTCACCATAAGTAGTGGCACATTTGCAAAGGATTTTCCAGAAAAACAGCAGCTAAACTTTTCGCAAAACATCTAATCATAAAGTGGCAAGAAAAGGTGCATTAACTTTATCTTTGAAAAAAAATGGGAATTTTTTCCAAAAACCCGCCCGATTTCTCGTGAATGAATGCACTAATAAGAATTGCGTGATATACCCGGCGGCTATTTATTACAAAAAGTTCACAGCGAATTTAGATGCATTTTGTATGCAGGTATACGATTCTAGTGGATTGGAATATGTCTAGAAAACCGAACCATACATTACAAATTTTGAATTACAAATATCAAAGGCATAATCTGTGAGCGAATCTATCTGTCTACTCCATAGAAACTGGCTGACTGAGCACCAACTCCCACTTATCTGGCTCTGCTGTTGGATCTTCTTTTGGTGCGGCACAGCGATTGCATTTCTCCCGATACCAAAAGTTCACATTGAAACAATAACCGCACTGCCAGTCGCTCTTCAAGGGTCGCCAACGCCGTTTCGATGATTTCTGCGGACTCTGTTGGATCACCTCGTCCTTGTGGGCCAGACAGCGATTGCAGTTAAGACGCCACGTAAAGTTGCTATTCTTGCATTTGTCGCACACCCAATTATCGCTGGCGGGCTTCCATTTCCGCTGACGGTGACGTCGTTGCTGATCCGTGCCCGGCTCCCTGGGATAGCTGTAGCGAACACTGTTGCCCTTCTTGGTGGACAGATAGGCCTGCAAAACGGTAACCACATGGCCCATAAATCTGTTGCCACTCAGAATGTGAATTGCCGCTTGGGCCGAATACGGATTAGCGTAGGTGATGGTGGCCTCGCCTTTGGACCGACCCGTCTGCTTGTTCTTATACACAAAGATTTTTGGCTTATTGGTGGTCTCGTCAACCTGGATTGGACCCATCTTGCCGAAGAACAAAACAATGTCGTTCTTTGTCACATTGTAGCGCATCCCCAGCACAAAAACCGTGTCTGCCTGCATCACATACTGCTCCTGCCCCACCTTAATGGATTGAGGGGCCCGGGGCGCCATATGAATGTATTGCATGGCCCACGGACAGACCATTTGTTGCTGCGTCTCCATTGGCTCGGGACTGGTGCTGGCCTGCTTGGTGTGGGTGTTGCTGTCGCTTTCGCTCTCCTGGACCAGACCCAGCACAAGCTGACTGTTCGAGGAGCCCATCAGTATGCTGGAGCTTAAAGCGTCCGTTGTCGTTGTTGTAGTCGTGGTTGTGGTGGTTGTCGTCGTCGTGGTGACGCTGCTGCCAATCTCGCCATCATTACAGAGGGCAGCCAACTCATCATCCTCCTCTCCAAAGATGAATGCACTGCGGGCATCGCCGCTGCCATCCTCAAAGCGAAAGAAGCCATTGCCGTTGTTATCGTGGAGTGGAGGGGCACCCATGCCATCGCCCAGCGTGAGACTTGGAAAATTTGGATGTTGAAAACCAAAGAAATTTTGTGCAAAGAAAGGATTGGTGTACAGATTTACCGTCGATATGTCCATGTCAGTAAAATTGTAAAACTACAAACGATGATAAACTACGGCTATTTTTATATACTTTTGCTATTGTGTATTGTGTTTTTTTCTCTCTAAAAATAAATACGAACCGATCCTTATCAAATAATCAAAACTACTGAAATCTTTGAAATCAAGTCGAGAGCAGAACAAATGAAGTATAAAGCCAAAATGATTGCCAACTCAAGGCTGGCTGGCAACTTTCTCCATTTCTCTAATTATTCTCAAGTTGATCGATATAGGCGAAAAGTTGCCTCTTCCCATAATTTTCCCACCCAATAGGCACTATTAAGCTTCAATTAGCATATAACGTGGATGAAAATATATTCTCTGCCAAGTGGAGGTGAATGCAAAGTTGTCCGGTTGAGAGGCAAACTGCAGCGGAGCCAGAGTCAGACTCAGAGGCAGAAACAGAAGCTGCCATCACTTATGCAACAGCCTGAAGAGCTTGGCTCTTCCTCCTCCTCCTCCTCCTCCTCCACCTCCATCTCCTCATCCACACAACCAGCCTTGCCTCTTTCTATGCTGAGAGTGAAAAATTGATTCATAATTTTCAGCATTTTCATTTTAATCAGCAAAGTTTGATTACATTTTCATGGCCTTTTGCCGAAGAGGTGAACCCAAGACGGTAAGGCAACATCTGATAAATATTTGCAAAAAGAAAAAAACAGTTTAATTTTTTCACGAGCCAGAGGGTCCCAATGAGTTGTGAAGCTGTGAATTAGAATACAAAAAAAAAAAAAAGGCGCACAGGAAAACAGCTTCAATTTTCAAATTTTCAATTGCCATAAAATCCAAACTTGAAAACTATCCGCAAAATATAAAAAATAACAAATACAGAGTTTAAAGGACTATCAGGCATATTTTTGATTCGAAAAACTAAATGCACTTAAATTTGACAAAAATTTAGTTATTTGGTTTTTATACTTTTAAATCGAATTCAAAAACGACAACAGGCCTGTATGTTTTAAAACTTTACTTGAATTACAACACATTTAAGCGGGCATTACCTCTTCGCTATACCGGTACCATCACTTATACAGAATACTGATGGAAAAGAAATTATATGCATATCATATGCGCACGAAACTATTATGCCCTTTGGTTACGGGGTATAAAAATAAGCAAGGAGCGTATTTTTGCCTTACTTTTTAAATTTTTAATTCTTAAATATGTGTTATAATAATAATATTAAAGGGCATAATGCTGAAGAGGTGCTAAGACAATATTCCAAAGTAAGTTGCTAATCCCAACATGGATTCACATCATGTAAAATACTTACCTATGTACATACATAAGTATGTTGTAAAAATTCGTAATTTACGTTTTTTATTCCCTTTTAATCTTTATTTAAGATCTGTCCTAGGTTGGACAGTTATTAAACTTTACGATAACTTTGAAGTTTCAATCTGTCTTCAGCCTTGATGGTTGCGGCGTGATTTGAACCAAAACCCTACTCAGAAACAAACATTGTGGGACTCCTGCTAGCTCGTTAAGGATATGCTAGGCACCGAATTTACGATTGAAATGGGAATAATAGATTGCTTTGTCATGTTTTCTCACTAATAACTGTTATATTTTGCCTTAAAATGGATCTGAGTTGGATTTGTTGAAGTTTTTTCATTGATCATATGCATGTTATTTTTTAAATGCATCGTGCATTATTTAATCAAAATTTTAATTTTTTGGCCCCCCTCTTTGGTAAAAGCTGCCTACGCCCTTGCTTTTGTGTATTTGCCGGGACTTCCCTGTTTAGATGCCCGTAACATCGGTATTTTTAAAAAAATCGATCGAAACATCGAATCTAAAATCATCGAGTTAAAATCGAAAACAGTCCCTTATGTAAACATCGATACATTGATGTATCGATGCATATTTACATCACTAATACAGATACTTGTATTAGTTGGTGCCTCCCACTATCGCTAAATCGCATTGTTGTGCCCACAAAATGGCCAACTGCTGTTCACCTGTGTGGTAAACATAATAGATATGTAGTAGCATGTAAATGGGCATAAATGGGCTTCCAAATATATCAGTTATTTTGCCTTAGATCCATCGAAAGCTACTGTTAGTGTCGGTTTGCGTGGGTGGACCCATTACAATTGTACTTGTAGTGTATCCCTAATGATGGTAACGGGGCCCGGGGGCCGAAATCAGCGCCGAGAATTTATTGCTTTGTGCATGTTTGTAGTTACAAAACAGTGTAATCGTATATGTATGTATATAAGTATACTATACTATATACATATGTATATACATATGTATCCAAGCTGCAGGCAGTCTGTGTTTGCTACACATTTGAATTTGGCAACAGCAGTAACAACAATAACAATAACAACAACAACAGAGCAGCAATGCCAAAACCTTAGCCGACACTTGCTGTTGCTGCCAGCTTTTGATGTTTTGGCGCCTGCGTGGGTGGGTGGGGGTTGGGGGGGTCTATATACGTGTGTGTGTGATACACACAGTTGGAATACAACAAATAAAATATGTACGTGTCTAAATTTTAATATGCTCTCGTGTCTGTCTCTCTGTTTGCATTTTCTTCATACCATTGCCAGTGCCAGCAGAGCTCAGACAGCTCTTGTTATTCTGGTTGCCTTCTTGGCCTGTTTATTTGACTTTCTATTTATTACACGGCATAATGAAATTTCACGTAATCCTCATTAAATGAAAAGAGCACAAAGTAACTTTAAGTGTTGCGACTCGTTCGCTTTTGTGCATTGCTAAGCGTTTGCTTAGTTACGAGTGTGTTGACAACTCTATTATTTGTATTTGTACGAGAGGATATCACCTTACACTATTCAGGTGGTCTGCAGTTGGGGTGCTGACGAGCACCTCAATCAAATGGCAAAATGTATCGAAGCACACTTTACCTTTCTAGCATTCATTCACTTTTGTTTGATTGCCATTCCACGTAGTACTGCAGAGATTATCGAATTCTGGAGCAGCTATATGCACGTACTCTACTGCCAAACTACTATACACTCAGAAAAGTACATTTTCGAGGTGTCCAACAAACGCAATTAAGTTGAGAAAAATATTACCCCAAAAGGGTAAAAGGGTATATTAGTTTTATGCGAGAGTGTACATGTAACACACAGAAGTAGGCCTGGCAGACCTGATCAGGGTGACAAACCGAGTCGATATAGTTATGTCCGTCTGTCTGTCTGTCCGTCTGTCTGTATGAACGCAAAGATCTCACAAAGTATAAGAGCTAGAATAACCAAACTTGGTATTTAGTTTCTCCTAAGCTCGCGAAAGGGCAAGTTTGTTCATTTTTTCCGATGCACCCCTCCCCCCCCCCCCACTCCCACTCCATTCTTGATTTTCTCTAACTTACCCAATTTTTGCAATTTTAAAAGTTTTGTAGTCACATCCAGTTAGTGATTATGTGTCCGTATATTAAGTTTCATTATGATAGATCAATTAGAAAGAAAGTAACAGCCATAAATATAATCTCTGTCCAAGCTCTGCAACTGCTGTTGTTCTTAATGATGTTTGTTGACATAATTTTGTACTTCAAACAAATGTTTCCACTTATGTATGTATGTATGTATAAAACAATTTTTATTTAATTAAATTAATATTCATAATCTTTTCTTATGTTTGGAAGTGTGTACAAAGTTGAGCCCGCTCGCCTCTAGCATTCCTTCCTTGTTCCTAAATGGAGTTTTCTAATTTTTTGTATTTTATTGGATTGAGAAACGACAATTTCAACAACAAAAATGGTACGCACACCTGAAAGTTATTCGAACAGTAGATTTAGAGAAATGTTTTTGTTATTATTTTATATAAAAAACTTTTCTAGCTTTCAAGTTTTCTGACGATATCACGCACTGTTTTTTCTAAGTGTTTGACTCTCGAGGTAGACGAAATTCTCGCACACACGTCAAATTCAAATAAATCAGACAAAGCAGCTAAATTGTATCGCATTGTTGCGCGATTTTACCTCAACTTATTTTATTTTGCTTTGAGCATTTCATTCTGCCTCTACCTCTGACTGCAAACCATTGCTCTAAATATATAAAACGTACATACATAGATATATACATACATATATAGTCGTCTGGTATTGCATGTCTGTGTGCGGTTTGAATCGATTTTGACTTTCACTCCATGCCACCATTTTGTGCATTCGGCTTTATTATTTTACTCTTTTCGTAAATCTGCTTGTCTGTTACTTTTCGCACCCTTCTCTTGAAATTCGTTTCGTATTCGCATCGCAATGGCAGTTGTGCGGTATGTCCACAACGGAACAGTTGAGGCTTCCAACAACTTCACAATGTGCTGACAGCGCATTTATTTTTCACTTAAATGCAGAAATTTCGACAATACTCCTACATACATACATTCTCGCAAAGTGAGAGCGAAAGTTTCACAGATAAGGTCTTAAATGTGAAACCAAACTTTGTTGCGCTCACTAAATGAAGGATTACAGGAATAGCTGCGTGCTGCAAGGATAGAAAATATGTATATTCGAATTTCTCTAAAACTGCACTTGAAGAGCAGGAGAATGTAAAATTTGCAACTTCTCCAAACTACGTAAGTTCAAATATATAAAAGTTTCGTTTGGCTTGTAGGAACATGTACGTAATGCAAATAGTTTCAAATTCCTCAAAAACTGAACTGTTGTCTTGAAAATAAAAAAATGAACTGTTTAATTGAAAGTCAACTGAGAACTTTGTAATCAGTGCTTCTTCAATTTTCCCATAACCTCATATGCCAGATAAATCAGCAAATCCTATATTGGATATTTCACATCTCTTAAACTTTTTACATCTATTTAAATGAACAATACCATATAGAAGAAGTAACTGATAACATTTCATATCTATTTTAAAAGTTCAGTAGTCAACTGTTGTCGGGCAGACTTACTTGTATATTTCGAAGAACGAGGAGAGCACGAAGGGTTGGACATGAATTGTGATGAAGATGCAGCTTGTTTTTGGTAATTTGATCATTTTTCTATGAGTGAGCTTGAGTTCACTAAAAATGAGTTTAAAAACTTCTATCGATGCCAATCAATTGTTAATCGTTTATTTAGTAATGCGTCTAATTAAATTGTTTCTCTGAAATGCGCTTAAACCTGGCTTAAGCTTGCTCTTTTTGAAAGGATTTCTGCTTGAATTCTATCAATCAATAATAATTTCATTCAAAATTATAGGAAACCAATGGAAATGACTGACAATGAAGGGAAAAACCTCTAAGCTATTTACTTTTCTATTGAATTAGCGAGTTCAATATCTTTATTTTTTACAAATAAAATCTAATATTTTTTATTAAATTGTTCATTTTTTTAGCTTCCGCATTTAGCATTTGTTTGTTTTGGAGAAACTTGAAACAATTATCAGCTGTTAAAGCTTGAAAGACCTTTTAAACTAACCTTATTTGTTCACAATATATCACATTTATTTATTATTAATTGAACACATTTTGGCAATTTTGAACATAAAATTTAGGACACATATAATTACAATGAAAACATTCATTACCCTCTGGTGAAATTCACAACCAAATCAACAAACTTATTCGGCTGATCCTGATGTACTCGATGGCCCGCATCCAAATACACAACTTTCGTCTTTGGGAAATATTGCTTCATTTTCTTCAGAGACGAGGACGTTACGAATTTCGATTGTTTGCCCGCAATGAGCATAACTGGACCTACATAGGGCTTTAGGCCTTTCACAGTTTTCTCGTAATGCGAAACAGTGCTGCTCCAACCTTTAATGATGGCCTCTGGATTCACAGCCCAGGCGAACTCCCCACTCGGCAGCTTGCGAAGATTCATAATAATTAGCTGCAGATCCACATCTCTCTTCACCAGACTGCTGAAATGGGGCAGTACGAACTTCCTGCCTTCGGACAACGAGAGCTCAGTTGGAATTGTTGGTGCCAGGCGCTGCATTAATTCAAAGAGCGCCGGTGTCAGAAACAAGTCCTTGGGAATGCCCACAGGTGTGATATCCACAAAGATGGCGCGCTCCACCCTCTTGGGCTGTTGCAGAGCCAGCGTCATCATCGTTCGTCCCCCCATGCTGTGGCCCAAGGCCACGATGCGGCCCAGTTGCTGCTGCTTCATAAAGGCCAGGACATCGGCGACCATATGGGCGGGCGTGTGACTGGGATTATGCGGACTCAGGCCATGATTGCGTGCATCAACGGCGAGGACTCGTCGGGAGCCCCGCTTTGCCAGATGTCGAGCAACTCGACGCCAGTGGGCACGGGACAAGTTCAGGCCGTGCATCACCACAATGGGTGGCTCCTTAAGCAGACTATGAGGCATCTGGTACACGGCATAGTCCATCTTAACGGGCTGCAGCTGCTGATTGCTGGAATAGTTGCGCCGCCATTGTGCCCTGGGCAAGACCGTGAGATTGCGCAAAAGCACCAATGACATGGAATCCCTGCTTGTTTTTTGCTTATATTAAACACTAATAATTTAAGTTAACAAACTGAAGTGCCTTCTAGATTGCTGTGAAAAGGTGTGCGATTTACTATTATTGAAAAAAATGTATATAAAATTAATTATATGATTTCTCAAGACATGTTTCTCCAAAATTAAAAAGAAGCACATATAATTTATTTACTATTATTGGAAAAAAAATGTATATAAAATTAATTACATGATTTCTCAAGACATGTTTCTCCGAAATTAAAAAGAAGCACATTTAAAAATAATTTTCATAATTTTTTCTTTATTCTTTCTTCATCGTTTACCCTACATTTTATTCAACTGCGAGACAAGTAAGTACTTTTTTCTGTTTTCCCCACATAATGGGAAGTTTAATAATAATTAACCTAAGAGTGCCTCTGAGCTGTTATTTAAATAAGATAGGGCTTGTAATTATGCTGCGGTCTATTGCCAATTGAAATGATTTATCTTATAAAATAGGTTAAAGTAATTTTATTTCACTTTTGTTCCCCAGCTGGTTATAACAAAAACAACAACGGAATGCTATTCTCTCCCAACGTCCTCCTCACACACATACTTACATAATTGTATATTAAGACAGATAAGTCCTTATGTTTGATTTCTTTATTTTGATTAACAAACAAATAAACACATAAGAAAATAACAACTTAAGGAACCACAAATACGTGTTGCCTGTCTAGGTAACCCATCCACTTATTTATAGCTTAACTGCTTAATGCTTTAAAAAGTTACTAAGTAAGAGTAAAAAAAGAAAACTCGTAATTAATTGAACTAAGAAAAAAAAGAAAAAAGAACGAGCAAGTTCAGTTAGTTAGCTTTTCAAAAGTTTGGCAACAAATTTAAATATCAATGAATAATGCATAAACCGATCTAAGGAAGTCATATCTTCTTACATTTATTTCCATGTCATGCTATAAAAATGTTTAATATTCTTTAAAAATGGAATATGCAAATCGGAATTTGTATGGCCAAATAAGACACCTGCCTTCCATCGAGCTATATTCTTGCCCCACAACAAAAAAAAAAAAAAAAAACAAGCTAAAACGCTCTGAAAGCAGTTTGGTTTCAATACTTCCCTTAATCCGCTTAGATTTATACAATATTTAATGCTTCGGCGCCTTGAGTTATGCTACACAAATGCCAGCAGACTCAAAGAATATGGCAACTCATATCGACTTAGCCTAGTCGAGAAATTCATGAACACTGGAGATTAAATTACATCATATTTTATCCACTTTATACAAATAAACAAAATGCATTTATGTGGAAAATTAAGAAGCGGCAAAGAAAAGCGTTGCGAGAAAAACTCAAATCGCACACAAGCACACACATATATCGTAGTGTGTATGCTCTTGAGAGCTGCATAAATCTTACACAGTGTTCAGACGCAGACACAAACAAATCGCCTTTTCCATTTTCCTAGATTTTCATTTTCCTGCAAAAATCAGAAGATTACCAACGACTTTCCTTGCACTTTACCAGTTTTACAACCAGACACGTACACATGCACACACACACACACACAGACAAGCTCATGCGTGCAAAGGCAAAAATAAAAGAAAAATAAAGTAATGCTCTCGTATACAAATCATAATTTTGTGCAATTTGTAATTCAATTTAAATGATGAGCCCTGCCTTTGAAGAGCAGTTGCTTTGACAACCTCTCTGGCATTTTGCTGTTCAAAGCCATGAGTTTGGCAGTCCCAGCACTTCATATCCAATTTCAAGTTATTGACACAATGAAGTGCTCTTGAATTCCACTCTTTTCAACAATTCGAAATGAAACACAAGTTTATTCAGCGGACGGGCACAAAAAAAAAGGGACGCAAGATAAATAAATGAAAAACCACATTTAAAGAAATTGAAAAGATACTCCGAAATGGAAAAAACTACAACTACTGGAATGAAAAGTCAGCACACACTTTTACAAGTATATACATAAATAGAATTCATTCTTTCGTCCTCGTCCCATTTGTTCAATCAACAATGAACTTCGACAAGTCTGATTTCAGTTTTAAAATATATGCAAACTCTAATTCAACGCTTTTGTTAGGCCCTTATTGAGTTAAATTTTTGACAAACATTTCCCAATTGCACACAAACTTTCAAATTGTTCTCCATTTCCATACAGTAGTGCAAATATTGTTGAAAACAGACAGAGCTTTGGCAGCGCAAAATCTTTGTTGCATACAGAGTGTCTTAGCAATACTCTACCAAACAAAATGATTATCCTGGCAGAGTCATTGAGAGCGAACGGCCGGCAAACTTTTATCCGCGCAGGCGAATTACATTTGACATTCAGCGTGAGAGCTGAATACACTTTCGAGTAGTCGAGAGCGCCGTGTAAACAAAAACAAAGGCATGCAACAGTTAAGGGGCAACCGCATTCGGTGTATCCAAAGCATGCTTAATTAGTTAAATAAATGTATATATCTTTGTTTTTGTTGAAGAAAAGTTATAAAAATTAGCCAACTTTAAGTTTTAATTACTCTCGATTTAAAATGTTGGTAATAAACTTTTATGTTCTTTATAAAAAAAATAATTTTAAAATGCTGCATAAAAACGATTGATAAGTATGAATGCAGCTAATTTTAAAATTAAATTAAAGCTTAAGAAAACATTTTTTAAAAATATGCTTTAATAGCCATATGAGCCATATTATTGAAAACTAAGATACTAATTTAAGTAACATTAAACATTTTGATTAAGTTTAAAATTAACTTTTTGCGGAAATCAGGTTGCTAAGTTTTCTAATATGTTTTTATAATTACTTTACATTCAATAATAGTTAGCAATGAAATATTTATAATAATTGAAATCAAAATCATTACTCCTTAAACATTTTTTCTCAGCAAGTACTTTTAATTTTTGTCTTTTTTGAGAATATCCTTAATTGTGTTGTTATTTCACTTTTATTACTATTTTCAAAACTTTTAATTCAATTTTTATTATTGAAATTTTAAAATTCTACATTTATTTTAAAATATTTTACACAAAGGCATTCGTAAATGGAAAAGAAGCATTGAAAACATAATTTTTTCCAGCTTATTCTGGCCAGAAAATGGGAGGACATACAGCAATACTCGATATTGTTACTATCCACTGACGGAATCATTCTTAAAGTACAGCATTTCAATGATTTTGTCGTCAATTTTTGAACTAATCTTTCGGCTATATACTTAAAAGTACTATATATATTTTTCTGCATTTCTTTTGATCGCAAAAACGAATTTTACAGAATGAATCGACCTCCTCCACCTCTTTGCCAACGTCAACTAAACTTTGAACGATTGGAGGATACGCAACCAAACCTATGTCGTAGCGCTACCTCTACCCAAAACCAAGGTCGAGATGACGATTTCTGTGATAATCCATTTGCAAGTAATGCGATGTCTCCTTCATACAAGCTTTTTCAACAGCGCTACATGGGCTGCGAACCAGATGGCTCCAATGGACGAGTTAATGCTTTGGCTCCAAGGCGTCCGCTCTATACCTATGAAGAGTTTCGAAGACTGAATGGCGTGGGCTGCCCAAAATCCTATGCTGAATATCTGGAAAGAGCAACCACAGAACAACAAAAGACCGCCGAGAGTATGAGTGCATTGCCGCCCAAAGTCGGTCTGTTCGAGGAGTTCAGAGCGCAGAGCCTTCTTCCCTACACAAAGAAAAATGGCGGGCACTGCCAGGCAGTTAAGCAGCAGCAGCAGCCGCTTCGCTACAATTGCAGCTCCCGCTACAGCATCCCAATACTGCAAGATCCCAACAACTGGATTTCCGTATGTGGTCTTCCCTGGCAGGACATAGATCGGGTCTTGCATTCTTGTTTCCGTGTTATGGGCAATATACAGCAAACGATATGCCATCAGGACACTTTGCTGCTGCAATATCAGAATCAGGCAGAATGCAATCGCGCTCTAGAGTTCGACAGGAAGATTGTTTGTGGTTACAAATTGCGGGTCCATCGGGCCAATGATCCATTTGCAATGTCATCCTCTATGGGAAATTATAATTACGCGAACAATGCCTGCCAGCTGGCCAATGAATGCGAGCAGTACAGTCCCCGAATGAAACCAAAGGCTCGCCCATTCACTGGCTGCAGTCCTCCGTCCAAGAAGTCGCTATTCCGCCGTTTCGAGGAAACACTGGAGAGCTTTCTCTTTGAGGACGATGGGTAGAAGGGACATTTCAAGAAAAGAAATGTTTGCTAGCGCCATCTACTAGATATTATTTTTGTAGCCAAGTCTGCCACCACTGGATATAACAGTTTGTGGTTTCAAAAAGGGGGTGGGACCAAAGATTTTTGAACAGGGATTCAGAGCTGCGCCCAAGCTGTGACGCATTATTTTGGGAATCTGTTGGGGGCAATATTTTTATCAGTTTAACAAATTTTTTGATTAATAAATGCACGAGGGCAAAAAAAAAACGACTGTGGCTTCCCAGGTAGAACCAACTTACAAATTGTTTTCGTTATTCTATGATTTATTATTTATAAATGTTCCATATTTATATGTAAATCTGCAATAAAATTTTAATATTAACTAAAATCAAATACAAAGATACAGAACAGTTGAACTACCTTTATTTATAAAAATTCATTATAATTACAACATTTGTCTTATTAAATATTAGTTGTTAAATTGTGATACAATCAAGGAATATTTAAGCAAAAATTTACACATCTTTAGTTAATAAAGCACTTGCAGAAACCCCGATGCTGCCTCACAGTTCCAGCCAATCAGAGAACAGCCGGCTGTTGGCTTCAAAAATGGCGGCCTCAGCATGCAGATGCTGCCACAAGGGATGACAAAAATCCAATAAGCCAACACACGGTGAACTGATTTCGAAGCAGAGAAATTTCTGTAAATTTATTACAACGCGGGCTTCCAACTAGAACGGACCTTAGGTCTTACAACTTGTATTCAAATAAGAAGTGTCCTGTAGATAAATAAGTGTGTGAGTGTGTGTGTTTGTGTTTACAAATGCAGCATCCAAACGAGCCTACCTATATGCCAGAGGTGCCCTTTCAGCCTTTGTGGGGTCAGGAGGCGCCACCACCACCGCCCATAGTGCCGTATCAGGAACTCATTGCTGGTTTTCCCTGCACCGACCTGTGTAAGTTAGGCTCGATAAGTGCCTCCGAAATATTTCTAACTTTTTGCTTCCATTCCCGCACAGCTCTCTGGCAGAGGACTCAAGTCGCGCCCTTAGCCACCCGTCCGGCAACCAACGGACGTCCCAACGGTTCCACTTCCAGCTCCTCAAAGAAGACGCGGCGCCGTGTCGCCTCCATGGCCCAAAGGCGGGCAGCTAACATTAGGGAGAGACGAAGAATGTTCAACCTGAACGAGGCATTCGACAAGCTGCGTCGAAAGGTCCCCACCTTCGCCTACGAGAAGCGTCTCTCCCGCATCGAAACTCTCCGACTGGCCATCACATACATTGGATTCATGGCCGAACTCCTCACCGGCACACCCGCCAACTCGCATAAGCCCCGCTCGGATATGTATGCCGGCATGAATGGACATCATCCGGGCTCCGCCCCGCCCATGCATCCGCATCATTTGCATCCGGCGGCATATCAGCGGGACTTTGCCTCGCCTTACAATCACAGTTTGACTTAAAGATGGAGATGTTTGGAAAATTGGAAAATTTGTTCTGTTGTTGGCTTTCAATATCTAATAAGTTATCAGGTTATTGGAATATTATGTACATTATTTGTGCTCTGAGAAGTTAAAGTGATTCCGAAACAGGTGGGGGGCTTCGATTAAAGTGAATCGATTATTAAAAGACTAAGCTGTGTTTGGCATTCGCAAAATATATAAATAAATAACAGCTATGTTGTGTAATTATTTTATTTATAAGAAGAATACATACACAGGTACATAAATATATCACATATTTTGAGTTACATACGTATATGAGAAATCGAAAATGGAGAATTCTAAGGTTGTATAATTTGCAGTGCAAGTGTGCCAGTTTTTTAAATATAGCGAACAGATATACTTTAAAAGTTTAGGATAAGTCGGTTTCAGCACCCTACGTTGAACGTCAGTTCCTGCCTGAAGCTAATATGCTTTAAATGGTAATTAAATGTGTACATTTTAGTCAAAGTCTTAATAAACTGGAACATAAATGGCCTCAATAACTCGCATAAATAATTGACACATTTGTATTGATTTAATGTTCGCTTAATCACTTATATATAGGGTAGCGATATCGAAGAAACAAATAAAAATTTCAGCCTAACAGATCTCAATGTTTTGCTTTTGCCAGTTAACCTACTATATATCTTCGATAAATCGAATAAAAATCATTATAATGAGTTTTGAACCTTATACTTACTGTTTTGAGAAACTGTAATTTCCAATACATTTAAGGCATCTGGATATTTTTTTTGAACTAGTGTGCCTTGTACACCTATTTCTGTTTTTACACGGTCTTTATTTACATGGTTTTGATTTAACACGATTTAAAAATTTAAAATTGTATACTATATATGGTTACACGACTTTAATCCATTTAGCACGATTCATTTTGCACATGATCAATGTCTTTTTTTACACGACTTTCTTAGGAACCAATCTACCGTGTAAAAACAGAATTAAGTGTATTTAAAGGGAGATAATATATAAAAAAGTGCACGTAAATTTCGATAATATTTTGTGAGTTTTCCCATCTTTCCAACCGCCTGGACTTCATAAAGCATTGTAACTAAAGGCATGCACCTAGTATAAAGGCTTTTTAGATTCCTAGATAGAAACATTAATTCATTTAATATTTTAGTCTTATGCGTATTAGGGTATCATTATAAAGAACGAATCATGTTAAAAGTTACAAAAAGTATTTAATTATGGTAAAACCAATTTAATAGAAAAGTTATTTATCGTTTTTACTCGTGCCACTGTCAAATGCAAAGATGAATTTTATTCTTTTAAACAATTGTGCCAAACAGCTTTAATAATATAATCCGCCTGGTAATCCTGTATGTATGCATCTTAAACATTCTATTGATTATTCTAAAAAGTTTCCAAGTTGTTTGTTTAATTTTAAAATACCCAATTATGGAATCACCACAATCCACCTGATAATCCCGTCAACTAGTGGAGGACTTAAACATGACTTGTTCATTTCAATTTGCCCAAATGTTATGGGAACCTAGGCAGCTGTTTCTGGAACACATGTTGATGCCCACAATGAAGTCACATTAAATACAAAAAAAGGAAAGAAAATCGTCACACCTAGCCCTAGAGAAGCCCAAAACTATGGCACAAATTATGCGCAAGCAAACAAAGCGTGAAATTATTATTAATAAATGAATCTGCGGCATGTGAGGGGCGCACCACTGTGTGGCATCAACCACCCCGGGGCAAGAAACAAGTGTAACACTCGAATGGAGCGATGCGTCCGACAGCTGTTGCTCGTCGCTAAATACCGAAGTATTTTTGCGTTCAACGCCCATTTTCCACAGATTAGCGGGCCCCTTTCTTTTTTTTTTTTTTGTTTTTTGTTACAAACGAGACACTGACAGAAACCGAGTCCGATTGAGCAAATTAATTTTGAGCGGATATTGCATAAGTATGCGAAAGTCAAAACTGGGCTAGCAGGAAGTCAAAGGCGCAGACCTGGGGTGGCTGGACGAATTGGAAGGGGTGGAAGGGCGGACGGTTGGAAAAGGCGACCCTATTTATCTGTTGTTTTGGCATTTTGGTGTGCAATATGCTTTCATCAATTTATGACACTTCATGCCACATTTAATCGGGTTGTTGCCGCACATACCTTGCTGGGGTTGTTGTTCCCATTTGACTTCTGAAGTGCGTTCACGTGTCTGCGATTAGCTTACAATGTCTAATTCGTATGTCTTCCTTAGATCTGTGCTTGAAAATCTTAAAAATGTTTGCTACCTGTGGAGCTAGCTAAGCTATCAAATCACAGGGCAGTCCACAGTCACGTGTCTCTTATTAAGGGCTTATCATAGTTAATCAGCGCACAAATATTAACAAGTCTATGAGTCCCGATCAGCTTTCTGTGCATTCTACAACCCCTCTGCCGTTGTTTCTGTGCAACCCCTAACCATTGTGTTCATGTCAAATCGGCGTGACAAATTAATTGCATTTTTCTCCCAATTTCGCTACAATTTCTCGCTCATATTTGCGGAATTTCGCACATTTTTCGCCCAATCTTGACTTTATTTGATGTTTATTAGAACGAAATGCAATATCAGTTTGATAGATGAAATTTTTCTTTTCAACAGATGTTTCCAACAATAATTCATTTGTATTTAAATCATCTACTATATATACTTGTAATGTAACAAAGCTTCTCTCGCACACTCTCTTAATGGCAGTTTAAAACGAACAAAGAGAGTCAAAGAGCAGCAGCCGATATCATACCGGTTATAGCTTTTACCGTACACGCTATCATCTAGCTCTCATTTTTCAGTTCGACGCTGGCCGCTCTCCGAGACGGTTGTAAATATTGTATGTTTGTAGATATTGTTAAATCGATTTCAACTAAATTTAATGAAAAAGCTTCCCGGCATAAGTATAAATAAACTCATTTTTAAATGGTGATTCGTTTGGCTGGCTGCCTTATCATCTGTTATTCTCTCATACTTGTCTAATCGAAACAGAACTGTGCTCGTGATCGTGATAAGCCCTAAAGGCCCGTGACTTTCGTGTATGTTTTTAAAACTATCGTGAAATGCGTAAAAGCTTTGCTGAAACTAGACACGTCATATAACATAAAACCGGTTAAGATTGAAAAGAAAACTCTAAAGCTTGATAGAAATAATTTGATGCATTTTTTATGCCTCATTCATTATCAGAATAAGTTAGCAGGCGGAGAAACAAACAAAATAATATCTCTTTTATACCAAATATTCGTTGTAGATACAAGATATTTCTAATCCGTTTTCGTCTTCAAACAACAATCGAATGGCAGTCCTTCAAAATACATTAAAATTAATAATATAATGGTACGATATGATTTTCGCATTCGCACATTTATTTGAGTTCATAGGATCGTGACAAAATATGAAGTCACGCAGTCAGATCTATTGCAAATTATATTAAGACCGATTCAGAATTATCAATTAGTTCATTGAACTGAACAAAGTTTACCAATTTCTGTATTTTTAGTCACCAAACATAATTTTCGAGACCATATCGCCTAAACTATTATGTGGAACAATAGTGAGCCCACACATTTCTATACAAAACACTTCCTGCCAAGCTGGCTGGATCAGAAGGAATTGCAAAGTCTCGTGAAGCAGGAAGTTCGGGAATATAATGATATTATCAAAATTTGCAGTAAAATGGAATATTATACCCAACCAGCGCTCAATCTACAAATTCAATTGCAACTAAGAGGTGAGCTCAGAAATGAATTATTACTTTGGAAAATAAAATAGATGTAAGGTTATTTGGAGAAAGTCCAGTAAGTATTGGAGTTTCTTCAAGAGTCTGCCGAAATATAAAATAATAAACACATAGTTTGCTAAAAGCTAAATATATATCAAAAATGTTTTTCAATTCAACACCCATTTAAGGTAACATCACACGGACTATCGATTTCTTGGTGAAGTCGCGAGAGGTAGTCAATAGTGTGCCCTTGAAGTTTGCAGTTGCCACAGGCTTCGACGTGGAACTCTATATGTACGACCAGTTGTTGCCCGCTCTCGATAGGCTCTACAGGAATGTGGGTCAAACTATACACTTCGGTCCAAAGAGGCTTAGACCCAAGGTTCCGGCAACAAATATCTCCCGTTGCTTGTATTTGGATTACATGCAAGCGAAGGGCTACGATGTGGTGAACCATGGACTGGAAAAATCAGCCATGCAGATAGCATTATCCAAACTAGCTGCCTACCATGCAGCCACAACGGTCTATCTTCAATATGTGGGAGAGATTACGGAGCTACCAAAACTATTGTCGAGCAATCCACCACCGAAGGCAGTCACTGATTTCAAAAACTCGCTTCAATTTCATTTCCTTGACAGTTTACGTTCAATACGTTTTCGGGAGTACGAAGACAAAGTGGTAGGTGCAACATTATTTTCTTGTACTCCAACGATACGCTTAGTTTCTGAACTCTCTTTCAGAAATCGTTTCAGCGCTACGTTGCCAATAATCTTCAACACCAAGATGCCGACAACGCCTTTAATGTAATTCTGATTGGCGCCTGTTCCTTGAATAATCTGCTTTGCCACACGGAAGTCGAAGGTCATATTAAGGATATACTTTTCACAGATTTCGGCGCGGCCACATATGGACCCGCCGTTTATGATATATTCCACCTGTTTCTAACCGCACCTCGTGGAGCGGACAAAATTGAAAATTTTGACGATCACCTAAAGTTCTATCACGAACAGTTGATAATGAATCTGCAACTTCTGGGATATAAGGAAGTGTTGCCAACACTTTCAGATCTTGAATCGGATTTACACAAATTCAGACATTGGGGTAGGTTATGGAGTTAGCAATAGCGTTGCACAGCTTTATTGTTTGTATCTATGTATAATTCGCAGGATTTGAAGCTGCTACAGAAGTTCTGCCCATATCCTTAGTGAACAACAGCAAGGACCTTAATGACGTTTTTAGATATTGGCGTTACACTGAACAAATCAAAGAGATACTTCCCTGGTTGGAAAATCGTGGTTACTTAAAAGAAGATTGATCTAAACTCGTTTTAATTAGACATATAGTACAGCCGGTGCTATTTAATAATATAAATAGTTTTAAAATGTAAAAAGAGCGTTTATGTCGATGGGAGGTATTTTAAAGTTCCAACGCAACTGCGATTGCAAATTCCGAGCTCACACTTTAAAGCCATGGTCAGCCAAACAAATAATTTGCTCACAAGATTATCAAATTTCAAAGGTAGTTCATTTGTATGATTAATCAATTAAAAACCAATTCTTAGTTGACATTCTTGTCGACTGATATTAGACAAAAAATGCACATTTCAATGAAGATTGTTATAAAACTAAAAACCGGGTTATTACAAATATGTGAATAAATAGACGTGCTGATCATGGATTTATCATTCAAATAAATTTAAGTAATCAAGAAATACGATGGAATACAGAAAACTCTTCTTAATTATGCCAAGTTTTTTTTTGCGAATATCTGAGTGATGAGAAAGAAGCCAAGGAAAAAGTCTCATGGGACTCAACATGAGCTCGAAAAAGGGAATAATTTTTGGCACATTTGTCTCTGCGATATGAGCAGGAAAGCGATACTAATATAATATATTCAATAATATGAATATTTATATTGAACATATAGAAAACAATCACAACGGTACGAAAATTTTAATTCAGTATAGCATTTAAAAATTGATTCAAATAAACATTGTAACTCGCCTGTTAATGCAATTTCATGTTAACATTTACATTCGTAGTTTTGGTAATTTATTTTGTCATGATCAATATTGATTGGACTGATTGAATATTATTGGTGTACAATGACGAAACAATTGTATACGCCATTAAATTGCACCGATAATGAATACAATGCCGAAAATCTGGTCGATTCAAGTACAAAATTCCACTTCTGTCACTCAATGATGAAATGGATAAGACCAGAGCTTTTTATTATAAAGCTTTGCTGATAATGAGCGGAACAGTTGAATAAATAGGCCGACTTCTTACGGACGAGTCTCTTTCGCTGGCAACGCAACTCATTGAAAGCATTAGGAGCACCTAACTCATTAGTCATTGTTTGGAAATGGCTCAGACAACTAAAGATAAAACCGAGCTAGATGTACCCCATTGGCTGTGTAGGAGCTTCTTTGAACAATTTTTACGCAGAGATTTTGAGAATTTTGAGAAAATAAGTAAACTGGAAGTGCTACCAACTGGTGGAAATGGCGAAAACTATACTACCGTACTATTACGGGTTAGGCTTGAGATCCAACTGAAAGGTATGCTGTTAACTGAAAATATTTATGTAATATATCTACAGGTTTACCTTTCTTACAAGTATAGATGGCAAACAAGCGACTACTTCTTATATGGCCAAAATACTGCCAGCATCGCCGACTTCCCAGCAGTTGGTTCAGTCTTGGAAGGTCTTCGACAAAGAACATAACACTTATTCCAACTATTTGCCCGAATTCGAACAAATGTTTAGAGATGCAGGGAAAGAAATTACTTTTGGAGCTAAGTATTACAAAATACAAAATAGCGGGCTCGAAAATGAGGCTGTCATATTGGAAGACTTGGGCAACAGTGGGTTTAGGAATATTAAGCGTCAAGATGGCATGGATAAGGAGCACACCCAAGCAACGCTGGAAAAACTGGCACAATTTCATGCCGCATCGGCGGTGCGATATGAACGCAAAGGGGAATACCCGGATCTCTATGATAGGAATCTTCTGAACGGTGAAGATACGGCCGAGTTTCAAGAAAAACTAGCAAAATCGCTCATCAGCTGTTTACCACTCTATGAAGCAACGCATTTGGCAAACGTGTTGGTGAGTATTCAATTAAAAAAGGAATAGAAAAGGATTTCCAACACACTTTGAAATTAAATTAATTAAAAATTCGATTAATTTTAGATAAACAATGAAAACTGTTTAAATGCTTAGCTGCTTAAATATTAAAGTGAAATGAGCCGCTAACGTGAAGAAGACTAAAATATAGTAGCTTTATGATTAAATTTGTATTGATCTAGTTGATTAAACCTGGTTATGGCTTAATAGCTTTATATTAAAGAAACAGTTTTCACCTTTCAACAGATAAACACAGTGTAAACGTAGAGCTCAAACAAAATATTTGTTGTTTATAATTCTAAGCCCATATCATACAAGCCAGAGGATGTACTGATCTAAAATATTCCTTCGCTTTAATCTTTTCAGAAAGAATACACCGCCGTGGCCCCCGATATGTATCAATCATATGCACCTCGGAGAGAGAACGAGTTCTGTGTTTTGAATCATGGCGATGCTTGGTGTAATAACATTATGTTCCAATACGATGATAATGGTCGCATTCGTGATACCTATCTGGTGGATTTCCAAATGAGCCGCTATTGCTCGCCAGCGCAAGATTTGATTTACTTACTGCTCTCCTCCGTTAACTATGACATTAAAGTGGACAAGTTTCATTACTTCATACAATACTATCATGAGAAATTAACCGAGAGTCTCAAGTTGCTGCAGTACCCGAAACCCCTGCCTTCTTTGAAGGGACTACACAAGGCCATCTTTGATAATAGTGAATGGGGTGAGTCCTTATCATAACAATTTCTGATCGCTCTTAGCTTATGCTTCTGTGAAATTTTCTAGTCTATCCTGTTATTTCCCTGCTATTGCCCGTTGTACTTATGGATTCATCCGAGGAGGCAAATATGGACACCATTATGGATAATGATAGTAATGCGGATTTCCGTAAAACTATGTTACGTACCCCACGCATAATTAATCAGCTGAAGACGCTGCTGCCTTGGGCCCACAATCTAGGTTTCTTTGAAGCCAGTAGTGTATCACCTTATCGAAAGTAAAATGTCTTTTACGTCACTTAAGTACCATGTACTGATTAAAATTAAGTTAATCGGCTTATCGAAGTACATATATACTTTATTAGAGCTTCTTAATTAATGTAGAAATGTATGTAGGGGAAGGGAGAAGGGCGTGGCATATGAAAATCATTATAGACCGTCAGTCTAAATCTTTTCAACCATAACATCTAGGAACTCCAACCATACACCAATATTCTTCAACTTCTATATATATCCACCATAGGAATAATTGGTGAAAAATCACTTTTAGTTGAATACGTTTTTAATGCGATAAGATACTTATTAATAATTGGTATTCATGTGTATGTTGTCAGGATACCAAGTATAATAATAATATTTTTTGTTATTTATTATACAATTTTAATCAAATTTGGTATAACGTTGATTTCAGCTCAAACACCGTTTGTAAAAGAATCACGATTCTACCGCTCTACTCTTTCTGTCTCTAATTAGATTAAACGGTTCCAATTTTGTTCTCACCATATGCCGCCCAATTTATTTTTAAATTGCCGATTTTTATGAAACTTTGCTTGTGGGGTCGGCAAAGCTTTTCATTTTGAGGGCGTGCTCGTCAAAGTTTACCGCGTCAAGCACAGTCAGCAATTTACGGGAATCATAATACGCCGTAGTGCGAGTTTTGTGACACACTTATGCTGATAAAATAGCGCAGCTATCAGCTGTTGGATCCATCGGCTTCGGCACCCATATATGTAGGTATAGAGGAACATAGTTTTTCGAACAAACCATTAGTTTAGAAGTAGCGCTGCAGTCAGCTAGACGGTGCAAGCTCTGGTTATTAACGACTGTTGCGATGGGACTACGAAATTCCAAAAATAAGAAAAGCTACGATGTGGCTCACATCGAGCCAAGTGCCGTCTCCACCACGGACAATGGCAAGGTTGAAGCGATAGAGACAAAGGCCAAGGCCGTTGAGGCCTCACCAACTCCCGTAGTTGTCAGTAAGCCGGCGCCAGAATGGATCAATGAAACGCAATTTGTCGATTTGCTGAGCGCAAATATCGCTCAGTTCGAGAAGATCAAAAGCTTCGAAGCCAAACCGGCCATGACTGCCGGAGAGAATTATGCGACTCTCATGCTGAGAGTGAGCATCGATGTTGAGTTGAAAGGTGAGTACGAATACACAAAGCATGACATCACATGTTGACATTCAAACTGATGCTCCCTGCGTCCTCCAACAACAACAACAACAACGTGCGGACGTGAGAAACATAAACAAACCTCTGTTAAAGCTTATAAAATTCTAATTACACATGTAAGCTTTCAGCTTCATTTTGTTTAGCCAAAACAATACTATTATGGACACACTGAGAAAAAAAAGCAGCTTCCTAACTCATGCTTGTCGACAATTTAATATCAATTCCGCTTTAATTTTTATATCACATGAGTAAATATAGCAAACTATTGAAAAAATATTTTAAATAGAAGAGCTTTCACTTTCTATAAACACGCATTTTATTTATTAAGACAATAAGCAAATGCTATCGACATTGGTAAAAACAATTTCGTTATCAAAACGACTTAAAGGCTAAGAATTCCTCAACTGATACTATCACGCAGGTATTACTTAACAATATAATAATTTTAGATACATTGTTATATTGTTGAACAACTTTTATTTTTGAAATTAATACATTTGACAATATTTTTTTAATTCGCGTCTCAAATAATTGAAAATGTCTTTAATATACATTCATATATTTGCACAGTTAAAGAAAATTTTATTATCATTTTAAGTATTTTCGAATATTAACATATTCAATTAACGGTCATTTGTTTACTGAAAGAATACTTTTAATTTTTGATCAATTCAGTACGACTTGATATCTATTGATAATTCAAAGGTAAAAACATACTAAGTCCAAAATTTATTACTTTCAATGATTTAATTATTAGACCGACAACAAGTTTGCTTAATATCTAAATAAATAAGTTACGTTTCAATACTTTTGAATGGAAGTTACATATTATTTATATTTGAATCAATCAATTAAAGAACGTTTCTATATTTAAAAAATGTATAATCGAAATTAGAGGACATTGACTATTTCACTATTGCTATTTATATTTTATAAATAGGTAAGAAAAAATTGTAAAGGAATCCTATTCGGTTTGATAGTATTTTAAAAATAAACAGATATTTATTCACGCAATTCTTAATCTGACAATAATTTTTAATATAAATTTAATAAGATTTCATATTTGACTCTCTATAGTAAAATGTTTATATTGGATTGTTTATATAAATAATTCATTCATTAACAGCTAATTAATGGGCTTGCTCATAAAACTTAAAAATAACTTGCTTTGTATAGTATGTAAAATTATAATTTCATTATTTTCATTTTCATTATAAATTGCGTTTTTCAATTATAATCTTATCGCCTTGTGGCATTATTTCTGTTTTGCCCGGTAATGGTGGAAGTTAAAGAATTTAAAACATAATATGATAGGCGATAAGAAAGTATAACGAATTGATATTAAGGTTATTTGCCCCATCATTTCACAACCAACTATCAAATTTCATTGTGTAAGCAGTAAACTGTTATACAAGTAGTTCTAATCTGGGCAATTCGATACCATTTAGATAAAACCAGCAAGCATATATCCTACATGATGAAAGTCCCTCACGATAGTCCCGAAATGCAGCAACTACTGGCCGTGGCCAACTTCTTTAACACCGAGAATTCGGTCTATTTGGATATAATACCCAAACTAGAGGCTCTCTACAAGGATAAGGGTCTCGATATACAATTTGCGCCGCGTGCCTACAAATTGAACGGTGAGGACCCCAAGCTCGCCAATACGGTTCTAATGCACGATCTGGGTCCGGATGGTTTCAAAAACCTCAATCGTTTGGAGTGCCTAAACGTGGAGCAGGCGAAATTTGTGCTCCGCAGACTGGCGCAGTTCCATGCGGCAGGAGCTCAGTATGTTAATGTACACGGTCCTTATCCCGAAGTGCTGATTTATGGCATGATTGGCAAGGATAATACCATGGCTAAGGCAATGATGGAGGGCATGTTGGCACCGTTTGAAAAATTGTTTTTGAATAATTTAAGGAACTATAAGAACGGTGACAAATATTATGACAAATTTGTAAGTAAAAACGGTGGGTTTCCCAAACAACCCAGTATAAACTCTACTTTTTTTAGGTGCAACTTTTTTCAAAACTGACCACAGAATTTTTGAAGTTAGTTAACTACGATCCGAGTGAGTTCAATGTGCTCAACCATGGCGATTGTTGGATAAATAATCTGCTCTTTAAACATGGATCCAATGGCGAGCTGAGCGACATGATGTTTGTCGACTTCCAAAATCCCAAATATGGCAGTCCTGCTCAGGATCTGCTGTACTTTATTTTAACATCGGTGAACATCTCGCACAAGCTGAAGGACTTTGAATACTTCATACGCTACTACTATGACAACTTAATAGAACATCTGAAATTGCTGAACTACTCAGAGGAGATGCCCAGCCTCAGCGAATTGCATATGCAGCTCTTTAAGTATGGAGCCTGGGGAGTTACAGCCGCCTTTATGGTCTTGCCCGTGGTGCTATTGGATCCCACTGAGGGTGCGACCTTTGAGAACTTTATGGGCAACAACGAGGCGGCAGACAAATTTAAAAACCTCATGTACTCTAACAAACGCTATATGGCCAATATTGAGGAAATTCTGCCGTGGATGGACAATCGCGGCTATCTGAAAGTCAAGTAAGTACTATACATACTCTTTGGAACTTTTTTAGACGGGCTCATACATTTCTGAAGGGTCTTTACTCTGGAATTCATTCACGAAATCTGCTCAGTCAAGCCCTGAGATTTCTATAGCAATGGTCGATAAATATATAAAATATGCATCATTAACGAATACAAAACCATCTCATGTATGGTATTTTTCAGAAATTGAAATCTGATGAGTAAGAGACAAATACTACAAAAATTGTTGCCTGAAATCTAATCCTGGACGCCTTCTTCTTATAATAATAACAACAAACATTTGTTAATAATAATACTATAATTTTTAAGGGAAACTACTGTTGCCCTAGAACCGGCACCAGAACCGGCACCAGAACCGGCACCAGAACTGGCACCAGAACAGCCACCAGAACCGGCACCAGAACTGGCCACAGAACCGGCCTCAGCAGATGCAGTAGCTGCAGTTCCAAATCCAGCTGTACCCGACTGGATTACTAGCGATTTCTTCGTAGACCTATTAAAGGCACAACATCCCGACTTCAAAGCCATTCAAACCTTCAATGTGGAAAAGGCTACCAATGCCGGTGATAATTATTCCTCAACAATGCTGTCTGTGGACATTACATATCTGACAGCAAGTGTGTTTAGTTACAGAATTCAAACAGCACCTTTATTAATGAATTCTCATTTTCAAAAAGGTGAAAAAAGTGAATTTAAATCGCTTATGCTGAAGGTTCCACCAAGCGATGCCTTGACACAAGCCCTTCTAGATCGCATGCTCACGTTTAAAAAGGAAATCACCGTTTACTCTGATATTCTGCCGCAATTGGAGCAACTTTATGAGAAAGTCGGACATCCGGTGAAATTCGGCCCCGAATCCTATGAGTTCATTAAGCAGCCCGATTGCGATCACATTCTGTTGGAGAATTTGCGACCCTCGGGCTTCAAGAATGCCGACCGTCTAGCCGGCTTGAGTGTCACAGAAACGGAGCATGTGCTTCAAAAATTGGCCCAGTTCCATGCTGCCTCAGCCCACCTCTTTGCCACTAAAGGTTCCTATACAGAGGTCTTGACCAAACCCGTGCACTGCGAGGAGAATCGAGATCTTTTCCAAAATGACATGGCCAAAGCGTTCCACGAATTGGCAATTTCGGCGCTCAAGACATTCAAAGGCAATGAAATGTATGGCAACAAATTGGTAAGTATACAAAAATATATTGTACACCAGACTCTAATTAAATGTTAACATTGAAAAAAGTTTTAATTTGGAAATACTGTTTATTAGTTGATTTTCAGAAAACTTTTAAATAATACTCCTAATTTGATTTACATTTAAATTCCAAATATTAATGCTTTGAATTCGAATGCTCTTAAATCAAAATGAAAATTTCAGCCCTGAAAATGCAATGGTTGGTTATTTAAGTATACAACACCTCTATAGATTTCTGGTGTTTACTGGAATATTTTGAAATAATTAGTACTTTTAATAGCGGTTCAATTTAGAGTTTTCCAGTATTACAACTGCTTTTTCTACATTCGCAGATCTATTTCTTCGAAAATATGTTCGATGTCATGAATAAGGCGGAACAGTTCGATGAAACTGCCTTTAATGTTCTTAATCATGGCGATTGTTGGACCAACAATATTATGTTCCAGCACGATTCTGCCGGTAATATCAAAAACACGTACTTCGTTGACTTCCAGCGTTGTAGTTTTGGTTCCCCTGCCCAGGACCTGTACTACTTCCTATTGAGTTCGCCCAGTTATGACATCAAATTGGAAAAGTTTGATTACTTTGTTCGCTATTATCACGGGCAGCTGAAGCTAAATTTAAATTTGCTCAGCTATCCCAGCCATATACCCACGCTGAAGGAGCTCCACATAGATCTGTTGAATAATGGTGCTTGGGCTGTGATGGTTGCGACAACTGTTATGACGGCCGTGCTGTTGGATCCCACTGATAATGCCAGCATAGCCACTATGCTGGGGGATAATGAAGAGAGTGGCAATTTCAAGAAGCAGCTTTACCAAAACGAACGATATAGAAAACATGTGGAGGCTATATATCCATGGCTCGACCGTCGCGGCCTTTTAGACTTCGAGTAAGTAACAATTGATTTTATTGATATTATCTGATTGATTTCTCGTTAAAAAATAAGAGTTGAAGTTCAGCCAAAGGACGATTTAAGTTGGCTGGATATAAATGACTTTGCTGACATTATTTCCGCCGATGAGCCAGAATTTGAAAAAATATTAAATTCTACGACAGCCTTAGCGACCAAGCCGGGCGATAATTATGCATCCAAAATCCTAAAAGTCGACATCAATGCCAAGCTAAAAGGTTTGTTATTATTTTAATATTTCCCTGAAAATGAATACAAATTCGAAAATGTCTTAACAGAGAATAATGTGAAGCCCTTCTCCTACATATTGAAAGTTGAGCTCCCGAATTTACCGGCTGAGCTCGCAGCCGCGACTTTCCCGAAAGAGAATGAGATCTATAATAAATACAAGCCGGCTTTTGAGCAACTCTATCGAGAGGCAGGTCTACCGGTAGTCTTCGGCGCCAAGTCCTATAAACTGAAAAAGCAAATCAAGGAGGACTTTGTGCTACTGGAGAACCTAAAGATCCGTGGTTTTAAATTGCGCGACCGCAAGGAGGGGTTGGACTTGGAACACACAAAGAGTGTGCTCAAAAAATTGGCTCAATGGCATGCAGCCTCATTGCGTTATAAGGAATTGCATGGACCTTATCCAAAAATGTTCAATTTTGGAATTATACATGAGGGAGTGAAAGACATTTTTGTAGAAATGTTTCAAAAATGTAGAGATGGTTTTTTCAATGCGATTACAAAATTTAGGGGCACAGAAGAATATTTGGAGAAACTGGTAATTATTTACTGTACAATACGAAAACCATAGGCCCTTATTAATTGAATTCAAAACAGGAACGATTTTACGACATCGTCTTTGATAAGATCTTGGAGGATGCCCAAATCGACGAGAATGAATTTAATGTTCTTTGCCACGGCGATGCTTGGATCAATAATATTATGTTCAATTACGATGAAGCCGGCCAACTAAAAGATACCTACCTGATAGACTTCCAGGAAACAAAATATGGCAATGTTGCACAGGATCTATACTACTTGTTGATTAGCTCCGCACAGCTTGACATCAAGGTCAAACAGTTCGATTACTTGATCAGATGGTATCATGAGAACCTAGTGGAACATACGAGCCTCTTAAAATACGAGGGCTTTGTGCCAAACTTGAAACAACTGCACACGATCCTGCTAAAGAATTCCATACATGGTAAAAAACAAAATCTGTCCGCACTTATAACGAGTTCGTGTTATTTAAAAACCATATTGATTTCAGCTCCCAGCACGGTATTAACTACAATGGTGGTTTGTCTGGCGAATGAGGAAGAAAACTTGAGCCTAGGTGTGTTCGTTGAAGACACTCCAGAAGCCGAAGCCTTACGCAACAGGATTTTAAACAATGAACGCTTCCAGGCCCATTTCGAAGAAATAATGCCTTGGCTGAACAAACGGGGACTATTAGATATATATTAAAGCAAAAGTTATTACATTCTTTGTATATCTTTTAAGAGTTAAGAAATAAAAGTGATTCACTATAAAGAGCAATGAGTTTTTAAATTTTAGATACCACAAATATATTTTAGAAATAAATCGTCCTGACTTAGGGTAGAAATCTGCTACCTAAGCTAAACCCCAAAAACTTTAAAGCCAACTTCGTTCAGTGTACAAGCTGTAAGATATTTTCAAACAACAAATTCCACGAAAACACACTGCTGAGTACGTTTACACTTACGAGTATATGGAGCTTTTATAAAGCTATCGTGTCAGTTCCAGTTCTCATTCCCATTCATGATCAGTCGCTCTGTCGCATCGCCCAGAGTCACAACACATGGCAGCAATAAGTGCACCCGAATGGGTGAATCAACAATTATTCAATGGCGTATTAAAACAAAGTATTCACGATTTTCAAAGCATACAAAACTTTGATGTAAAGGCTGCGATCAGCGGGGGCGAAAACTTCCTAACTATAGTTCTACGCATTCAAATACAAATAAGTCTGAAAGGTATGTAGAATGCATATTGGAATATTGACAACACTGCCTAATTCGATTCTAAAACAAACAGATGATAAGACCAAGAACATCAGTTTCATTTTAAAACTACCACTTGTAAGCGATTTGGGTGACAAGCACGATTTTCACGACCTCTTCGTGGTTGAGAATGAAATGTACGATTCCATTGTGCCCGAACTGGAGGCAATTTATGCCAAAAATGCAGACCTCAATATAAAATTCAAGCCAGTGCATATTAAATTCATCGAACCGGAGCCCAAATGCGATTATATCTTGATGGAGGATTTGCATGAGAGAGGCTACAAAAATCTGCAACGACTGGACGGTCTTGGACAGCCAGAAATGGAGTCTGTGCTCAAAAAACTTGCCCAGTGGCATGCAGCTTCAGCACAACGAGTGGCTGAGCTTGGACCCTATGGAGAGCGCTATCAATTGAGTTATTTTGGAGAAGAAAGTGCCAAAATGTTGGAGAATATGAACAACAATTTTAATCTGCCCTTCTTAGAGTGCATGCAGCAATACAATTTGAATCCGGACATGATGTTGTTTATCGTAAGTTCTAGCCAAGAGCAGCACTAAATCAAGGAGAATATGGTCACCAAAATAACTCATCAATAACCGATAGTCGTCATCATTAATAACATAGCAACATTTGAAATATCATGTGGGGGATTATTCTCCATAAACGCAACGTAAAATGTTATGATTATGACTAAGTGATTGCTTTAAGTATTTGTGTGATCGGTCAGATCGCATTGTTTATATATTTTTATATACAAATATTTTCTTTTTGCCAAATTAATTTAACTTTTCTTCTATTTTATAGAAACTACTTATTTTTAATAGCCCTATTTGTAGTTTATGACCACTTTTGCTGATAAAAATCAATTAAGCAAATAAGTATTCTGATCTGTGATGTTGAGTACCAAATTATTCTGTTTACTGCAACTTATCATCTTCTCGAAATTTCATATGTTCAGGAAATATGCTATCAGATAACTTCCCATGCACAGTTCAGTAATCAAAAGGAATGATTGAAATATTAAAAAAAAACGTCAATTACTGTCTCATTTCAGAGCAATTACACATCCCGCTTGACGGATTTATACATCGAATTTGGTAAAGTAGACCCAGAAGAGTTCAATGTTCTCAATCACGGTGATTTCTGGTGCAACAACTTCATGTGTAAACTTAACGAGGATACAAGCGCCATTGAGGACATTTGCTTTGTGGACTTCCAACTGCCAAAATATGGAACGCCAGCCCAGGATTTGTTCTGCTTGCTAATGACAACTTCTGAATTTAGCATAAAATTGAAGAAATTTGATCATTTTATAGCGTACTATCATGAAGAACTCGTCGCGCATCTCAAACTGCTCAGGTACCCCAAAAAAGTGCCCACCCTTGCGGAATTGCAAGCAAACCTGCAAAAGAACAGCCTCTGGGGTGAGTTAATAATCCGATTCTGTATATACTATAAATATTATAGTGTACACTCATTAATTACAGCATTTGTATGCGCTCAGCGGATGCTACCGGTGGCGCTGCTGCCGTCAACCTCCGATGCGAATATAGAGAATTTTATGAGCAGCTCGGACAAGGGCGTGGCATTCAAGCGTAAAATGTTGCTGAATCCCAGCTACAAAAAGCAAATTGAAATTATTCTGCCCTGGCTCATCGACCGGAATTATATAAACTGATCGTGGGATTCTTTAAATCTGTTAATAATAATATGTAATTAAAACTGATAAGTAAAATAGTGAAAACTAAGATTTAGAAAAACAAATATATTTAATTATGTAGTAACTGATATTAATGAGTTGTATTTTATGTGACCTTTGTCAAGAGTAGAATTTAAAGCTAATAAAAAAAACACTTATATATTTATACAAAAAATCAATAAGCGAAGAACGTGGCAAACCCAGCTATACTAATTACATAAAAATGTAATTAAAATGAATGTATTTTTTCGGCGATTAATCAGAAATGAGCAGAACAGAATAAGCTATTGATAGATAAACGATCTGTTGACCATTTATGGCCAAGTTATTGCCGTTATTTTTTCTACACCTTCCACAACTCCTTTTATGTACATAGATAGATAACAACATTTTATACACATTCTCAAATGCGAACTAATAGATGGACAGTGTCTGATAAGATAAATATAAATCGTATGAAAGCTTTTTTAGAGATCCAAAAGCAAAGGCTTTTCTAGTGCAATAATACCAAAGAGAGCAAATAGATTTCACTAGGCAACAGATTTTCGCTAACCAGATTACTGTATGTTTAAAAAGTAAGAAAACACCCACACAAGATGTCAGTTAAGATATGGATTTGAAGCAATATTCTTTAAGCACAGCTTTTGGGCGAACAACTTTTATGTTTGTAAAGTTATTGAGAACATGATGGGTATAATGGTGTCTCTTCGATGACGAAATACAAAATATTTGAAAAATAATTCACAATTAACGATTAGATAGCAATACACTCTAGAGGGGGGCATAAAGCTTCATGGCTCTTTTTAACATTAATTTCATCATTTATCGATGCAATGTCAACAAATTTGTTGCACAGTGTATCTTACACTTGAGAATCCGAATTGCAACCTGTTTCGCTGAAAAACTAACAAATAAATTCAACAAATGTTCTTCTGTGGAGAGAACGGGTAAACATTTGGTTGGAGAATAAAAAGCTTTCTAACAAGTAAAAGCCCCGCACGAAATATTTACTAGTATATAGTATATACTTGTATTTTGAAAAACTCGACGCAATGCTGATAGGAATGTTAAATAAATGGCGCTCCGAAAGTTAGAAACTTTTAGATGCTCGTTGGCGTGCATAGGCATCGGTTGTACTATAGAGTAGCTGGGCTGTTCGCTGTTAACTCCATCCTATTAATTATCCAATTAATTTGAATTACAATTGACAAGCAAACAAGCCGATTGCACAACACAAATGGCGACGCAAACTAATGGGGGGAGTGCCAGCAAAGTGCCAGATTGGCTGAAGGCCGACCTTTTCGAGGATGTGCTCAAGAAGACTGTGAATGGCTATAGCAAGATCAAAAGTTTCAAGGCCGACAGCGGTACGGGCGTGGGAGAAAACTATGCAACGATAATGCTTCGAGTGGAAATTGAAGTGGAACTTGAAGGTGAGTTCAAATTCAAATTATTGCACGATCCTCCTGAAACAGTGTCTTGCAGATGGTAAGACCAAGTCGGTCTCCTTTATGTTCAAATTACCCCATCAACTGGAGCGCTACAAGGAGATGATGGAGAAAACTAATATTTTCGATATCGAGCGCGCTATGTACAGCGATATCGTGCCGGAGCTCGAACAATTGTATCGTGATGTGGGCGTGGACGTGAAATTCGGTGCCCACAGCTATGATATTAAAGCGCCTAGTGATTATGTACTGTTGGAGGATTTGCGACCGAAGGGCTTCAAGAATGCCAATCGTCTGGAGGGTCTAGACGTCGCACATACGGAGTGTGTGCTGCGAAAACTGGCGCAGTGGCATGCCGCTTCGGCTGTGCGTGTCGCCACCAAGGGTCCCTATCCAGAGGAATTAACTCGTGGCTTCTTTAAGGAGGAGCATCGTGAGATGATGGCTGATATCAACAAATCTATGTCCGGCAACTTTCTCAAGTGTTGCGCCAACTATGAGAATGCCTCAGAGTATTTGGAACAAGTCGTAAGTAATTTAAATTATACATCTATAGAGGGACATTATTCTAATCGCCATCCACTAATAGCGTGCGATAAAAGACAAAGTTACCGATGAAATGTTTAAAATGGCCAAAACCGACACGAATGAGTTCAATGCTCTGAATCACGGTGATTGCTGGTCGAATAACATTATGTTCCAATATGATGCATTTGGCAAAATCAAAGAGACCTATTTGGTGGACTATCAGATACCAAAATATGGCACTGTAACTCAGGATTTGTATTACTTTTTGCTATCCTCGACAAAACTCGAAGATAAACTGAGCAAATTCGACTATTACATCAAGTTCTATCACGATAATTTGATTGAGCATTTGAAACTTCTGAATTATTCGAAACCGCTGCCAAAACTACGCGACCTGCACTTAGCCCTCTTGAAGTACGGCACATGGGGTAAGCTAAGTAATGCCAATTATAACGAATTACATATATGTATAACCTGAATTTCTAGGATACTGTACGGTTACTGGCGTTATGGGCGCTGTACTGCTCGATCCCACCGAAGCGGCCAGCTTTGAGAATTTCCTGAGCGAATCCGAGGAGGGCAATGATTTCAAATTACTAATGTTTTCCAATGCCCGATATAGGAAACATATGCAACTCATTCTGCCGTGGTTGCTGAATCGCGGTGCCTTGGAGGCGAGTTAACTATATTTATAGAGCATTTTATTGATAAAGAACATTTAACATCCAATACTTTTGTACAATGAAGTACCATGATAAATATAACACTGACAATGTGACCAATATGATAGTGCTATCGGTTTTTGATAAGCTGGCGCAAGCCTTAGTAAAAACCTCAAAAACTTGGGTAATTAGTGAAATAAATTCGCAAAAAAACCATCTTTTGATAATTTGTGACGTTCATTAATAAGAGGCTTATAGCTGACTCATGCATGGTTCAACAAAAATTTAAATCACTTTGTCATTTCCAAAAATTGATATAATATCGCCCAAATCGTAAAGTGTGTGGCACACGCACATATGTACCTTGCCTTAACCGATAGGAGAAATAATGGGGTACCTACAAGTATAATCTAATCGTTCAGCACTCTTAAATGTGATAACCGATCAGGTGGCCTTTATACGTATGGCGCTCTGAGAATAGAAGCCATAACCGCGTCTGCGGAAATGGAAATAAAAGGAAAGAACAGAGCAAAACAAATCAGAAGCAAAATAGACGCACAAATATATACATAAATGCAGATGTAAAGGCGAAAACAAAATGTGGAAAATGTAAACAAACGCTGATAAACTAAATGCTCTTTGTTAGATGCCTAAAATACAGTCTAAAGCTCTGTCTTCTTAATACCTTTAATTTTCTTTCTTACTATAAAAAGAATAACAATTAAACAAAAAGTAATGCATTTCATTGGTTACAGAAATACTGCTGTTAAATGAAATTCTAATAATTCCCATAATTGTCTAAAACATTGCATTTCATTGTTAATAAACTAATCAAAGAATTCATTGAATGTCTCGCAACGCACAACTAAAAGCTCAAAAAAGCTTTCAACGGCCAAATCAAATGCTTATAAAGAAGAGGCAGAGAGCGAAAGCTTTACAGTTCTCCAGCAGACATCGCAAGATCCAGCAGCGCAGATCTACGGGATGTCATCACAAAACGCAACTCACGATGATTCGGAAGTCGAAACAAACCGAACATCGCCGACATGGCTAAAACCGGAACTCTTTGAACCATTGCTTAGGCAGACCTTTGACCTATTTAAGGGCATTAGGACCTTCAAAGTCGGAGCGGGCACCAAGCCGGGCGACAACTATGCCACTGTTATGCTCTGCATTAACATCGAAGTGGAGCTGACTGGTTAGTTTGTCCGCGGAAGAGATGAAAGCGATGTGATTAACTACTTTCCCTTCTTCAGATAATACCACGGAAGCTGTATCGTATATGTTGAAAATACCGCATGCCTCGGAAACCTTTGATGATATGTTCGGGAAAACAAATATCTTCAGCATTGAACGCAACATGTTCACAAAATATTTGCTGGAATTTAAAGATCTATATCGGAAAGCTGGCTTGGAACTGGAGTTTGGTGCCAAGTGCTATGAACTTGATGTAAAGCAGGATTATGTTCTACTCGAAAACTTGAGAACTAGAGGCTTCCAGACCAGTAATCGCCTGAAAGGACTGGACAAGGAGCACACAATGGGTGTGCTGAAGAAACTGGCACAATGGCATGCGGCCTCAGCAGTGCGAGTAGCCGAAATAGGTCCCTATCCCGAAGATCAACTTTCGGGTATGTTTACAGAGGAAAACAGAGCGCTAGCTGAAAAAATGACTGAGGGTATGTTAAAATATGTGCTGAAATCGGTCGAGACAATTGAGGGACATGAGAGCTACTACAATGATATTGTAAGTAAGTGTACAAGACAAAGAAAACCTCCTTCAATAACACTCAACATTCTCCTAGAAAAACATGAAAGGCCAGTTATATGAAAACGCTATGCAATTAGGCATTGCCGATCCGAATGAGTTCAATGTCCTTAATCATGGCGATTGCTGGACAAACAACATCATGTTCCAACACGATGCATCGGGCAATATATTGGAGACCTATCTGGTAGACTACCAGATGGTAAAATATGGCAGCGTAGCACAGGATTTGCTCTACTTTTTGATTTCATCACCACAGCTGGAGCTTAAAGTCAACGAATTTGACTTTTTTGTGAAATACTATCACGACCAATTGATAACGCACCTAAAGCTCTTGAACTATTCGAAAAGGCTTCCCTCTTTAATCGACATACACACCGTGCTCTTGAAATACGGTATCTGGGGTAAGCATCGGAAAAAGCTCGACAACTAATACAGAAAATAATATGCGGTTTTATTGAATATCTTTAGGCTATTGCACTGCATGTGGCGTTATGTCGGGCGTATTACTCGAATCTACAGATGCAGCTAAATTTGACAATTTATTCACTGATACACCAGAGGCGGAAGAGTTCAAGACTCTATTATTTTCTGGCGAAACCTATAGAAGGCATATCAAAGTGGTTATGCCTTGGCTGCAGAATAGAGGCGCTTTACAGATTAATAATGCGAAGAGTGAGAAGAAAAGCGTTTCATCGACTATTGATTAAATTATAAAATAAAAAACATTTGAGCACAATCGTTGACATTTTATTAAATCAGTAGCAATACATCTCATATATATTTTATATTATTGAAATGTTAAACATTGTTGTACAAGCTCTCTTATATAATAAATAAATAAAATAAAAACAATACTTAGGGCAGACCAAATGGACTAAAAAGCTTAATTCAAAAATAGTATTCATATGGATTTATTTAGTTATTCATCACTGAAAAATATGAATATCAATTGTATAGAAAGGTATATGACTAAAGAGACAATTCTTTAAATAACTTTTCGCGTTTCTCAAACCATGTTATTTCTTTAACGTCCTGTCTAGGCCTATACGGCTTTATAGCTGACTCCATCAATATGTTTAATATCGAAAATAATAACAATTGCACTAAATTTGTTGACTTCAGTAACTTTAACTTTAAATCAGTAACTTACAAGTATTTTGAAACAAATCGCTCAAAACTAAAAAGCATATGCCATATGGAAGTTCCATTATATGCTTTTATTTAAATTATTTAATTAGATGACTTAGAGATATATCGCGTCATTCCTATTGACATTCTGAATAAGCACTTTGCATTCCTGTGCAATTACGACACGCCTACTTTTGATCATGAAAAAATATGCCTATTCATTTTTATTATGGAATTAAGTACAAACACTTTGGTATTATTCAAGTTATAAACACTGATTTACAAAAGTTTATTACATTTTTGTTTGAGGAGAGATATACTATAAGTCCCCACGACGCGCAACTTATCTTAATCAGGCGCTATATATGTTATGTACTATATAGAAATTCTTAGTATGTGCATCTTGCTTTGGAGTACTATTTAGCTTGATAATTGTGCTTAAAATTTAGTAAGATTTGGAACGTCTAAAAACACAGACGTATACTTTTAAACATGCCGCCACAAACGCAGGATGTGTTCCCTGTCAAGGATGATAAGGAATTACCGGAATGGCTAAGGGCAGAACTTTTTCAGGACTTACTAAAGCAGCAAGTAGAGGGCTATAAGCTAACCAAGGCGATTCGAGTCAGTGCAGGTGTTCCTACAGGCGATAATTATGCCACAACAATGTTGCGAGTCGAGCTAGATGTGGAAACTGAAGGTAATAGGCATATCAGGCATTATCTGTGACTCCTTCCAAAATTAAAATTCTTAATTGCAGATAAAACAAAGCTGACAAAAGCCTACATGCTTAAAATGCCACACAAATCAGAAAAGTATCGCGAAATGCTGAAGAAATCAAACGTTTTTAAAGTAGAGCGCGGCATGTATATGGACGTTGTGCCGGAATTGGAAAAATTATACAGCGATGTGGGACTTAAAGTTAAGTTTGGCGCCAATGCTTTCGCTAGAGGATTTGAAACCTCGAGGTTTCAAGACAGTCAATAGACTGAATGGTCTAGATATTACGCATACGCAGTGTGCGCTACGAAAATTGGCCCAATGGCATGCAGCCTCAGCGGTGCGTGTAGAGGGGACGGGACCATATGAAAAACAGTATGATAGAGGTTTTTTCTCCATCGATAATATTGAAGAATTGGACAGTTTAACTAGCAATAATGCTTTTGTCCTCTCTAAGTATATTGAAGAGTACAAAGAACACGAAACTTATATTGAGGACTTGGTAAGCTCCAGCTTGTATAAAATCAATAGTAACAATCGTATTAATCCCATCACTTTATAGCCAAATATGCCAAAGAATGTTGTTGATGTTATCGCACAGATGAGCGAACTCGATCCAAAGGAGTTCAATGCCTTAAATCATGGAGATTTTTGGGGCAATAACGTGATGTTCCAATACGACGAGAAAGGAAACATACAGGAGACATATATTGTCGACCTGCAGGCACCAAAATATGGCACCATAGCCCAGGACCTTTTATATTTTCTGTTAACATCTACAAACTTAGACATCAAGCTGTCGAAATTTGATTACTTTATAGAGCTATATCACACTGAATTGGTCAAGCATTTACAGCTACTTAACTACAAACAAAATTTACCAACACTGAAAAGTATCCACCAATCACTTTACAAATATGGAGCATGGGGTAAGTCATTACTATATCTTTGAATGCTCTTTTTGGTAACATTTTATATGAGGTAGGTTTCTTTGCCGTACTTAACATCATGGGCATTGTTCTGCTCGACCCCACCGAGAACGCCACTTTTGATAACTTTTTTCAAAAAGGCCTGGAAAACAGCTTTAAGAAATCCATATATACCAACCAGAGATATCGTAAGCATATGGAAGTAATACTACCTTGGCTGAAATATCGCGGTGCAATGGAATAATAAATCTTCCTGTCTCACATACTTGTATTATTTTAATTTTAAATTAAGCTGTAGACGATATTTAATATTGTATGACATCAATTTTTGGGAAATACAAATGCTTTGGATTTATAACAAAGTAAGTTAAAGGTAAGCTGTTTAACAATATCTTAGATATATTGCAAACTTGGAGTAAAGAACAAAACATCTATAAAATAGTCTTATAATTGTAAAATACACTCACATTATTTGATCTTTAAAATCTACTCTCATTAATTTTATTTATTTGCTATCAGCTATACATACAACTGCTATTAATATAAAATTATTATAAATAACCATTATAGATAACAATATATATTATATGACTCATTTAGTAGACATTTTAATGAGTAACTAAATTTAATAACTTCCCAACATTTATTTTAATACATAGTATTTATATTTTTAGATAAGCTTTTAGGCTTTATGACTAAACGGAACCAGTTCTTATAGATTTTAGAATGCCCAAGTAAGGCATTTCGTTCAAAAAATCACCAACTTCCTGTTTTATGCAACACAATTCAAACTGAAACTGAACTGTATTGATTTTTATTCAATATTATCATGAAATGCTTATCAAACACTTGAAACTGGTCAATTACCGATGGGAGAAAATATCAGCTCTCCTACACATACGAGCACATATACTTGTAGTATGTGAGAGCCCTTTTAATCAAATATTGTGTTCTAACAAAGAGTGTTCTAGCTTTCTCTTTAAACTGTATTGAATCTTTTACTCCCTCAACAATCCGGTGTATGGGGAGAGTCTTAGTCACATAATTACATTTCTAGTTTGCTGATGTTCTGTCACATGAAGAAGGTAATCACAAGCAATTAATAAATAATCACGTAAAATCACACGCAAATTGGAGCGCAATACGATACGATATATGTGTACATATATAGTGCTGAATTACAAATACAACGCGCTATTGTCTCTTATCAAACAATGGCTCGGCATCAATCGTTGCTATCAAATGTTTATTTAAAATGCTGTTCTATTTTCTGTGTACATATGCTTGAGGAGAATTGTGCCTCGCCTCAATGTCTTTGCTCAGTTTACGGGTTTCGGCAAATTAAATTACAAAATAAACTTCAATTAAATATACGCGATAAGGTATATCGTCGTCTAATGCCAAATCGGGGGCACAAGAAGTAGATTCGAATCGCCGGCGCTCAATCGTTCTGCTCATTTGTCAGCCGATCGTCATTTTTTTGCCAATTAAGGAAAGAGGTTTCCAACATCGGAACACCTATAAACATTCGATATCTACCGTTGCCGGTTGCAGTTGCTCGATCAGTTTTGTTAGGTGTCGGTGGCAGTGAAGAAGCCAAATAGTGAAGCATTTGATTCATAAAAGAGGTGCAAAATAGTGTTACGAACAATTGGACTAACTTTAAGTTGCATTTTACGTTTTAATTTAATTTTAGTCTTAATTTTCTTGTATAAAATATTGTATTTATTCTGCAATTTAATTCAAGAGCATAAAAACTAAACATGTGACCTGATATACAATGATTTGAGTAGAATATCAATTATGGCAACGTGATCGATAACTTATGTCTAATCTATAGGCGTCGAAGGGGAAACCTTCCCGACATAACGCATAACGTGATTGAAAGAAAACCCGATCCAACGAATTCACATGACAACCAATAAAACCGCATGCAAGAATTCCACGTAAAGTTATAAACTTGCTGCCACTACTACCTATTAATTCGATTCCATAATCGAACGCAGAGAGCCTTTTAAGTAAATAATTGGAAAATGCCAATACTGCATTAATTTATCAGTTTATTTGTTTGGTAGTCACTTTTAATAATCGATTCCCTGTAATTGTTGGTTTAGTTTGTTTACTATATAAAATCGGTACTTTTACTTATCTAGAAAACTATAATTTCTTTTCGCGATGTTGTAAACACTTTGACGTCTGGCGGCATAATAAAATCTGCACACCAAACCAAACATTTCGGAGAATTGTGGGAGCAACCCTTATTTAGACGATTCTCGTCACACCCCTCTATAATATAACAGAATCATTAGCGCCACCTATGTTTATTTAATTCCATGACATATAACAGTTTATATGATTGGTTGCAGCCCTCTTTCGAATTCCCAGAACTATGTCATATCAAGAAACCATGATTTACAATCGCAGATTATGACGATTTCTGATTTCTCTGTGCTTATGTACTTGATAATCCCGCTAGGGCTTTAACTCTAATATTAGTTGCTAACACCTTTTCCAGAGCTAAAAATATGGCCGAGGTTACGAATGGACATGCTGAACCAGGAAATGGAAACATTCCGGGTTGGCTACCAAACGTCACTTTGGAGAATGCGGTACGAGCCCAAGTCGGGGACTTTGTGCGTATTCTTAGTGTAACACCACAGGAGGCCAGTAGCGCTGGCGAGAACTATTCGGCGCTTATGCTGCGCTTACAGGTCGAAGTGGAATTACAGGGTGAGTAGGAAAACCTTCATAAAAATTAAACTGTAACACCTCAAATCTATCCATCTACAGATGAAAGCACAAAAACAGTTTCGTTTGTGCTGAAGGCTCAGCATAGCAACGAAATCATGGCAGCTATACTCAGCAAATTGAAACTTTTTCACAAGGAGGATGAAATGTACCATTCCATATTGCCGAAATTCGAAAAGTTATATGCCGATGTTGGAAAATCTGTACAATTTGCACCAAAAGCTTACAAATTCGATCGGGATATTGGCGTCGATTATGTTTTACTCGAGGACTTGCGTCCCAAGAATTTCAAAAATGCCAATCGCTTAGCGGGTCTGAATCTGGAACATATGTTGCAGGTTCTGGAGAAATTGGCCGCCTTCCATGCAGCTTCCGCTTGCTATGTGGAGCAGAGTGGTCTGTTCGGTGAGGAGTTCACTGTCGGTGTGTTTAGTGAGGCTAATCGCCAATTGCTACAAGAATTTAATGCTTCTGGCGCTTTTCTGGCACAACTAAAGAAATGGAAAAAGGCAGAGAAAATCTATGAAAAGTTGGTATGTTAAAAATTTTTAATTTGTAGGCAAATAGTCACTTTGAATGATATATATGATAATACATATAACCATATATTCTGTATTACTATTTGTCACCAATATGTAAGCTTCGCGGTTTTGCTGTTATTTGTTATTTAAAAACAATCTTAAAAAATTACAAAAGCGCATAAAAAAACTTTTAAATAAGTTGCTAAAGTTTTCAAATTTAATTTAATTTTTCTTCATCACACTGAAAGATAATTCAAAAGAAACTGAAAGGGTAGCAATTTTCTTCCATTTTTAACAGCTCCTAAATCCTCAAAGCTTTGCTAAAGACAACGAAAACTTTTCTTTTGTGCAGATCAATTGCTTTTATTGTGAACCTCTTATATTTTGTAAGCTTTAATAGCTACGGATTGCTTTATTCTCTGCTTCTACTCTCTGCTTCTTCTCATATCACGCCATATCAATATACACTCTTATTCAAATACTTCTTATACGTTACAGTATTATCGATACATATCGGTGTAGGTTAGACCTTTAAATTAGTGTAATTTTGAATTTTTTCTGTAGGCCGACAGTGATAACTACTTGGTTGATCGTTTGCTACAAGACCAAATTTACAATCCACGCGAGTTCAATGTACTGAACCACGGCGATTGCTGGTCCAATAACATTATGTTCCAATACGACGCCTTTGGCACAATCAAGCAGACACTCTTTGTGGACTTTCAAGTGGGAAAATACGGTTCGCCGGCCAATGATTTGTATTATCTGATACTTTCATCGGCCGAGCCAAGCATCAAGACGACAAAATTTGATTACCTGGTGCGCTACTATTTCGATCATTTGGTGGAGAATTTAAAACTCTTGCAATACCATCGTCCGTTGCCAAAGCTAAAGAATCTGCATGCCTCTTTGTTCCGCAATGGCTTGGCAGGTGAGTTGGCAGTTGAAGGGGCTTGAAGTTTCTTTCGGCTAACAATTTCACTTTCAGCCTATATGGTAGTCTCTAAAGTGCTGCCCGTTGTGATGCTCGACAAGACGGAGAATGCCAATCTGGAGAGCTATGTGCAGGATGAGTCGAAAATGAAGGCCGCCATGTTCAACAATCCGAAATACGTGCAGGCAATGGCAGATATTTTGCCATGGTTGGATAATCGCGGCCTGCTCGATTGGAAGTAGTGCTTCATAATTATCTAATTATGCCATTTCCAGTGTGCCAATTAAGCCTTATTATAGTCATCAAAACAAAATATTTATATGCGTATTAAAGTGTCATTAGCAATCGCAAACATTATAGTATTCTGAAATAAAATTAATAGCTATGCTAGCTAGTCAGTGCTATTTTAGTCAGTTTATGAGAACAATTTTGTTCAAAATTACTGCATATTTGTTTTGTTTTTTATTAATATTTTTTATTTTAGCACAAAATTAATGAACTTTAGAAGCTTAACATGTCAACTGCCAAATTACCAGAGTGGGTGAGTTGCATTTCGCTGACGAAGGCCGTGCACAGCATTTCGGATGATGAGGACAAAGTTATGGCTGTAATACCTATTGTGGATTCAATTCAGTATCGGAACTGCACCATTCTGATGCCCATCAAGGTCAAGGTTCAACAGAAGGGTGGGTTCATCCACCAAGCCACCTTCACTCCCCTCCCCTTGACCAATTTATGTTTTTTCAGATATGACCACCAAAAAACTTTCGTTTGTACTGAAAGCGCAGAACAGCAGCAAGTTCCAAGCAAAGATAATGAGTCAATTCAAAATGTTCTTCAGGGAAGATCAGATGTATCACCAAATATTACCAAAATTTGAGGAAATTTATAGCGCAGCGGGCAAGACCGTTCAGTTCGGACCTCGGGCATTCAAGCTTGATTATAATATTGGAGCCAACTATATATTGCTTGAGGATCTGAAAGCCAAAGGCTTTAAGAATGCAGATCGACAAGGCGGCTTCGATCAGCTGCACATAAAAGAGGTTTTGAAGAAACTTGCCGGGTTCCACGCTGTTTCCGCTGTCTATGTGGAGAAATATGGCATGTTCAGCAAATTATTTACTCTTGGGGTCTACACCAAAGGCAATAAACCGATATTGAAGGAACTGAACGACGCCGATCCGTTTCTGACGCAGCTTCGACGCTGGCGTGTTGGCACACAGTTCCACAAACGCTTAATAGACAAGGAGAAGGTTCTCATTGATCGCATTCTGGACAATCAGACGGTGAATCCCCATGAGTTTAATGTACTGAATCACAGCGATTGTTGGGTGAATAATGTGATGTTCAAAAACGACGGGTTCGGCAATATCGAAGACATTCAACTGCTCGACTATCAAGTGGTGAAATATGGAAGTCCGGCCTATGATCTCTTCTATACAATACTCTCATCGGCGAATCGGGATATAAAGCTGGAAAAATTTGACTATTTAGTTCAATATTATTTCTATTATCTGCTGGAGAACTTGAAGTTTCTGAAATTTCGGCGTCCAATGCCGGAGTTTGCAAAAATTCAAGAAGCACTGAATAACAATGGTATAGCAGGTAAGGTTTCTCAAATGCCATCGATTCCTTAATATATATTCAAAATGTATTTCTTAGCCTATGTTGTTGTATCGCGTGTGCTTCCCATTGTGATGATGCATGGCGAATTCGAGGATGAGAATAGCGACCGTTATGGTAAATTTTATGTTCCACATCTTTAGGCATAACACCTTATTTTACTTGTTTCAGCATCCAAAATGAAATGCTCGATGTTTACGAATCGCAAATACATTCAAGTCATGAATGAGGTTTTGCCCTGGATGGATGCCAGAGGCCTACTAAATTGGAGTTAAGAACAAAATGAAACTGTCTCTGGATGTTTTAATGCAAACCATATTAGATTTATGTGTTGTTTTTAAATTTTTTACAAAATAAATAAATTGTATTGAGTCTCAAATTCAAATCGAATGAGATAAAATAAGGCTTATAAAAAATAAAATAAATTTCATTTTCATTTTAATTGAATTTAAATGTTAAATGCATTTTTAAACTCTTTTACTTGTAACTGTTTAACATTTAATTTAAGATTATTATTATTTATTTTATTTGTAATTTATTTGATTATTTATTTTAATATTTTTTATTCAATTTCAATTTATTTTCAATTTGTTTTTAATTTATTTTTGTAATTTATTTTTAATATATATTTAATTTATATTTAATATATTTTTAGTTTATTTTTAATTTATTTTTAGTATATTTTAAATTTATTTTTAATTAATTTTAAATATTAATAGTGATTTATTTTTTATAAATTTTAAATTTATTATTAATTAATTTTTAATTTATGTTTAATTTATTTTTAATTTATTTTTTATTTATTTTAAATTAATTTTTAATTAATTTTTAATTTATTATTAATTTATTTTAAATTTATTTTTTATTTTTTTTTATTTTTTTTAATTTATTTTTAATATTTTTAATTTTTTATTAATAAATATTATTTTATTTTTGATTTATTTTTAATTTATATTTAATTTATATTTAAGTTGCTTTTAACACAAGCGATATGAAAAAGCACTTCGTATAATTTCGACTCGTCTAAAACGCATACCAGAGACAATAAAAGCAAGCCTCTGCATTTTACGATTACGATTACAAATGATAAATACATACTTAACATTTTATTGTCAAACAAAGCATTTATGGTACTTGCAGGCCAATTAAATTCATTATCAACATATGAGGCCACACGCCCGACTGAAAAATTTCAGCTCATTCTGAGCTAGCAATTTTGATTGCGTTGAATCCGAAACCATAATATCCATCTAATTATAGACTAATAGCTACACCTATAGTAGAAACCAGAATTATGTTTTGCGTATTTATTTAGCGTGCAGGGTCTTCGAAATGGCGATTTACTATCTCGTGCTTAATAAATCTTAAATGAAAAAAGATGAAAGAAACAGCATTTCAAAAATATTCGTTGTGTGTTTGTTTAGCATTCAATTCATGCATTTAACGAACAACAACGCTCTGCCATTTTATCGTATCACTCAGCCATTTGTATTGTGTAAAGTATTAATACATAAGTAGTATACAAAGACCTTCCCTGCAGTTCGCTGGTGTCAGGCCTATCACTTCTTCGATAAGGTGGTTGAGGGAACTCGTCTTATCAGCGGAGATTATATGCCAAGCAGGTGGCTTCACAACTCGAAATTTGGTGCCTGCTCGATGTACAAGTACCCCCCACGACCAACCGAACTGCAGGGATCTTGCTATCACATACTTATCAAACACATCCAAGCACTACGATTTCAGAGTGCGAACGCTAGTATTACATTGACATTTGTGAGTACCGGTCATTTAATCACGCGCTCAAGCGTTTTTTAACTGAAGTAATTAAAAAAAAAATTTACCACATACAAGTAATTAGACATGTTTTAAATTACAATTCTGCAGCCGAATTAAGTATAGTACAGGGTGCGCCATCTTTTATGTCGGTATGTAAATATTGAATAACTTTGTCATTAGTTAACCGATTGACTTGAGTAGACCAGTGTTGAAAACCTCAGTTCAAGTAATTGTACAGAACCAAATTAAATAAAAATATCTCATACTTGAAAATCAGTTGTTTATTTTCAAAGATATTCAATGTTTACATACCAACATAAAAGCTGGCGCACCCTGTATATAAATAATTTTGTTTATTTGCAGCCATGAGTTGTATAATTTTGGACAGAGTTTCTTTAAATGAATCATTTTTGCTATACTATACATGATAAAGGAATCTATGTGTATATAGTATATACATTTGTTTATTTCTGAAGCTAACAAATATTTCAATTTTATTTTAAACTGATAAAAGTGGATCAAACTTAATGCCTAAAAATAAATTAGGCAGCGAAATAAAATTAATAAAATTTAAAAATTTTTAAATTCATTTTTTAATAAAAAATAATTATTTATTTTGCTCGCACACATTCGAGTTTTAATTCTTGCAAGACCTATAGCTATTTAAGAAATACGTGTTCATAAAATAGATTTAAAGGTTCGGTTTCTTTCAGAATATGACTCCAAATACGAGCTCTAGCGAGCCCATTAATCCCAATCAGCATCTTAACATACCGGCATGGGTAAACGAAGATTACTTCCGGCCCATAATAGAAAAAGATGAACCGAACTTCGTCAGTATTAGGAACTTCACTCCAATTGCCGCCACATCGCCTGGAGACAACTACACTTCGACAATGATACGCGTGATCGTTAGAATAGAGCTGAAAGGTGAGTCTGTTTGTCTGTTGTGGAGCAGGTTTATGAGTTCAGTGACACAAATTTCTTCTATTTTATGTTAGATGGCAGTGAAAAAGATACTTCATACATACTGAAGACCATGTTGGAATCAACTGAAACTGCGAGCTTTGTCAATAGCATGCAGCTGTTTCCCAAAGAGAAGCAAATGTATGAAGTTCACATACCCAACTTTACCAAACTCTACAATGAGGCTGGAGTCGATATTGAACTGGCACCGCGATGTCTGCATATAGAAGAAACTCCGGAGTGCATAACACTCGTCATGGAGGATCTGAAGCGCAGAAACTTCTCCAATGCCGACCGGCTGAAGGGCCTCGACATGGCGCACATGTCTAGGGTTCTGCAGAAACTGGCTGAGCTGCATGCTGCCTCGGCAGTGAACTATGAGTTAAATGGAAAATATGAAAATATGTACCTACTGAGCTTTTACACTGAGGATAATCGCAAAATGTTTGAAGCGATGGGCGAAGCGAGACATGCACAATACGCCAAAGCGATGCGGCAGTGGGGCTTGCCGGATGTTGAGACCCATATTAATATTACAAGTGATGCGAAGTTTTTCGACGCAGCCGTCAAATTGAATGAGGTCAACGAAAACGAATTTAATGTGTTGAATCACGGCGACTGTTGGGTCAACAACATAATGTTCAGCTACAAAGATAATGGCGAAATCGATAGAACGCTTTTCGTGGATCTGCAGGTGGGAAAATATGGCACGCCTGCTCAAGATCTATGGTATCTGATAACCACATCTGCTGCCCTGGACATAAAAATCACGCAATTCGATCACTTTGTCGCTATATATCATCAGCGATTAATTGAATGCCTAAAGCTCCTGAATTACCCAAATAGTTTGCCAACTTTGCGAGAAATGCACATTATGATGATAAAATACGGATTTTGGGGTATACTGAGAGACTGCTTGATATTTCATAGTTTTATTAAAACGATCTTCTTTTCCAGGCCCGCTAACATCATTTGGTGTGTTAATAGCCGTCCTGTTTCCCTCTGATAAAGACTCTACCATGGAAAATATGATGGCACAAGGTCCTGAAGCCGATGCATTTCGCTATAAAACATTTATAAATCCATACTATGCGAAGGCTATGGTACAACTTTTTCCATTTTTTACAAATAGGGGCTGCTTTGTCATGGATTAAAATTGAATATTTTGATTTTTATGCTTTTTAGTACTTTTTAAAAATAATAATAAATGAAAACTGCTTTCAATACGTTTTTGAAACATTCTGTTGATTAAATAAAAGAAGAATCAAAAGCAATAATAAAAATTGTTTTTTATTTCATAAATGAAGAATTTTGGAGCCTTAACAAATAATACCGATAAAATGGGTGGGGTATTTATAGATAACAGAGTAATGTTTTTGGCGACATCTTTGCGTTCATACAGACATAACTTTTTCGATTCAATTAGTCATAAATCGGGAAATCTGGGTATAACATAAGCCGGCACTGAGCTAAGCAGTATACCCCATTATTGGTTGGATACAGTGTATAAAAATGTCAATAACTATGACTGTCAAAAAATGCGACTAATTTGAATCGAATTGACTTTCAATGCCTTACTTATTAACAAATCTTTGTTGATAAAACTAATATAACGTCATCGTTTATTCTCCTATAGCTCGAACACGCCCAAACCTTATCAATTGATAGAGGAAATAAAATGCCACGCGTTTGAAATTTATTTAGAACAATAGTGTCAACCATTCATGATCAGCACAATAAAATAGTAAAGCATGGGAACCAAATGGCATGCGCCAATTCGTTTCAATTATTTGAGATATTCGCCATGAATAGCATAACCTTGTGTTCAATCATGGGTCCAGAGGAACCACAGACCACACAGTTGTCAGCATGTATTAAAGTCTCTGAACTTGTTCATAGATTTATCATTTTGCGTTGTTTTATCTGCAAAAAAATTGAGTTTTGTTGCTAGTTCGACATTGCTTGGCGTTAGTCTACTGTCGGTCGTGTGCGAGAGAGGTTGTTTAAGCAACTAACGAGTTAAATAATTACTGACGCATCAATTTGCTTAATTGTCGGGCTTCGTTTAGGGTGCAAGGCATGTGAGTAAATTAGTATTCTGATTATCTTATCTTTCGCCTTTCCCTGAGTTTTTATTGAGTGTTCCGATTTACAAATAACTTTAAAAACATGCAGTTAAATTTACATACGTTGTTCTACTAAATACCTGCTGACTTGTAGGAACTGAGCAATTCCTTAGATCGAGATAACTATCTGGTTTTGTATGCTGTGTGTGAGAAGCTTTAAGACTCAAAACCTTTCAAGGTTCTTGGGGTCCCACTTCAACAACAAGTAGAAAAGCAAAAGTCGGGAAGCCTGACTTTGAAATACTCTGAACATATATGTAGAATAATTACGCGTGTGTTTGTGTTTGTGTATGTCTGTGTATGTCTCGTGTGCCCGAGCAAATCAGTAACAACAACAACAGCTGCGGACTCTGCTTGGTCTAGTGTACATACATATATGGCTATAACTTCCTGTTAAATCAGCCTATCATTATAAATCATCATTTGGCATTTGAACTTATAATCAGTAACTGGAGGTATTTGCCAAGTTTGAGTTCAAAATCCCAAGAAACATGGGAGTTATGTAGTGCGGTGGAGAGGGGGGAGGGAGGGAAATTCCAAAATATACATTTCTTGCGTATTCACAAAAGGCATCTTGGACTAAAATTTGGTGTCCCTAGGTATTATAGTCTCCGAGATATAGGCGATTATACGAATGGAAAATCGGGAAAACCCCCATAGTGGGGAAGTGGGTAAGGGGGGGCAATCAAAAAAAAAAAAACAAACTTGCACAGCGTACACACATAAGCCATCTTTGTGCAAAATTTGGTGTCCCTAGCTCTTATAGTCTCTGAGATCCAGGTGTTCATACTGACAGACAGACACACGGACGGGCAGACAGAAAGACAGAGACACGCCTCCTTCTGCCTGTTACATTTTTCAGCTCGCGCAAACATAGTATACTCTTGTACAGAGTATAACAATCGGAGACTATATTATTTTTTTAATCAATGTGCTTTCTGCCTGTCTATATACACATATGTATGTAGACAAAAATTTCATAACCATTAGATAATCCCACACCGCAACACGAGAAATAACATACATTTGTTTTGCTATAATTATGCATGTAAATAGGAATATACATATGAACTCGTATATAATTTACATGATTTTTTTTTTATTTTTTTTGAGGCCACTAAAGGCTTTGCATCATCATCGCTGTAAACAACATTGATGATATTTAATTGAGCAATAATTGTATTCATAATAACACCACATTTTGAAAGCACGCAATTATATTTGTACTTTTGCGTTGTTTATATTTCAATGGCAGTGTAATTAAGAAAAATGGCACCCAGCAGTACAGAGAGCCAGTCTAGCCCCAATGCTGGTTTATTAATACCCAAGTGGATAAACGAAGATTACTTTCGGCACATAGTGGAGGAGGAATATCCCGACTTGGTGGGCATAAAAAGGTTCACACCTATAGCAGCGACTGCCCCGGGAGAGAACTACACTTCAGTTATGGTGCGAGTCAACGTGGACGTGGAATTAAAGGGTAATACTTTAAATGTCAGACAAATGATTTGCACACAAATGTTAAAACTTTAAAATTATATTATAATAATAATGATTCCATGCTAAGAATTCGATTTTTAATACACTGAAGCTTTAATGTCAATGCTATATAGTATTCTTTAAAAAGCGCTAGTTTGTGTGCAAACTATTTACCTGTCTGATCATAGCACTAAACCAAACTGAAATTGAACATATATTCCCCAGATGGCAGTACGCAGCAAGCGTCTTACATTTTGAAGACCATGCTGGAATCAGCGGCCAGTGCTCAGTTCGTTAAGGCCATGGGCCTGTTTCCTAAGGAGAAACAGATGTATGAGGTGCTTATACCCGCCTTCGAAAAGTTCTATAGAGCTGCTGGAGAAGAACTGAAGCTAGCGCCCAATTGCCTCCATGTTGATGAGAGTCCTGAACGCATAACTCTCATTATGGAGGATTTGAGGCGCAAAAACTTCAGCAATGTCGATCGTTTGAAGGGCTTCGATCTGCCCCATATGCGAGCTGTACTTCGGAAACTAGCCGAGCTACATGCGGCCTCTGTGGTATATTACGAGCTAAACGGACCCTATGATCCCCATTTCAATCTTGGCATGATCAATGAAACAAATCGCAAGATGTTTGAGGCAATAGCCAACGCACGTCAGAGCCTATATTTGCAGGCTATTCATCAATGGGGATTAGATGATCCCGAATATTTCATTGGCAAAATAATTAAACCAACGGACGCTTCCGATGAGGCCATACGATTGAGTCAAGTGGATCCCAATGAGTTTAATGTTCTGAATCACGGAGATTGCTGGTCCAATAACATAATGTTTAGACACAAGGAGAATGGGGATATCGACCAGACACTCTTCGTGGACTTACAGATCAGCAAATGGGGCTCACCAGCACAAGATCTGTGGTATTTGATAACCACATCGGCAGCACTTGATATTAAAGTTAAAGAGTTCGATCACTTCATTAAAATATATCACGAACGACTGGTCGAATGCCTAAAACTATTGCAATACAGCAAAAAGTTGCCCGCTCTGAAAGAGATACACTCTCTCATGATCAAATATAGTTATTGGGGTATGTATATTTTAATTGTAATTATAAAAGACGCAATCTAACTCATCGTTTATGCCTTCTATTTATCTTTATATCCGCAGGTCCATTTACTGCAAACGGTGTGATGGTCTTCACACTATTGCCCACTGATAAGGATGCCAATATTGAGAGTGCAATGCAACTGGGCCCTGAAGGTGATGCCCTTAGACTCAAGTCACTATTGAATCCGTACTACTCCAAAGCCATGGCTATACTGTTGCCCTTTTTCGATAACAAAGGCGCGCTGGATATAGACAAGAAACCCTAAATTATTTTCACCCAAATGATTAGCAAAATTTGAATAATCTTTAAAACAATACAATAAAATAAAACAATCAGGTGTCGTGATGATGAAAATGTAATTATTCATTTTATGGATAGGTATATAGCGCCAGTTATTTGGACTTTGGCTTAAAAGTGTTTGCACATTTGTGTTTCATTGTTTTGATGATCAAACAAAAAACCTGTTTTATGTTTACACATTTTTTCACAAAATACCGCAACACACGCATGAATGTGAGGCTCCGAATACTTGGACTTAAATAGGCTCTCTTTTATTAATTAGTTATGCTCGTATGCATACATACATATAGTATATATATTTCTTAAAAGAATTTTTGCAAAATCATGCTAGCAGTGGCAAAAATTTGAATGTTCATGTTTGTTGTCTCATTATTTTTTTTTTAAAGTCTACCTTTAGTTATATTTTGTCGTTTGTAAATCAATTCTTCATTTTTTGTGTGTGTTATGTTTTCCGTTTTGTCGAATTTCGTCGTCTTCAAAGCGAATCTTCATAGTCAGCTTCAGTATTCCCGTATTTCCAAACCAAATGCAGAGTAAATTTTATTAAAATAAAAAAAAGAATTTCAAATTCAAATTTTTTTTTGAAAGACCGGATTTTTTTTAAACCCTGTAACCCATGAAACGATCTATCAATCATATCACTTTCCCTTTCAGTTTTTCAAATTAATTTACCGGTTTGCAAGCAATTATATAGCGGCAATCTGGTCTTTAAGTTATTGTGCACAATTTTATACAATATTTCAAAAAAAATATTTGCAAAGCTAAAGCTATTTTACTTTTGAAATAAATTAAAATTTAAATATGATCTGCCTAAACTCTATACCTGTTAATAGTAAACGACGTATTGCTTCCTTATTAAATTTTATTTAAAAGTGCATAGCTTAACTATTTTTAATAATGGCAAAATCTGGCCTGTAATCAAACCTTATTTTAATAGGAAATCAGCTAGATATATAATCTAATCTTATTTCAAAACAGAAATAGATTTATATATACATACGTAAATATTTTAAGTTCGAGATAGTACTATAATTTTAGGGGCTTGTTGAAAGATTATGGGCTCGTTTTTTGGAAGTTTCATCATACAACTGTACTTATGCTCTATAATAATTGGCTGTAACATTTTTGGGTAAACAAGCACTATATCTTTAGTACTTAGTTCTTTATTAAACTCATTTATTTTTTAATTTTTGGGCTATTTCTGACATACTTGTTTTAACTACGGCTTCGATCAGACTAAAGATTCTTCCAAGAAGAACTTGTAAATATGTTTGATGATTGAGATTCCCTCTCTGTGATAAAGGCACGATGTTGGGCATGATGTTTAGTTCAGTTTGTAGGAACAGCAGTTAGATTGATATCAATACTATGTGACGCACTTAAAACTTCTTTTTTTGTAAAATACTGAAATGAGTTCCTTCGCTATGACATGGCAGAACGGATTAGCTGAATGGCGATCATTGTGTCGATTTTCATTTATTAGCAATTTCTTCAATTGATTTGTGTTATGAGCATTTAATTTTTCTGCGCACCAATTAAGGATGACCGCAACAATTGTTTCGTTACTACTACTACTACTACTACTACTACTACTACTACTACTACTACTACTACTACTACTACTACTACTACTGCTACTACTACTACTACTACTACTACTACTACTACTACTACTACTACTACTACTACTACTACTACTACTACTACTACTACGAGTATTGACGTCATTTAAAAAAAGAAACTAAACAAAATAAAAAACGCCCACTCAACAACCAAATTAAATCGGCTCGACTTGAGAATATGTGACTTTCTCATTGTGTATTCCAATTACCTACACGTAGAAGAGAATGACTTGCTTGATTTAAACGTTATCTTCTACACATGTATTAAAATACTATATTATGTAAGAGACATACACATCTGGGGTCCGCTTGATAACACTTTGTGCAAACCCTAATTGAAAGCTTTGTGCTCAAATAAATTTTGTGTCAGTCTTTAGCAAGGCACTCAGCAGTGTGGTCGGTTTAGAGAAATGCCCGAAAGCAACGGAATTGCGAATCCCAACGAGCATTTGGATATACCCAAGTGGATCAATGAGGGATATTTCAAAGCTGTACTCGATAAAGATGAGCCTAACTATGCCAAAGTTATTAACTTTACTCCTGTGGCGGCCATACCCCCTGGAGAGAACTTTACCTCCATAATGCTACGAATTTATATAGATTTGGAAATGAAAGGTGATTCTGAGTAATCATGTGTAATCGTGTGTTCAACTATTTATCCCATTTATTATGTTCGCCCGAATTAGATGGCAGTAAGAAAACAAAAACCTACGTCTTCAAAACAATGCTGCCAAGTGAAAAGGGCGGCAGCAATATTAGCGACATGGGTCTCTTTCCCAAAGAAATGAAAATGTATGATAAATATTTGCCCGCCTTCGAAGCGCTCTATAAAGAAGCTGGCTTGTCGATACAAATTGCACCGAAATGTCTGCACACAGAGATACGCGAAAATAATATTCACTTCATTTTCGAGGATCTGGCCGTAAAGAAATTCAAAAACGTGGACCGCATTAATGGACTGGATATGCCACATATGCAACGAGTTATGCAAAAATTGGCAGAGTTTCATGCAGCCAGTGCCGTTTATGCTGAGAGACACGGCCCATTTCCCGAGGAATTCAAAGAGGGATTTGTTGTAATAAACGGAAAAGAGTTCCTAATTAAATGTTTTGAATTTGAACAGAGGCCTTTCAAAGAGGCCATGGGCAAATGGGATATGAAAGATGCCGATAAATATATCAAGAACTTTGTGAGTTAATACAAGATTGCAATTTTTAAATAATTTCGAAAACTATCTTGAATCTCTACAGCCCACAACAGAACAGTTTTGGAAGCACAGCATCAGCTCTTTGGACGTGGATCCAAATGAGTTCAATGTCCTAATTCATGGGGATTTCTGGTCCAGCAACTTGATGTGTAATTATCTGCCTGATGGCAACATTAATGAAGTCCTTTTCGTCGACTTTCAAATCGGCAAATGGGGCAGTCCAGCCCAGGACTTGCTGTTCTTCCTCACACTGTCCGCCGCCAAAGATATACGTTTGAAGGAATATGATACTTTCATCGAGATCTACTGGAAACGCCTAGTCGAGTGCCTGAAAGTTTTGAAATATCAAAAGCCATTGCCAAAATTGCGCGACATACAGATGTCCATGTACAAGAAGGAAAATTCATTTTACGGTAAGTATCCTTTAGCTCCACTAAGAAAATTTCTGTTTTATTCAAAGCTTCTTCTGCTTTCTTTTCAGCCTTCTTTGCTGTTTTGAATCACTTACCCATAATACTTTTTCCTACTGACAAGGACAGCAACCTGCACTCCTTAATGGCAGAAGGCGAAGAGGGCGAGAATTACAGAAAGCGTTTATATACAAATCCAGCATTCGCTGATGTCATGAAGGACCTTTATCCTTTCTACTATAAACGAGGCATATTTCACTTTAGTGACTACGAGTAGGGTGTTTAAATTATGGGGAAAAGCTAATATACGATAATATAGTAGAACAATAAATACACAAACTTGATAATGGGAACTTCAATTCTTTAATTCCATTTAATCCAAAGATGTTCATTAAGAATTACGTCTACTTGAAACATTATATTGTTTGATTATAATAAACTCTAACAATATTTGCCTGATAAAATATACTTCATATCTAGGCTTATGTAATATAGTCTCCGAGATATAGGCGATTATACGAATGGAAAATCGGGAAAACCCCCATAGTGGGGAAGTGGGTAAGGGGGGGCAATCAAAAAAAAAAAAACAAACTTGCACAGCGTACACACATAAGCCATCTTTGTGCAAAATTTGGTGTCCCTAGCTCTTATAGTCTCTGAGATCCAGGTGTTCATACTGACAGACAGACACACGGACGGGCAGACAGAAAGACAGAGACACGCCTCCTTCTGCCTGTTACATTTTTCAGCTCGCGCAAACATAGTATACTCTTGTACAGAGTATAACAATCGGAGACTATATTATTTTTTTAATCAATGTGCTTTCTGCCTGTCTATATACACATATGTATGTAGACAAAAATTTCATAACCATTAGATAATCCCACACCGCAACACGAGAAATAACATACATTTGTTTTGCTATAATTATGCATGTAAATAGGAATATACATATGAACTCGTATATAATTTACATGATTTTTTTTTTATTTTTTTTGAGGCCCCTAAAGGCTTTGCATCATCATCGCTGTAAACAACATTGATGATATTTAATTGAGCAATAATTGTATTCATAATAACACCACATTTTGAAAGCACGCAATTATATTTGTACTTTTGCGTTGTTTATATTTCAATGGCAGTGTAATTAAGAAAAATGGCACCCAGCAGTACAGAGAGCCAGTCTAGCCCCAATGCTGGTTTATTAATACCCAAGTGGATAAACGAAGATTACTTTCGGCACATAGTGGAGGAGGAATATCCCGACTTGGTGGGCATAAAAAGGTTCACACCTATAGCAGCGACTGCCCCGGGAGAGAACTACACTTCAGTTATGGTGCGAGTCAACGTGGACGTGGAATTAAAGGGTAATACTTTAAATGTCAGACAAATGATTTGCACACAAATGTTAAAACTTTAAAATTATATTATAATAATAATGATTCCATGCTAAGAATTCGATTTTTAATACACTGAAGCTTTAATGTCAATGCTATATAGTATTCTTTAAAAAGCGCTAGTTTGTGTGCAAACTATTTACCTGTCTGATCATAGCACTAAACCAAACTGAAATTGAACATATATTCCCCAGATGGCAGTACGCAGCAAGCGTCTTACATTTTGAAGACCATGCTGGAATCAGCGGCCAGTGCTCAGTTCGTTAAGGCCATGGGCCTGTTTCCTAAGGAGAAACAGATGTATGAGGTGCTTATACCCGCCTTCGAAAAGTTCTATAGAGCTGCTGGAGAAGAACTGAAGCTAGCGCCCAATTGCCTCCATGTTGATGAGAGTCCTGAACGCATAACTCTCATTATGGAGGATTTGAGGCGCAAAAACTTCAGCAATGTCGATCGTTTGAAGGGCTTCGATCTGCCCCATATGCGAGCTGTACTTCGGAAACTAGCCGAGCTACATGCGGCCTCTGTGGTATATTACGAGCTAAACGGACCCTATGATCCCCATTTCAATCTTGGCATGATCAATGAAACAAATCGCAAGATGTTTGAGGCAATAGCCAACGCACGTCAGAGCCTATATTTGCAGGCTATTCATCAATGGGGATTAGATGATCCCGAATATTTCATTGGCAAAATAATTAAACCAACGGACGCTTCCGATGAGGCCATACGATTGAGTCAAGTGGATCCCAATGAGTTTAATGTTCTGAATCACGGAGATTGCTGGTCCAATAACATAATGTTTAGACACAAGGAGAATGGGGATATCGACCAGACACTCTTCGTGGACTTACAGATCAGCAAATGGGGCTCACCAGCACAAGATCTGTGGTATTTGATAACCACATCGGCAGCACTTGATATTAAAGTTAAAGAGTTCGATCACTTCATTAAAATATATCACGAACGACTGGTCGAATGCCTAAAACTATTGCAATACAGCAAAAAGTTGCCCGCTCTGAAAGAGATACACTCTCTCATGATCAAATATAGTTATTGGGGTATGTATATTTTAATTGTAATTATAAAAGACGCAATCTAACTCATCGTTTATGCCTTCTATTTATCTTTATATCCGCAGGTCCATTTACTGCAAACGGTGTGATGGTCTTCACACTATTGCCCACTGATAAGGATGCCAATATTGAGAGTGCAATGCAACTGGGCCCTGAAGGTGATGCCCTTAGACTCAAGTCACTATTGAATCCGTACTACTCCAAAGCCATGGCTATACTGTTGCCCTTTTTCGATAACAAAGGCGCGCTGGATATAGACAAGAAACCCTAAATTATTTTCACCCAAATGATTAGCAAAATTTGAATAATCTTTAAAACAATACAATAAAATAAAACAATCAGGTGTCGTGATGATGAAAATGTAATTATTCATTTTATGGATAGGTATATAGCGCCAGTTATTTGGACTTTGGCTTAAAAGTGTTTGCACATTTGTGTTTCATTGTTTTGATGATCAAACAAAAAACCTGTTTTATGTTTACACATTTTTTCACAAAATACCGCAACACACGCATGAATGTGAGGCTCCGAATACTTGGACTTAAATAGGCTCTCTTTTATTAATTAGTTATGCTCGTATGCATACATACATAGTATACATATAGTATATATATTTCTTAAAAGAATTTTTGCAAAATCATGCTAGCAGTGGCAAAAATTTGAATGTTCATGTTTGTTGTCTCATTATTTTTTTTTTAAAGTCTACCTTTAGTTATATTTTGTCGTTTGTAAATCAATTCTTCATTTTTTGTGTGTGTTATGTTTTCCGTTTTGTCGAATTTCGTCGTCTTCAAAGCGAATCTTCATAGTCAGCTTCAGTATTCCCGTATTTCCAAACCAAATGCAGAGTAAATTTTATTAAAATAAAAAAAAGAATTTCAAATTCAAATTTTTTTTTGAAAGACCGGATTTTTTTTAAACCCTGTAACCCATGAAACGATCTATCAATCATATCACTTTCCCTTTCAGTTTTTCAAATTAATTTACCGGTTTGCAAGCAATTATATAGCGGCAATCTGGTCTTTAAGTTATTGTGCACAATTTTATACAATATTTCAAAAAAAATATTTGCAAAGCTAAAGCTATTTTACTTTTGAAATAAATTAAAATTTAAATATGATCTGCCTAAACTCTATACCTGTTAATAGTAAACGACGTATTGCTTCCTTATTAAATTTTATTTAAAAGTGCATAGCTTAACTATTTTTAATAATGGCAAAATCTGGCCTGTAATCAAACCTTATTTTAATAGGAAATCAGCTAGATATATAATCTAATCTTATTTCAAAACAGAAATAGATTTATATATACATACGTAAATATTTTAAGTTCGAGATAGTACTATAATTTTAGGGGCTTGTTGAAAGATTATGGGCTCGTTTTTTGGAAGTTTCATCATACAACTGTACTTATGCTCTATAATAATTGGCTGTAACATTTTTGGGTAAACAAGCACTATATCTTTAGTACTTAGTTCTTTATTAAACTCATTTATTTTTTAATTTTTGGGCTATTTCTGACATACTTGTTTTAACTACGGCTTCGATCAGACTAAAGATTCTTCCAAGAAGAACTTGTAAATATGTTTGATGATTGAGATTCCCTCTCTGTGATAAAGGCACGATGTTGGGCATGATGTTTAGTTCAGTTTGTAGGAACAGCAGTTAGATTGATATCAATACTATGTGACGCACTTAAAACTTCTTTTTTTGTAAAATACTGAAATGAGTTCCTTCGCTATGACATGGCAGAACGGATTAGCTGAATGGCGATCATTGTGTCGATTTTCATTTATTAGCAATTTCTTCAATTGATTTGTGTTATGAGCATTTAATTTTTCTGCGCACCAATTAAGGATGACCGCAACAATTGTTTCGTTACTACTACTACTACTACTACTACTACTACTACTACTACTACTACTACTACTACTACTACTACTACTACTACTACTACTACTACTACTACTACTACTACTACTACTACTACTACTACTACTACTACTACTACTACTACTACTACTACTACTACTACTACTACTACTACTACTACTACTACTACTACTACTACTACTACTACTACGAGTATTGACGTCATTTAAAAAAAGAAACTAAACAAAATAAAAAACGCCCACTCAACAACCAAATTAAATCGGCTCGACTTGAGAATATGTGACTTTCTCATTGTGTATTCCAATTACCTACACGTAGAAGAGAATGACTTGCTTGATTTAAACGTTATCTTCTACACATGTATTAAAATACTATATTATGTAAGAGACATACACATCTGGGGTCCGCTTGATAACACTTTGTGCAAACCCTAATTGAAAGCTTTGTGCTCAAATAAATTTTGTGTCAGTCTTTAGCAAGGCACTCAGCAGTGTGGTCGGTTTAGAGAAATGCCCGAAAGCAACGGAATTGCGAATCCCAACGAGCATTTGGATATACCCAAGTGGATCAATGAGGGATATTTCAAAGCTGTACTCGATAAAGATGAGCCTAACTATGCCAAAGTTATTAACTTTACTCCTGTGGCGGCCATACCCCCTGGAGAGAACTTTACCTCCATAATGCTACGAATTTATATAGATTTGGAAATGAAAGGTGATTCTGAGTAATCATGTGTAATCGTGTGTTCAACTATTTATCCCATTTATTATGTTCGCCCGAATTAGATGGCAGTAAGAAAACAAAAACCTACGTCTTCAAAACAATGCTGCCAAGTGAAAAGGGCGGCAGCAATATTAGCGACATGGGTCTCTTTCCCAAAGAAATGAAAATGTATGATAAATATTTGCCCGCCTTCGAAGCGCTCTATAAAGAAGCTGGCTTGTCGATACAAATTGCACCGAAATGTCTGCACACAGAGATACGCGAAAATAATATTCACTTCATTTTCGAGGATCTGGCCGTAAAGAAATTCAAAAACGTGGACCGCATTAATGGACTGGATATGCCACATATGCAACGAGTTATGCAAAAATTGGCAGAGTTTCATGCAGCCAGTGCCGTTTATGCTGAGAGACACGGCCCATTTCCCGAGGAATTCAAAGAGGGATTTGTTGTAATAAACGGAAAAGAGTTCCTAATTAAATGTTTTGAATTTGAACAGAGGCCTTTCAAAGAGGCCATGGGCAAATGGGATATGAAAGATGCCGATAAATATATCAAGAACTTTGTGAGTTAATACAAGATTGCAATTTTTAAATAATTTCGAAAACTATCTTGAATCTCTACAGCCCACAACAGAACAGTTTTGGAAGCACAGCATCAGCTCTTTGGACGTGGATCCAAATGAGTTCAATGTCCTAATTCATGGGGATTTCTGGTCCAGCAACTTGATGTGTAATTATCTGCCTGATGGCAACATTAATGAAGTCCTTTTCGTCGACTTTCAAATCGGCAAATGGGGCAGTCCAGCCCAGGACTTGCTGTTCTTCCTCACACTGTCCGCCGCCAAAGATATACGTTTGAAGGAATATGATACTTTCATCGAGATCTACTGGAAACGCCTAGTCGAGTGCCTGAACGTTTTGAAATATCAAAAGCCATTGCCAAAATTGCGCGACATACAGATGTCCATGTACAAGAAGGAAAATTCATTTTACGGTAAGTATCCTTTAGCTCCACTAAGAAAATTTCTGTTTTATTCAAAGCTTCTTCTGCTTTCTTTTCAGCCTTCTTTGCTGTTTTGAATCACTTACCCATAATACTTTTTCCTACTGACAAGGACAGCAACCTGCACTCCTTAATGGCAGAAGGCGAAGAGGGCGAGAATTACAGAAAGCGTTTATATACAAATCCAGCATTCGCTGATGTCATGAAGGACCTTTATCCTTTCTACTATAAACGAGGCATATTTCACTTTAGTGACTACGAGTAGGGTGTTTAAATTATGGGGAAAAGCTAATATACGATAATATAGTAGAACAATAAATACACAAACTTGATAATGGGAACTTCAATTCTTTAATTCCATTTAATCCAAAGATGTTCATTAAGAATTACGTCTACTTGAAACATTATATTGTTTGATTATAATAAACTCTAACAATATTTGCCTGATAAAATATACTTCATATCTAGGCTTATGTAATATCTGTCTTGTAGTGTTTTGTTATAACTTGTTATAAATGTACAACGAGTCCACAATAAAAACTTTTTTCGTCTTTTTTTCTATTTTTCAATATGAATAGCAATACAAGTTAAAATAACTAAGCTTTAACTACTAAGTTGTCTTTATAAAACTTTACTAATTAGATAAAGATAAATTATAAAGTTAGATATACGTTTCCGGATGCACCCATTTCCAAACTGTCTTAAAATATCATTTGTTAGTAAAAATAATTAATAATTGGTCAAAAAATGTTTTCAACATTTTGAGCAATCCTTTCACTCTAGTCCTTCGATCCATATGAAAAAGTACAAAGTTTCATTCACAACTAATTATGTGTGAGAGCTTAAGAGCTCTGGTGCAGAATTGTTTCAAAGTTGGCTAAAAATCAGTTCAGGATTTTTTAAATCAGCTTAAAAATATTCAATCTAATTTTTAGGATGTTGAAACTGATTGAGATTGAAAGAGGGAACTATTTCCTAAGCTTCTAAATCACTTAAAAAAATAGTTTGCACAAAAGCATTTTTTTTTCGAAATTTTAGATAGTTGTGTTAAGCCAGGAACAAAGATGACAAGCCTAATTATAATTACTATGAAGCATTATTGATAACTTGTACTAATAAATATATTTTAAAAATATTGTACATAGAAATTTGAAATATGTTATCAATACAAAGATAATGAAAATCAAAATTTTATAAACAGCATAGTATTTCTGCTCTCCCATACATTTAATATTTGCGATCAATTTGTAGAAGGAGACCGCGCGAATATTGATTCCGGTTCGGTCTTGTTTTAAATGATTAATAAAAGTCGCTGTGTGCAGTGGAAATGCAAAAGTAAGAGAGTGGATTTTTCGTTAAGAATATTCAAATTCAAGTAGTATAATGGTAGAGTGAGGTATCACATGAGATACGTTACACGTTTCATTATCGAAAACCAAAAAGCTAACAGGTCAGTTTTTAAAGCTATCGAGGTACTATGCCTCAGTTCATCGCTATACAAAATTTTGTAGAACCTGTTAGACGAAAGGCGGCTAGTGAAGGCCCATGACGAATAACTTTGGAAGAGTGTAGACTGTGAGTGCAGTAGTACGGGTGTAATCAAGAAATATGGGTCTGAATACATTTCAGATAAGAATACAAACAGTTTGGCGTCGTTGCTCGTTGCGAGAACAAGTTAACCAACTGGTAACGATATTTGAGTAAATGCATATAGAAACAGTAACGGCGATTGTGAACGCATATTCTCGTCCAACATGCCCGATAATAGCAACAAATTTAGTGAGTCGAACGACATAAAAATACCTGAATGGATCAATGAGACTTATTTTAAAAAATTGCTAAGACGTGAGCTCAGCGATTTTCGAAAAATACTGAATCTCTCAATAATTCCGGCCACACCGCCGGGCGAGAACTATACCTCACTGCTAATGCGCATTATCATCGATATTGAAATGAAAGGTAAACAACAATCACATTCAAGAGTACATTAATAGTACAATGTATTTTGATAGATGGCTTCACCCAGCAGAAATCGTACATTATGAAGACTATGTTGGACGACGAGGTAGGCGGTACTTTTATCAATTCTCTCAACATTTTTCCCAAGGAGAAGAAAATGTATGAGCAAATAATACCACAACTGGAACAAATATATGAACAGCATGGTAAACAAATAAAATTCGCTCCAAAATGTCATTGGCTGGACAATGTGAACGGTCGCATCTGCTTGGTGCTGGAAGACCTTAAAACGAAAAAATTTCAGAATATAAATCGCCTGAAAGGTTTCGATATGACGCAAATGAAACGCGTGTTGGAGAAATTGGCAGAATTCCATGCAGCTACTGTGGTGTGGCGTCAAAAGAATGGCCACTATCCCGAGGAATTTCAAAAGACTTACCTGCCTGCCAATTATCAGAAATCCAAGTCGTATCAGGCACGCGTACAGAGCTATAAAAATGCTATGGTTTCTTGGGGTTTGCCGGACTACGAGCAATATGTGGAGCTTATTGTAAGTACTCTATAGGTACTATCTAATTAAACTAATTTGTGATTTTCAGCCCACTGCTGAGCAGTTTGTTCAGGCCGCTGCCCGCTGCTTTAATACCGATCCCAAGGAGTTTAAGGTCTTGAATCATGGCGACTTTTGGTCTAGCAATATAATGCTTAGCTACACACAGACTGGGGAGGTCAATCAGATACGATTTGTAGACTTTCAGCTATGTAAATGGGGCAGCCCGGCCCAAGACTTATGGGAGGTGATCATATGCTCGGCACATCATAGTATACGCATAAAGTATTTCGACTATTTTGTGCGAAAATATCACACTCATCTCGTCCGTTGTCTCCAATCCCTAAACTATGGCAAAGTACCCCTGTTGAGGGAGCTACACATGAGCATGATTAAGTACGGTTTCTGGGGTAAGTTCTCTGGATATTCCATCGGAGAAGGCAGTCCTATATTTTCCCCTTCTTAGGCTACTTCACCACATTCACACATTTGGTGCTCATTCTACTACCGGTGGACAAGGAGGCGAGTCTATTGAAGCTGATGCAGTCTGGCGACGATGGGGATCGTTTCCGCGCCAAGGCCTTCACCAATCCCCTATATGTGCGTGCCGTCTTGCATATATTTCCGTTTCTTCATAGACGTGGCATTTTAGATTTCTCATAAGAGTGCAAGAGACTAACAAACAAGAGTATTTTAATCATTCTTTTAATCTTATCTTTAGGATTTATCTTTTGTTTAGTTGCGCCAAAGTTAGTTTTATAATTTTGTATTCTTAACCAATTAAAGAGTACGTCTAAGTAATCCTCACACCTCTTTTTTTACATTTTTCTTATGTCTGTAATCTAATCAGACATTGTTATAAATAATCTGCATATTTAAGTATTTGCCGCCAAGCCTGCAGCTTTTGAGTAAAACAGCTGAGAAATATTTGAGTTTATTTGAGCAGTTGTGTATTTGGTTGCAAAAAGCTTTTATTTATACACATACATACATATGTAATATTTGTCTTAAGCTTGACTAAGCGTTCAGCTATTACAAGCTCTCTCTCCCTCCCTCCCTCTCTCTTTCACTCTGTCTGTCTCTCCCGCTTATCAAATCCGCCTTACGTCTGATAAGCCGAACAGCTGTTATGGCCTTAAAAGCTAACAACAGAGAGTGCTTTCAATTGAGAGTGTTATGCGCAGAGCACGTGAGCAACAGATTCCACTACGATACTGAAAAAGAGCGCCCCATTTCACACCCGAAAGCCCCACCAGTCAGTCACAACTGCCCAGCGGTGTTATTATTATTCATTATTTTCATTCCAAGTCAGGTGACTTGAAAAATTTCAACAATTATGGGCACTGGCGCTAAAAACTATCAGGCACCCGATTGGGTGACCATCGAGTTTCTGCAGGATGTGCTCAAGGAGCACTTTAAGGACGATACGTTGGAGGTAAGCGACTTGCTGGTAAAGAGCGTTAATACGGGCGATGCAGCGGCCGGTTTTGCAAGCGAAATGCATCGTGCCACCTTCAATTTGCAACGCAACAATGCGAAAAGCAAGTTCTCCGTCATCATCAAGGTAGGTGGTATCTAAAATTTCAAATAACACAACTCCCACTAATACATACACTGTGACTTGGCAGGACCATCCGAAGGGCCAAACTGGAGCAATAGCGCATCGCAGCAAACTATTCAAGCGGGAAATACTTACCTACCAGGAAGTGCTGCCGCGCGTGCAATCCTTACTCGAATCCATTGGCGATAAAACCAAAATAGCGCCCATTTGCTATTATACTACGGAAACGCCGGAGCCGTTTCTCATTCTGGAGGACATGTCGAACTTTGGCTTTGAGAACTTCGAACGTGGTCGTCTCCTAAACTTGGACTACGTACTGCCAACAATCGAAAAATTGGCCAAATTGCATGCCTGCAGCGCCTTTATTGCTAGTGAGAGTCCTCAGGTCTTTGATTTCTTCGACGAGGCGCCCATTTCGCGCAATCCTGATCGTCGTGACTTTCTCACCTTCTTCCCCGTTAATATACGCTGTGTGGCCGAGGAGATTGCCCATTGGAAGGGCTACGAAGAGATTACCGAGAAAACGTTCAAGCTGGCCGAAAATGTCCTTCAGAGCGCCATCGCCATGTACGATGCTCAGAAGCAGGGATTCCGCGTTTTCAATTTGGCTGACATTTGGATAGACAACTTAATGTTTCACATCAACAATGAGACTAAAGAACCCGACGATGTTGTGGTCGTAAGTTCCCAACACCCCTTAAAAGCTTATGCTAATAGTAATGCTAATCACATTTATTTATTTGTGATAGTTTGACTTTCAATTAGCATTCGTAGGCTCGCCGGCGGTGGATCTCAACTACTTTTTGTTTGGCTCTCTAAATGAGAATGTGCGAAAGGTGCACTTCAAGTATATTATTCGGGAGTACCAACGCGTTCTGCAACAGACACTGGAGAAACTCAACTACCAGGGGCATATACCCACGCTAAAGGAAATACATATCGAACTGATAAACAATAGTCTGATTGGTAGGTGCATTTCATTATTGTTCCCAGTCATAAACAAGTATTTATGAATATATATTCCAGGTGTCATTGCGGCCACTTGCCTGACGCCCCTGATATTCAGGGAGAGTGGAGGGTTTGAGAATCTGGAAGATTTGAACTCACGCACTGAGGCCGGAGACCAATTTCGACGTGAGAACGTTGAGAATCCAAAATATCGTGCATTTTTGCAACGTACCATCAAGGAGTTTGAACTGTCTGGGTTCTTAGATACATAGTTATACAAAAATTATATAAATTATTAAGAAACAATTTTAAGCATATCGCGAATTATTAAAAAAAAAACCCAACAATTTTAGATGAAATACTTTTCAAACATTTTATAGAAAAACAAGTTGTTATTAAAAAATAGTTTACAAGCTTTGAATAAAACTGCCTTAACGTACATTCTTAAATGAATTTCATCTCTTCTTTTCGTTGCTGAGTATTCTTAGAAATTATCATCATTATTGGAACACCATGGAGTACCTGATAAACAATAGTATTGGGCTACTGTTCTGTTCTTTTTGAAGATGTTCCGTATATTTGACATTGCCCCGATAACTTATTCTCTAACCTGGAACGGTTCTCCTTCGCATTTTCTTAAGATATGGTTGATAGAGAATCAATTCCATATTTCCATTTCAAAACTTTAATATTTTATGCACGAACTCTGAAACACAAACCCTTATATATGTATATAACTTATACATAACCTAGTTTAACATCTAGCTTAACACTAACACTAATACCACCTCATTGTTCAAGATCATTTCTGTAGAAAACTATCTAAATAGACATGCTGGCGCCTCCAGTTCATTGCCTTTGGAAGCTCCCTTAGACGATAATGAGATTAATTATGACATTTGTTTGTCAGCATCAGCGTTCATAAACTTCTCATCTGAATAAAACGCGCTTCTGAACAGCTTTTAAGAGATCTGTAGGTACTGTGTTTTCTCTTAAATGAGCGTTTTATTTGGTTAATCTTCATTTATGTAGGTAGTTTATAAATAACCGGAACACATTCTCATCAAATCTAGTCACTTATTCATTCATCTTGTGTAGTGTTGTTATTAAAGAAATTTTGTAGCCAGTATTGCCTTCCATTGGATTATAACAATTATCACAAACTCATACGAAACGCAATTATTCATTTCAAAGACTGTTAGTTACGTTGTTATCTATTGGCCTCTCGTTATCAGTTGATACTAAAACGCTTATTTTCATGGAATATCAAACTGAATTAGTGCAGTTCTCACACATGTTTTATGCATTCAAAATAAAACATTTATTTACAATTACTTTTTTATCAATAGTATCTATTTGATATAGACAAACAAATAATTATTGAAGGTGTTTCTTTTTATTGCATACTGTCTTCAAAGTAGCCTTGATGCAAAAATTCGGACAAGATTCTCTTGATATCTTCAATGTATTCAGGCTGATTGTAACACCTCCAGCGTGCATCTTCCTTTTGAATGACTTCCCCAAGATCACAGAAATTTCCCCGCATTGCAAATATCATTGGCAAAAATGTGGTGACCAAAAAGATTTCTACCAATGAGAAAATTGTCCAAATGAAATGATATAAGCATTATTATGTGGCTTACCATAATGTCTATGATTAAATAGTTGTCGTCGGAACTCAACAATGTGGGGCAGTTCGCCTTTACAGCCAATTTTTTGCAATGTGGAAGTGAAAGTGGTGAAGTAGAAGTATAATAACTCATCCTTATGGTTCTGTCGTTGTTTTTCATCCATTAGCATATAAAATGAATAAATTACATCGACAGTGAATGGACAAACATTAGATATTTGAAAGTCCAACAACATGCAGTCCTCGAAGGCACCGGTTGTTTCATTATTTTTCAACATCATGTTCCGTAAATGAAAGTCCCCATGACTGAGTACGTAATACGTATTCGGTTTCCGATCCAAACGATATTCGGAGAGCACATTTTCTAATTCTTTCAAATGGGAGCTGCGCATTTTTTCAAAATATGGCTTGAATTGTTTCAATTCAGGAACTTTGTCCAGAAGTCTTATAAAAAGATCTATTCCATTTTTTATATAGGGGTCCTCCGTAAAATTGGGTATTTCCATCAGGCCGTCTTTAAAGCTAGCAAACTGAACTTCATCCTAAAAAGCATATGTTAATAATTATTGTATCATTTTATAAAATAGGCGCTAAGCTTAAATACATTTTTAGCTAGTCACCGTTTGTCATACAGGTTTTTAATCTTATCTTAGTAAACGTAACGAATATACACGCTAGTTGTATGGCAATCTTATTTTGTTTGAAGATTTTCGCTAGCTAAGAGATAAGTATATTTCAATACATAGGCTATAAACGTAAAAATTCAACATACTTCCTTTAACAACTTGAAGCTGACGGCATGCCATTTGGCCAGTTTTGAGAGCGCACATTTTAATTCCTCAATATTCATAGATCGATCTCGTAATACATAGTAGCCCTGCGGCACCAAATCTTCAAATACCATCACTTTTCGCGGCTTGAGACTGTAAAATAAGCAAGGCACGTGCAGGACAGTGTTATCGCCGGCTGCTCGCAATATTTTCTCAAATTTGGGGAGCATTTCCGAATACATGCCGATTTCCGTTTCAAAAATACGCGACTCGCCCAACATATCCTTTTTGTGACCCTCCTGCTCGGGCATCGTCTTCACAATCAGCGATTTGGTAAACGTCTGATTGCGACAGGTATATGTTACGGCACCCCGAAACATTACACTCGCATAGTGATCGCCTTTAGCACTCGCCGGGGAAATTTTCACATGATTCACATTCAACTCCGATGTATTTTCATGTTTACTAAGCACATCTGCAAAAAACTCCGAATTTAGCCATGCTGGCGCCTCCAATTCGTCCTCATTGTAACTTTCGTTATTATCTCCCATTGCGACAATTTAAAACAATATTAATTGAGCTCAGTGTGCTATTAAAGTCAACCAATCCGAACAAAGTTCCATTAACTACTCACTTGCGCATGGCAGGCTACACACTTTTAAACCGAAATTATGAAGCTTTCGAGAGCTTTTTAAATTTTTTTTTTTTTAAGCACAGAGATATGTATTCATTTTATGAACAAATTGATTTGCTGCTAACTATTCCATTCAGCAGCATAACTGCGTAATGAAAACATTTATTTCTTCTTTCTTTAATTTTTTTATTCTAGAATCTAGATACATCACAACGCTATCTTTTATATAATCTATTCAAGTTTTGTTCGAGTGGACCGTGCGAGCTAACGAGTAAAATTTATAATAAATGAACATGTACAGACTAGATAACGTATGTGTGTATTTATTTAATAAACCGTAGTCAACTGCATTTGAAGAATACAAGTCAGCTAAACATTATTACGCTTGTGGGGCGTTTTCAATCCTAAACCAATTCTTTAATAATAAATCTTCTTCAACGCGTTATTAAACAAATCTGATCAACACATAGATTTTTATAATGAAAATCTTTCAAATTGATCTACATTGCTAAAAATTTAATATACGAGTATGTAATTAAAGTATATAATATTTTGTTGTCAAGATTTTGTATAAACAAATTCATTTTGTTGTGTAAAGGCAGCAGAGGGTATAGCTTCGACGCAGCCGAATGAACATAGATTTTTAGTTCATTTATTTTTCAATTCAAACTCAAACAATAACAATTGAGGACCGGGCCACTCGGGCTGTTTTCGATGTCAGTCAGTCAGAGCGTCGTTTCGAAGCCGTTCAAACGCATTTGGTTAAAACACAACTCGCATTAATTAAATACATTTCTTGTTTCCTTTAAAAATTGCAATAAACTACACTGAATACTTTTTTTTATCACATGAACACCGCCATCCGTCCTTTTAGTTTCGACTAATCCTTTTACATATGTTTTATGCATTCGAAATAACAATTTTATTTACAATTATTTTTTTTTCAACAGTTATTTCTATTTTATTGTGTTTATATTTATTGCACAATTTCTTCAAAATAGCCTTTATGCAAACATTCAGGCAAGATTCTCTTGATATCTTCAATGTACTCAGGCTGATTGTAACACTTCCAGCGTGCATCTTCGCTTATCATAAGTTCGGCGAAATCGCAGGAATTGCTTCGAATTGCAAATATCATTGGCAATAATGTGATGATCAAAAACATTTCTACAAATAAGAAAATATCCAAATTATATCATATACTCGTACTCGTAACCAATTTATTGCCTTCCCGTCACTTACCAAAGGGTCTATGATTAAATATTTGTCTTCGTAACTCAACAATACGGGGCAGTTCGCCTTTATAGCCAATTTTTTGCAATGTTGAAGTGAAAGTGGTGAAGTAGAAGTATAATAACTCATCCTTATGGTTCTGTCGTTGTTTTTCATCCATTAGCATATAAAATGAATAAACTACATCGACAGTGAATGGACAAACATTAGATATTTGAAAGTCCAACAACATGCAGTCCTCGAAGGCACCGGTTGTTTCATTATTTTTCAACATCATGTTCCGTAAATGAAAGTCACCATGACTGAGTACGTATACGTGTTCGGTTTCCGATCCAAACGATATTCGGAGAGCACATTTTCTAATTCTTTCAAATAAGAGCCGCGCTTTTGTTCAAAATATGGCTTGAAACGTTTCAATTCAGGAACTTTGTCCAGAAGTCTTATAAAAAGATCTATTCCATTTTTTACAAATGGGTCCTCCATAAAATTGGGTATCTCCATAATGCCGTCCTTGTAGCTAGCAAACTGAGTCTCATCCTAAAAAGTATATTTTTATAATTATTGTATCATTTTATAAGATCAAATACTTTTTTAGCTGGTCACCGTTTGTCATACAGCTATTTAATCTTATCTTAGTAACGAAAATACATGCTAGCTGTATGGCAATCTTGTAGGCTATAAACGTAAAAATTCAACATACTTCCTTTAACAACTTGAAGCTGACGGCATGCCATTTGGCCAGTTTTGAGAGCGCACATTTTAATTCCTCAATATTCATAGATCGATCTCGTAATACATAGTAGCCTTGCGGCACCAAATCTTCAAATACCATCACTTTTCGCGGCTTGAGACTGTAAAACAAGCAAGGCACGTGCAGGACAGTGTTATCGCCGGCTGCTCGCAATATTTTCTCAAATTTGGGGAGCATTTCCGAATACATGCCGATTTCCGTTTCAAAAATACGCGACTCGCCCAACATATCCTTTTTGTGACCCTCCTGCTCGGGCATCGTCTTCACAATCAGCGATTTGGTAAACGTTTGATTGCGACAGGTATATGTTACGGCACCCCGAAACATTACACTCGCATAGTGATCGCCTTTAGCACTCGCCGGGGAAATTTTCACATCAAGCACCTTCAACTCCGATGTATTTTCATGCTTACTAAGCACATCTGCAAAAAACTCCGAATTTAGCCATGCTGGCTCCTCCAATTCGTCCTCATTGTAAATTTCGTTATTATCTCCCATTGCGACAATTTAAAACAATATTAATTGAGCTCAGTGTGCTATTAAAGTCAACCAATCCGAACAAAGTTCCATTAACTACTCACTTGCGCATGGCAGGCTACACACTTTTAAGCCGAAATGGTTCGAAACTTTCGAGAGCTTTTCTAATTGTTTTTTTTACGCTCAGAGATATTTCATTTCATGAGCAAATTGATTTGCGGCTAACTATTCCATTCAGCAACATAACTACTAAATGAAAACTTGTTCATCAGCTTTAAACATTTAACTAGCCTTTATCTATTTGTTCTTTCTTTAATTTATTTATTCTAGATAACATCACATCGCTATCTTTTATATAATCTGTTCAAGTTTTTTTGCAAATAAGCATTACAAATATCAGTTGATAATAGTGAGCGAAAAGTATTCCGTATTGTCAGTTCTATCAAGTAATTAACAATGAGCCACTTTAAATGCATAGCCGAGTGGACTGTGTGAGCTAACGAGTAAAATTTATAATAAATGAATACACCTAATTCTGTTTTTAACGGTAGATTGGACCCTAAAAAAGTCGTGTAATAAAAAGACATTGATGAATCGTGCTAATGTAACCATACAAGTATATAGAATTTATAATTTTTACACCGTGTTAAATCAAAACCGTGTAAAAAAAATACCGTGCAAAAACAGAGTTAGGTGTACATATACATCTGGTTCCGGATTGGTTCCATATGCAAAAATAGGTGATTGGTTTTTATGAAATTTTTTTAAGTTTTCAAACCGTGTTATATCAAAATCGTGTAAAAAAAAACCGTGTAAAAAGAGAAATAGGTGTATTTATATAATAAACAGTTATCAACTGCATTTGAAGATCATTACTACGCTTGTGTGACGCCTAAAATTCCAACTTATAATCTTCTTCATCGGGTAATAAAACAAATCTGGTATATTCTTATACAATGTTAATAAGGTTTTTATAGCGATATTCCTCTATTCAACTTACTTTAACCGACAGGCTTACCATTATTCTTTCTCTCAAACATTTGATCCCTTAACGCTGCTAGCTTCGGCATCGGACCTTTGTAGTTAATACTTTGCAATGTCTTGGAGAATGTATCAAAGAAGTGGTAAACCAATTCATCTCGATTGTGTTTCCGATTGTCAGCACTAAACAACATATAAATGGCATACATAAGATCGTTGGTCATGGGACCTACATTGCATATTTGAAAATCAAGTAGCATGCAATCCTCCAAAGCATCAGTTGATTTATTATTTTTGAACATCATGTTACGCAAATGAAAGTCCCCATGACAGAGCACATAGTACGTGCCCGAACGTTGATTTTCTCGATACTCGCGTAATGTAGTCGCCCAGCTTTTTAGAAGCGTGTTCCGCATGACGTCGAAATACCTTTGATATTTACTTAAACTTGGGACTTGACCCAGCATCTCAATGAAATTTGGTAGACCACCTGTTATAAATTTTTGATCCAAAAAATTTGGTATTTCCGTCAAATCGTAACGGCATTTATCCAAGAGTTCGGGCTGCTCTGCCAGGACTTTATAACTGACTGCCTGCCATTTGGCCAGCTTGGTGAGTGCTGCCTTGAGTTCATCTACATTCGCGTCTCTGCCGCGCACAACATGGTACCCCTGGGGTATCATATCTTCGAACACCATCACTTGTCTCGGCTTCAAGCTATGATAGACGCAAGGCACAGAAAGTATGGTATTATCTCCAGCCGCACGAAGTATAGCCTGAAATTTTGGTAGCACTTCCGTATACATTGCTATCTCGGTGGGAAAGATGTGCGCATCCCCTAGAAACTCCTTCTTCTGGCCCTCCTGCTCGGGCATGGTTTTTATAATAAAGGATTTCGTAAGGTCCGCCTTACGGCAGGAATATGCGATTGCAGCTCGAAACATAACACTCGCATAGTGATCGCCTTTAACACTCGCCGGAGACAATTTCACTTCAATAATCTTCAATTCCGCATCATTTTCTAAACTTAGCAGCAGTTCCGTAAAAAATTCATCATTTAACCAAGTAGGCGGTTCTAACTCATCTAGAGTGTAGTCATTATTATTATTTGTCATTTTGCAGCACTTTTAGATAATATTGTTAGTTGGCAATTCACACGGAACTGAAGGCGCTGCCCATTCCTCCTCAATATATAAGACGAGTGCCGGAGAAAGCTTTTGTCGCAAACAACAGCATTTTGAAATAAGACAGCTGTTAAAAGCTAAAGACTAATAGCCGAAGAGCTTTCAACAAATTAAATTACAGCTAAAAAAAACATTACCAGAAGCCATTTCGCTTATCAGTGTATCCGAGGGTTTTAAGATTATAACTAAGCATTTAAAATTCTTGATTGTTGATCTTAAAAGTGAGCTTAAAGTCGAGCTGCATGTTCTGAACATCAAACTTGTATTTAAGTGCTTTGTAATTCTCGTTATTTATTTTGCATGGTAGAATGTTTCCATAATCTGTACATAACCTAGTTGAAAACGTATATCGTTGATTTTTAAGATAGGATACCTTTTGAAATGGTGCATTTATTATACATATAATATATTTTCCAACAAATATATACATACTTGGCTAAACAGCCAATAGAATAAGTAAATATTTAAATCCTTTATATAACGTAGTCTAATCTTATTGCGATCTTTGAAAACAAACAATACCAAATCCCCAGGGATTTTTCTATAATTATTAAGTATTAATATCACTGCTCCAAATCGAGTAACCCTTGTCGCTCATAGATCGGCAATAGTTCTCGTAAAATTGTATGGCAACGGGGATTCGTATAACAGGCCCTCTTTAAATTAATGCTACGCTGATTGGTCTGCATAAGGCCGGTGAAATCCGCATCCTCTGTTTCGACATTTCGCTGCACAGCAAATACCACGGAGCTGGTATGGAAAGCTGCAAAGGAAGACAACTGTATTATAAGACATTAGCCAAAATATTAATAATAACGCACCATAGAAGGCCTTTTCCTCCAATTGTAAATGGAAATTATGGAGACTTGGTATACGGGATTTGTAGCGTAACTTCCTCAGCGTATCGGAGAATATGTCAAAATAATACTTAATAAGTTCCTCGTGTCGGTTAAGGTGCATATCCAATTGTAGAGATGAGTTCAGAAAGTAGAACAAATCAATGGCCGGCGAACCCCAAGCAGCATATTGAAAATCAATTATGATGACATCCTCGGCCTGACCCTTCGAATCGTATTTGACGAGCACATTATTCGTCCAGAGATCACCATGGCAGAGCACATTAATGTGACCTTCGGTTACGTCGAAGACCCGCTTGCCCAACTCCATGTAGATGGGCACCAATGCAGCCAACTTCTTGGCGTAGTCTTCGTAGCCGGGCCATTGGGCAACACGATTGCTGCACGCCTCAATCATTCCCAAGAAGAAAGGGGCATAGTTGTCGGTATGTCTATTGAACATACCCTTATCGTAACTCTCTAAAGCGCCATCCTCCCGCTCGTTCAAGACTGCCGTTGTTGCGTGCATCTTCGCCAGCTTTCGGAGCACCAGACGCGCCGCATCCATATCCAGTCCGACCAAACGATCTGGCATAACGAAATTCCGCACATTTAAATCCTCGAATATCAGAGCCGAGCGCTCGTAGTCAACGGCCATGGTGTCAGCAAAGATCTGCTCATTATCGCCGATTTCGAGCAACAAGTTCTTCAGCTTAGGCAAGATCTGTTCGTATATACACATCTCACGATTAAATATATCATATGGTTCCATGGTCTTGCGCGCAAATTCATCGCTCTCGAAAGAGGTCTTGACTATGTAGTGACCCCGTTGGTTGCTGCCATCACTTTTGATGAAATCTGCTTTGACCCGCGACAGCACTCCTCCATAATTCTCACCACGGCCCAAGGCAGGTCGCACATGAACCGATGTTATTTTTAGCTTCTCATCTTTGTAGAACTTACGCAGACTATTCTGCAGGTAGCACTCTGTAAACCATTCGGGTGCACCTGATAAACAGGAATTACTTTTCGAAGCACTGCCGCTATTATCCGTTTTCAATTTTGGGACATTTTCGAAGGCACTAATTAGATCCGATACCGACATTTTAAAAATATTTTGGCATAAGTATGTAAATCAAGTTCACTTTTTTGATCCCCACTCTCAGAGATGCTCAGTTGATTTGATCGCCAAAGAAAGCGCAGTTAGCTTTTATACGCCGATGTGCTACTATAGTACTATCTAATGAGACATCTTGTTGAAACAATTGTGATTTATGCGTCCATAAAGGCGTAAGTTCGTTGTCTGTGGGAGCATTATAAAAGTGCACAGATAATTTTTATTGAGTCGCACACTTCAGAAGCTGCGGGACAATTAAACGTTCTATAAAGCCAAAAAAATTTGTGGTTAGATTGCTCGAATTCAATTCAGTATTATCCGCGATCCTTATTTTGGCATATTTGTAAAATTGTACAGTTTGAAAAGCAGCGTAGAGTTACAATAATTAGGTATGATATAAATCTAAAAGTTAGTGCATATAAGCGTGCTCTTATCGCAGACGGTTTATTCAAGTACAGAGCCGCATTCGTAAAAAAATAAGTCTTCGACAAATATGAACAACAAAGTACCTGGCCTGCATGACGACTATTCATATTTGGCTAGACGTATGCCAATTTTCGCCTTACCATAGGGGTGAAAAAATAAATTAATTATTTATGTAAGAAGCAGAAGGTCACGTGATAGACCTCATGTTATAGTCATGTCTGTTCGTCTAGAAGAACATCGAGATCTTTTGAATTATAGCAATTAGAAACAGCAAGCCTGACACGTGTTCTTTGTTTACTTTGTTTGCGAATTTAGTTTAAGACACTATAATGCTTCAATAAGATATGTTGATCTTCTTCAATTTAAACTTCGCATTAGCAAACTAGATGTTCGAGTGTCTGAAGCGTGTGAAAGCAATATCTTTATGGTACAATGGTAATCTATGTCTCTCTTAAACTTAGCGAGCCTTTAAAAGATTTCCAGTGTAGTACTATGTTGGCTTGTAATTGGAAATGTTTCTTATGTTGTTGGATGATTTAACTGCCACATTTAAAAGTTTATTGCCATTTTAGACTTGGATACAGGATATATAGTACAAGAGTCGGTTTTTGGATTCAATGCCATTAAAAACTAATAGCTTTTATCCCGAACTTTCTTTTCAGTTCCCCCTCGTCAGACCTGTTCCTTTGAACATCTCTTAGCTTTGACTGACAGGTATATATTTGGGATTATAAAAAACTTATTCAACTTAAGATAAAAGAATACCACACATGATAAATCAAATCGATTCCCACATTTGTTGACGATGTTGTCTAGTGTTGCATTCGCCAGCAATGTGAACATTACAAATCGTCTTCAAGATCAAGGATTAAATTAAATTGGTACTAGAAAGAATTATTGGACCTGTTGTAAATTATAACCCGCGTCATCAGTCTGTGTTCGTAAAGCTGTAGCTATTCAAAGATATGCATAGCCTATGAGAGTGAGCCAGACAATTTTATTTCAGCTTGATACTGCAAACAATTGTTGAGCCCCAGCCATAGAAATGAGTAGATAGGCCCCATATTTAAATGTATATAAAAGGCAAGTAAAGCGTCGCATTCGTAACAGATTAAGAATTTCAGTCGCACTTAAACAGGCCAGACACGCGCAGCAAAATATGGCGGCAATATCCCCCGAGTGGCTTACACGCGACTACGTGGAGCAAGCACTGCGTACCTTTTATAAGGATGCTGCTCTAAAACTTATACACTTGGATATAAATCCAGCTTTGGGTCCGGGAGAGAATTACGGCGGTGTCTTAACACGCATGCTCGTCCGTTTTAGGTTATCCAATGAAACCGATGAAAAAAAAAATCATCTCATTGTGAAGACTTCAATAGAGGACGATGAGTTGTCCCAGGAACTTATGTCCCACTATGACATCTTTAATCGCGAAATTACCATTTACGAGGAGGTGCTGCCCAAGCTCAATGAGTTGCTGATCGAGATTGACGAATACGAGCAGCTGTTTCCAACAGCTTTATATGTGGACAGAGAGCGTAGTGCCATCATATTCGAGGACTTGAGCATTAAGGGCTATGTGATGGCCGATCGCATAAAGCGTCTGGATACAGAGCATGTCCAGCTCATATTGCGAAAACTGGCCAAGATGCACGCTACGTCGGCAGCTTTAAACGAACGCAACAATGGATGCCTGGAGGGATATGATCGGGGATTTTTCAATCGATATACGAATGCCTATAGCGGCTACTTTGTGGGCAGTCTATTGGCTGCAGCTCGCTGGTTATCCAAGAGGTCCGAGTGCGTCCATTATGCACAAAAGCTCTTTGAACTGGCTCCGCACTATATGGATATTGGCAGGGAATGCTTTCATCCCACACCCGGACATGTCAACGTTCTGGCCCATGGCGATGTGTGGACCAACAATGTCATGTTCAAATATGATCCGAAAACGGGCAGACCGGTGGATGTATTGCTAATTGACTTCCAATACTCCTTCTGGGGCTCCCCGACTATCGATTTGCATCACCTTTTCAATACGTCATTGCAGGAAAAATTACGGCGTGAGGAGCAGAACTCATTCTTTCAGTTCTACCATCGTATCTTCACGAGCACCCTCAGAAAATTGAATTACCGTCAGAATACCATACCTACTCTACATCAGTTTAAATTGCAAGTGGAGAAGAAACGCTTCTTCGGTAAGTTTACGTAAATCCTATTTCAGATCTGCAATACAAATTGAAAATTCTTTCAGCCGTACACTCCACCGTGGTCATACAACCAGTAATGATAAACGAAGACCCTACAGATGCCTCCTTTAATGCGCTAATGAACGATGATGAACGTGGAACTAGCTTCAAGGATCGACTCTACAACAATCCTGAAGTACAGCAGAATTTAAAGCACTTTCTGCCAGTATTCGAAAGAAAGGGACTTTTAGAAGTAAATCAATGCTCTTAGAATAATTCTGTTGATTAAAAGTGGTCAACAAATATGTTTAAAATTTAATAATAAATACTTGTTAGTTAAAATAGATTTCAGAGAGGTGTACAATTTCTACGGGATGGTCAATTAATAATACATACAAGTACATACATATATATAATCCTACATACTTTTGATATGTTTGAATGTAACTCTGTCCTGGCTGATTTAGTCATTTATGGTTAAGAGTTAAAATTCATGCACAACCTTCCTTTCCTATAGCAAATGAATACCATATCTTGTTAAAATTAACCCTCAAATTGGGTAAATTTAAGTCCATATCTTTATGAAACCGTTGTTTTTTATTCAATTATCTAGTTAATGAAGAAAATAATTAATAGAAGTCCAGCAATACTAAATTTAAATAACATTTAATCATTTTTTATGATTTTAACCCAAAAAGAACAAATTTAGCATATAGTATGAGACAACGACCTATTATATGATGCATTTCCTATCTCTGCTTTAAACTCAGAATGGCATAGCGACGTTATTCGTAGTGACTGGCTTCTGTATCTATTTACACATGCCATTATCTCGGCTTAATAAAGCAAATATGCAAATAGATTAGTGTTTCTATTTAAAGTGTCAAGAAATAAACGCGCGTTTTGTCGCCCCATGGAGATGGTTTATGATACCCACACTTACTAGAGATAGTTGTAGATTAGTTTATATTTTCATACCTATGTATTTATGTATGTATCTGCAGCCCATCTGGGTATATATGTCTGTTCTTACCACGATACCGACTACTGCGCTGTGGTGGAATCCGTTCCGACATCAACGATATTCTCTCTCTTTCGCAGTGGAACTTACGTCACTAGTTATCCAACCCGTTATATGATGATAGGTAATCAAAACGGGGATACCGACCTTAAGACGGATATGGCCACCTATATACATATGTAAAAATAATGGAATGTACTAATATTTAAATACTGTACTGTAATCACTCTCGTTTATTTACGATGTAAACTTTCTTAAAAGCAAAAATTTAGGTTTAATTTTTTCAAAATAATATAAATATTTTTTAATATATATACAGTACATATGAATAATGAATTTAAATAAATTGCCTTTTATCTTTATAAAATGCCCAGAAATATTTATTTCTTGCCCAAAACATAAATGTATTAACATTATAACATTTACAGATATATGTATTAGTGAATATTTTGTAAAAAATTCCAGATGTTAATGCATATCATCTAGCAGGCCTTTACGATCGAAAAACGGCAGCAGTCTGTGCAATTTATTTATCATAACATCATTTTGAAAAACGGAATCTTTAAACTGCATAGCACTTTCATCTTCGGAAAGGATTATTTCAATGGAACCCTTCTCCTGGCCTTGATAAAGCTGGACCGGCTGGAAAACTAGCGCACCGAAAAGCCCTAAAAACATTGCGCATATAAAGCACTTAAGACAATCAAAATATATAAACCTAAGGATAACTCACCGTAAAACGCACGTGCCTCGAACTGTCGTTGGAACTCAAAAAGACTTGGGATATACCCAGCATATCGTAGTTTCTTTAGCACCTCCACTAACTTATAATAATAGTATTGCACCAATTTCGGCTGATCTTGCAAGCGCACTGGTTCGGGCAACGATGTATTTAAGAGGTAGTGAAGATCGATGGTTGGAGAGCACCAAACACTGAATTGAAAATCGATCAGTATGGCATTACTGGGTCTCTGTTGTGCATCGTATTGAAACATAACGTTCATCGTCCAGACATCGCCGTGAGCGAGCGTCATAAAATCACGATCGTTCACATCTGTTGTTCGTTCCCCATACTCCATGATGTGATCACACACCCAGATTAGTTTATCGCGATAGCGTTCGCATAGCTTCGACGGAACGAATTAGTGCCTTAAAAAGCTGCTCCATTATGGGCTGATAGCCACGAGTGTAACGATTAAAGATACCACGATCGAAATTTTTGGCATAAATTCCAGGCTCGCGCTCATTTAGAACCGCTCCTATTGCGTGAAATGTTGCCAATTTCTCAAGGACCAGTTGCGTATGTTGCAAGTCTAAGCGCTTGAAGCGACAGGCCATTCCATAATTCTCCAGCAACATATCTTCGAACATGATAGCCGAAACCTCTCGATCTACGTTCACAGTGCTCGCAAAAAGTTTGCTTTCATCGCCGAGCTCCTTGAGTAGCAGCGCCAGCTTTGGTAATATAATCTCATACATATCCATCTCCCGTATGTAGATATTATAGTCCCGCACTACATTAGCGCTCAGATCCTGTTCGGCAAATGATGTCTTTACCAAGAAAGACACTGAATCAGTTCGCCCTTCGGACTTTCCACGACTATACTTCACATTTATGCGCAATATAATGCTGGCGAAATTATCTCCTTTGGCAGTGCCTGGTAGGACGCGTAATTCCTGCACTCGCAGCTCGGAATCTTTATAATATTCACACAATTTGTCCTGAACATATTTATCGGTTAACCAAACTATATATCAATAGCTTGTTCCGTCATAACGTTTCAGCTATCAATTAAAGAATGCCAGCGCGACATACAAACGCTATGCTTTTCAAATCTTTCCCCAACCTTCTTATCAAAGAGATTAACGCAGCATGTCTTGGACATTGGCAAGCAATGGGCGCATTCACCAGACACAACTGATAACCTCTCACTAAAATATGTGATCACTGATACATTCTGGTGAATGCAGTGATACTTTTGTGTAAGTCCCGGCGCCGCTAAAATGCATAACATAGAAGCGCTGAGCGCAAGGTCGGTAAATATTACTTGCGGCAAACAAATACATACATATGTATGTGTATATAGCTGATCGAAAGTTATCACAAATGTATCACTCCATTTTTATAGCCTGTACCCAAAGGGTGAAAGGCTATACTAGTTTTGTGCGCATGTATGTAACACGCAGAAGGAGGCGTGGCAGACCCCACAAAGTACATATATTTTTGATCAGGATGACAAGACGAGTCGATATAGCTATGTCCGTCTGTCTGTATGAGCGCAAGGATCTCAGTAAGTACAGGAGCTAGGATAACCAAAATTGGTATGAAGGTTCCTATAAGCCCTAGGCAGATCGAGTTTGTTTATTTTTTCTGATACACCCCCCCACTCCCCCGCAATTCGTGTTTTTTTTCATAACTCCCATAATTCTCGGAATTTTGAAATCAATTTTGGTAGGTACATCGTACTAATGTGTCCGTGTGCCAAATTTCATCATGATAGGTCAATTCTGAAGAAAGTTATAGCCATAAGTAAAATCGCTGCTCATGCGCTGCCTGCAGCTCTGTCGGCAGCGCTGCCCGCAGCTGTTGTTGCTGCTTTTGTTCAACTTTGTGCTGCATACATACACGCATATGAACACGCATAGGTACGTGATGTAAATGTATGCTGTTAAAACTGAACATAAACATGTATTCTAATTTAATTTAATTAATTCATTCATTCATTCATTTTTTTTAACAATTTAATTTTTTTTAATTTTTCTTTTTTGTGGAGAGTACAGGCTATTTTACTGTCGGGCTTGCTCGACTGTAGCGTTCTATCTTGTTGTGATACATTTGTAGTGATCATGATCACAACATTTGCTGATCATGGTCAGTGATCAGTCCATTCATCAGGGACTGATCAGTGATCAATGATAAGTTGTGCCTGAATTGCGCCCAATAATGATAACGATAAATAATAATGATTCCAACTGGTTTTCAAAGTTTTTTTGTAATTATCTAACATTCTAAAGCAGATTGCATTTAAGGTTAACGTAGAAATTTATTAATAATGTACACTACATTTTCTACTCTTGTAACTATGTATATATGATTTCCCTAGAAATCCCAGCCTGCATATTCTTTCACCACATCCTTGTTCTCTTTGCGATGTCGATGCACAGCGCTGGCTTCGCCTTTGGCCACACAGCGTTTACGTTGGTCGCGCTTCTCACGCGCATCCATATTCCTTTTAATTCGATCTGTGATGACCGATGGGGCTATCGTGCTTGCCGTTGTCGAGTACGAGCGCTGACTGCGCGCGTCGTTCAACAGCTGTTCGACCATCTTTAAACGATACATGCGCGAGTTTGGATCTAGACCAGCTAATTCGGGTATATCATCTGTTTCCAAATCGTTTGAGCTGATGGAATGCTCGTCGCTATTAAGATCTTTTGTTTCAGCTTGAATAGCTTGTTCTTCGATTTTGGGCATATTCTGAGGCTGTTCTTTTGGCAAAACAGTCAGCTTTTGTGTCACAGTCTCTGTATTTTTCTCTGGCACTTCGGCCATGGTCAGATTGCCCAAATATTGAGTGCACGACTCTATATATCGCCTTATAGCGTCGTCAGACTTCTGAGTGGACTTTGTTTCGCTGTAACATACCTCGGTTTCAACTTGTTTGCGATATTCGTCGATTTCGATGGCGGTAGCAGGCACTAAAGTGGGCACATCATCCACAACTGTGTCTTCTGTATGGTCAGCTTCTGTTCTTTCAATCATGCCATATTCGAGCAATAAATCTTGTTCCATTTCCTTTGTAAATCCATAACCTGTGCAATGCACTTCAGCATCCAAATTATCGTCGCGCACCAAATCACTAAATTTCGGATAGTCCTGGCTTTCAAAGCCAAATTTACGTCGAAACATTTCGCGCACACAGGTCACATCACGCTCGAAGAAGCTGTGGGGAAAATAATTGTTCAACAACATATTGAATCATTCACACAAACTACTCCAATATCTTACAATTCGGCGTTTTCATGAGCAGTAGACATCATTTGTGGGAAGTCAATCAGTATGGGTTTGCCAGCATCGGTTACCATTAAATTAAATTCATTGAAATCGCCGTGAATAACACCAGAGTTTCCCAACCGAACAATAAGATTCATAAGATCATCATAGACTTGCGCTGGATCCAACAGCTCATGCACTTGCGTCCTGGGTAAATATTAAATTAAAGACAATCGAATTTTTAAATTTAGCTACACATACATGGGCCAACCATTAACAAGTTCCATCAGAACACAATGCCGATTGAAATCAATGGGTTTGGGTACAGGAAATCCGCGATCATATAGAGCCGACATATAAGCAAATTCTCGTGTTGCTGAAATGCGCGACAAGTACAGCCAGGAAGTCTTATGGCGACGACCATGATAATCGCGCTTTGACTTCACATTGCGAAAACAGGTACGGCCCAGGCGATGCAATTTTAAGCAAATTGGCGTGCCCTCCTCATCGGCAACCACATAGATATTAGACTCCTTGCCAATGCCAATTTGATTGCCAAACGAGCTGACTGAGCCACGCAAGGTTAGAGATTTCAAAGCCAAATAATCATAACCAGTGTTTGTGAGCCGATAACCATCGTCTGTGAAAGTCGAGATCTTACATTTTAAAGCATTCCAAACAACGTATGTAGGTATATATTACTTACACTTCTTTCCACGCTCATAGGCCACCAATTTATGCTTGCATAGTTCTTTAAGTAGTTTATGTACGCCGCCAGTTTTTAAATTCGCAATAGCCGCAGCCAAAGGTCCAGGCACCAATTCGTGATTCTTCATGCCCATTTCAATCTGCAGTTACGTACATAAGTATGTATATCTATATGTATAACACTTGTTTGCATATTTACTTACCGCTGTGAGGACGCGAAAATCTTCCTTGGTCAGGTAACGCAGAACAGTGACGTTTAATTTACCCATATTTGCCTTTTTTAATATTTTCGCATTTATTTTGACTATTCCTCCCACGTGCAGCTGACAATTTCCAATCGATAAGCGATAGTTTCGTGCAGCAGCTAATCGTTAACTTAATCGAACCGGACCGAACAAGAAGCGAAAGAGCTGGCAGACGACAAAAGAAAGTGCAGTACCAACAGAAAATTAAATATTATTGTATTCGTTTGCTATCGAAGTAAAAATTGCTTCCAAGTACAGTTCAAAATGAAAAATGGTGACAAGCGAGAGGTAATAATTAATTACTTTTAATAAACTTAGCATACTACGAATTTTTGCATGCAGGAAATAATTTCTAAATCTGGAGAACTTGAAAATATTCCGCCAAAAGGAACCATAAACCAAGTTTCAGGGACTTATTCGCAATTTTCTGGATGTGGCGGCCGGCGTTTCTGTGGGTCAATTGTTAACCGCAGCGCCATAGCTAAAAATGTACAATATGTAAAAAATGAATGTAGTAAAAACATAACCTCAAAGACGATGAATTAATTAATATTTTGTTGGATTTTAAACTTTAATAAACAAATATAGAATAAATAAAATGCCTCTTTGGATCGTGTGACGGCCATCTTTGGTGTCCATCGAATACCGCTAGATGTTCGCTTTTTGTTGCTTACATTTTAAATGGTACAAGCTGGTTCATAATTTTCAGGGCTCAAAAAGCAAGATCTTCATTTGTTGGATTTAAGGAACTGGTTCCACCTAGCGTCAACCGCTTTCTCTCGTTAGTCAGCACTACCAGTCATTGGTGGATGTGCTACACAACACTGCTACATTAGTGTAAAATTCAGTCGTCGTGTCGTGTACAAAAATCAATTACTGCTGAAATTAAATACGCAAAGTGTTTCCGCGAGTAAACAAGAGTTGTCATTGCAAACGTGCGCGCATCAAACACCGTCAACGTCCAACAGAAGCGCCACTTCATAGAGCTACAATTGCTGCAAGAAGACGTAGGCAAATAATTGTATTCGAGTGTGTGTGTATGTATGTATGTTATTATGACTCGTGCCTTTTGCCGACTGTAGCAATAAAAAAACTCTAGACCACGTTTAAGTGGTCTGTAATTGCGTTAAAATAACGTAAACAAAAGTGCAAGGTTGTGTTCAGTGCCGCGATTTAAGTAATATGGAAATTTTTGTATAGCCAGAGCCACAGCTTATCATTGGCTACGCAACAAGGCGCGCGCACTCCCCTCGAAACAGTTATCAAACTGTCGTTGTTGTTGTTGCTATCGGCGTGTCTGGCGTTACCAAGTCTCATTGACAAAATTCAAAAACAACAAAGTATATGCAAAATTTGTAGTTAAAAACGCGTGTGAAGGTTTTATTCATTTATTCATTCAAATTCAGTGAAATTTAATTTAAATTGTAATGGACTTCCTCTCTTTCTCGCTCTCCCTCTCACATGTGTGATTGGAACGCCGCTCTACTTTTGGCCAAACAGTAAATTGTCGTTACCAGAGTAGCAGCCAAATCCAATTGGAAAAATGCAAATCAAGGAATTGTGAGTATGCGTTATAAAATTACAATGTTTCTTTATATAGTTTTTATATTATTTTTGCCATAAGTTTAAATGTGTGATTGTAAATACTTACTGTAAATTGTTGTGACAAATCGATTTGCCACACTCATTTGCTCTCGCGCGTTCACTCTCGCACGTGTATGTGTGTGGGTTAGTGTGTTGTGTCCCCGTAGTAACGAGTGTAAGCTCTTCACCGCTATTCGGCAGTAGGAAACATCCGCAAACGTATTATGGGGGAATTTTCTATAGGTAGGATATTGGATTTCGCCGTTTGGCGATCCAATCTGACGACGTGTTAATTTTATTAATCTTTTATGGCGCCCTACTGGCTGGGACTTAAACCTAAATATATTTGTATATCTTTTACATACACAGCTCACAACTTGCAGCAATAGCTTTTCTGTCTGCATTCTGTCTGTATTCCTTTTCTTCGCAACACCAAAAATAGATTAACAAACTGCAAACTATTTTGGGTCGACCACTAATGACCGAAAATGCTGTTGAAACGCCTAAACGCAAACTATCCCGTTTGTGCTACAGGGTTACTAGTGACAACTATTATATTGGCTCGGAAACAGCTGCAATTAAACAATATTTTAAAAGGTTTTTAAATGACGGACTTTGTTCGTCCATCTGGTCACCCTTAGTCGATTTCAGTTTATCAGTTTAAATGCGTACGCCTTCCATATAACAGCGATCCAAAAAGTTTCCTCTTATCAACAAATTTAACACTCCGCCGCCTGCCCTGTTTGATTATATTCTTTATACTGCTTTTCGACTTGGCGATGACGCAATTACATACTTTTTAAGCTTATTAATGTTTCTTCCTACACACACATACTTAATATAATAAATACATATGGAGAGTTTGGCACACAAATAAAAGGCGGACTTTTAGCATAAGTATGCGAACATTTTCGAAAGTTATAAATTGAATAATTGTACTCGTATTTATTTTTAACCATCGACGTCACACAACCACCTTATGCTTTAATTTGTGAAGGTGTTGTTGTTGCCACGTTTTCAAAACTGTCTCGTATATTAACCTTTTTTGTGGTTTCTTTTGTAGTAAATGCTTCGTATGAGTCATTTTGTTAATTCTCTCTCCCTGTTATCTCTTTTTCTGTCTTATTCTCTTGCTGTTGTGAATATTTAACGTGCCGGTTTTTCTGGCCACATATTGGGTATGCGTTATCAAATCGGTTTAATCGGACATGTGCATAATGCCGTCTGACAGATAACGCCGTTCGTGTTTCCGACTCTTTATGCCTCAGTGCTTTCATTTATTGATTTGATAATAAAGCATTAAAACGATTTACTTGCCAATTTTCCTGAGTAACTCAAACCACAACACCTGCAAGAACTCTCATTAGATGTTGTTGTTATAGATTTTACGCTGCTTTCCCCAAAGTATAACTGAAATTTATAAGCACTATGAATAAATAATGAAATTTTATATTAAAGTTGAATGAAAGAATTATTAAGTCATTTAATTATTATTCAATTATACCCGCATTCAATTAAAGGACTCAACCTTATGATTCATTTTCACAGCACACATTTCAAACTTTTAAACATTTTAAGTATTCTTTCACAACCTGCAAGTAGGAATGTACGTGTGTGTATATATATTTATGCATTTATGTACATACATACATACTATGTATGTACGTGTCATTGAGCAAATCCATATGCAAATTGCTTACGTTTCTATTGGACTCACAGTTTGGATGACGCACTAATATATAGTATCGCCTCTACCTTTCAACATACATGCACATGTATGTACAAGTATGTATATATTTACATGCGTACATATATGTGCATGTATGTGTACGGGTACATACATGTTTCTAATTTAGTAGCGGAAATTGCCAAAAATTCTCGTTCAATTTTTAATTGATTTGACTTCGCTTTGAAGGTTATTCGATATTTTGATTAGAATTGAAATGCCGCAACACTGAATACAATACATATTATAAATCAATAGGCAACAAAGTCCTTAAAGTAGATCACATTTGTATGTTAATATTTATTCCGCTTAAAATGTAGCAAATTTTTATTTTTGTACGTGATTGTTACATATGTACGTTTGTTAATAAGATAATTGACAAACATCAAACGTTTGCCCAACAATTAACCTCTTTGTCGTACTCAAGGTTAGCTCTACATTTTGACTCACATCACTCTCGCAAATGGACTATTATTTGTTTACACTTCGCTGCAAACATAACAATTTCACATTTGTATATTTTACAAGGCATGAAAATATGCTGGTACAGTAAATATAGCCTATATGGAAGGTGGAAATACATAATTCATTATTGAAAAGTGTAGCTAAAAAACAAAACCATGCACTATTGACAATCATGTACAGTTTTTATCAATATGTTTTGACCTTTCGTTTGCAGCCCACTTTAAAACGTATTTCAATTTAATTCCCTTTCTTAAATCTCGTTTTATGTATCATCTATATATTTATCTATTGACGATTAGTATTCAGGGAATGTCGAAATAATCCGGATTTCCGAGACATGTTCCAAAATTGTAAGAATAATTTTAGTGGCGACAAATTGTAGAACATATTTGTATTAAATGATTTATTAATTATTTGTAAAATCTACTTTTATGACAGGAATTAGTAATCTTCATTGGTAACAGCTTTTGTTTTATATTTCTTTCTGCAGTATATTTAGAATAATACGTTCTAAAATATTCACGACACTCAAATTACCAGATAAAGATTGAAAATAAATTATTGCAATAAATATAAACAGTGAACGGGACGGAAAAAAAGATACTTCAATGAGAATGAAATATTCCTACGTCGACTTTGCACTCTTTTATAAGTATTATAGCCCTATTTGTTTTACCAAGAACTTTGCGTGAATGAAATTAATTCAAGATAGTGCAAAAATTAATATATTTTCGAATATGTTGACTCTTCTTTATATATTTGAAATACGTCACATGCATAGCCGATGATGATTGTTCCTTCTACATATATTATTCATTTTAAGTGGTTTTGCCAATTTTTTTAAATGAATTTTCCCTGTAGTTGTGTAAAAGTATTTTTACTTCGTCTGCAAAAAGACTCTCGCCCGCATAGTGTAAACCTTTTGAACTGTTTTCGCTCCCTAACACTATCTTATCAAAGACGTAACTACAAATAGAGAATTGGCGAGCGCGTGAACCATTTTTTCAAATTGATTTGACATACACAAACACATACACGTGCATAGTCAGGTAAACATTTACAGTTACAGTTAGTTCATGTTCTTTGCAAAACCAGCAACTACAACAATTACCTATTCGGGTATACTTAAAAGTATTAAGGCTTTAGCTTTACAAAACATCACGTTAAAACGGTAAACAGTTGCCTTTCTCCCAACTGTGTACTTAGCATGGCTCGCCCTGCATTTATTGTTTTGGTTGTAAACATCAGATACAGCTACAAAGTCATGGAATTACAAATACAATTTCTAATTTCCAATGGCGCCAATATAAAAGCGATCAGCTAGTCAGCATGACGATATTTATTTTTAATTGCAGCGATTTCAATTAAGCGGCTTTTCAATCTTATTCATTGCTGGCCAATGTACATAGTTGTAGTTGTTGCCTTATTTGCCATTAATGTGTGTATAAACAAATTCGGCAATAATGGCAATAAAAATTTCAACGCCAACCTTAAATGAAATACAAAAACGAAATACAAATATTGAGAATTTAGGAATAAACATTGACATGGCTTTAGAACAAAAAGGCCAGACAGATGAAATATTTAATAATTTAAATAAAACTCTCTCTCCCCTTAGTTATCTGTGTTTGTTCAGCCGACGCAAGAATATATCGAACCCTAACCGAACAAAATCCGTGAGAACATTGAACTTCAGAGAGTTCTTTGTTTTATTCAACTGTGTGTTATTTATGTAAAGTAATTCTTATCTCCTAAAGCCTCTTTTATCATATTAATTAACAAAGGTTGACATAGCAGTCATTACAGGATATTCAAGAGCCGGGCTGGACCGACTTTAAGTCGTTAATCTTCGTTTGAATTTTGTAGTTTTCAGTTTAGCACGAAATTGGGTCGGTATTTGATTCGAAATATAAAAGTCATTTATTAATAATTGTTTTTCATAAATCAAGTGACAGGATCTTAATCTAAAGTATAACGTTAAGGTATTACCTATTTATAACTGAAAATAGAGTGGGATTCTGGTGCGTCAAATTATTGAAAAATGTTAATCAAAATATGTACTTCAAAAAGGGTACGTGAAAGAGTTTATTATAAAAAAAATGATAGCAAAAACTAAGGATAAAGATATACGAAGAAGTGACCTCTATTGGCCTATCCTCAAGCTCGATCTGCTGGTATTATTGGAATTGAAACAGTTTTGAATATTTAAAAACTTTTAGTTGTAATTAGAGTTCAGTTTTTTATTTTATTTAAATGTTTATTTCCTATTTTTTTTTTGTCGGTTGACAACTATATATGTATGTATATATACCCGCATTTATAAAACGGCTGTGAATGGGTTTCCGCAAATAAGTACTCGTAGTGTATCATGTCCCCATTGTATTGACGGCTTTTTATTGTCGGCGTATGTTTTGTGTTTGTGGTTTCATTTATTCGCATATTTATCTAATCTGCCTTCTATTCAGAGAAATTGTATGTTTGTTTATATTGCTAACAATTCCAGTGCCTATTTGCAAAATAGTTTTTCTACATTATTTATTTAGATTTGATAACCATAATCATATCTAATGGGCAGTGGAATGTATGAGTGTAAATGTTAATATGAGCCATGCATAAATATTTGATTTTTATTATGCACATATGTATATGATATGTAATATGTTTATTGAACCTGGATAGACTTGCCATATGGAAAAGATAATTTAACAGAAAACTGATTATGGGGCTATTGAAGCTATTAATATATTTATAATGACTCGAAAAGAATGCTATCCTTTTTGTCTTACTCTTTAAATAATTATTTAATGATTGCACGAAAACTATTGCACACAATATTCCTTCTGTTTTTCTTATACTTGATGAAACATTTCAAAAAACAAAACATAATATTGAAAAAAAAAAAATGCATGGGAAATCGAAGCCATGAAATAATAGCAATTAACTTTTATAGATATCTTGAAAGCGCGTGTTCAAGAAAGTTTGGTTAGACGGCAGCCATTGCCTGAAATCGATTTATCAGAAATAATTGCTTGCCGTTTGTGTATCCAAATGCACCGAAATGTGAAGTGAAACTGAATTCGCAAGAAGGATCGATTTTGTGTGAGTGAATTGTAATTCCCTGGAAGCCTATATTCGTATTCCCAATACACTTTTTAAGCATGCACTCAAACTACAATGCTACAATGCTCTTCACCTACTCCGTTTGGGCCTTTAAGTTTTAACATTTAAGTTGCTTTTATGGGAGCGCGTTGCCATTAAATTATGCCAAGGCATTGAGACCGCAAAAGCCTTGGTCAACCTACTCGACTGTGACCCACACACATACATATATATTTACACAAACAAGCACACACACACACACACACACGGACCCACTTTCCATTTATTTTTTCAACCTCCAATGGGCCAAACAATTTCGTGCCTCGGCGAGTTGCGTGGTCCGTGGTGTTGAGTGTGTGTGTGTGTGTGCGTTGGTCGCATTATTAAGAGTTCTTCACAATTATTGTTTTATTTATTTATGCGATTGTCTGCAGTACGAATATGAAGCGTGGCAACTCCTTTATTTACAAAGTAGCTTTATCTGACTGCGTACTTTTTTCCCAATACTCGTATGTATGTACTTGCTACTGATTTATAAACTTTCTTTTCATAAAAGTTTATTTCTTACAATGTTGCCAACATTTTTTACATAATGTCTTCATAGCCTTTCTTTTGTTTGCTTTCCTCTCGTACGTATTTCTTTTGATCTCTCACATTCGATTTTTGACCCACTTTATTTCTATTACTTGCGCCAAAACTCACTCACCCACTTATTTACTTATCTTATGAGCAAACTTGTCTCTGCCATTTTGTCTCTGTACCTCGAACCTCTTGTTGTCTGCCATAATATGTGCTCTTGTTGTTGTTGTTGTTGCTGTTGCTTTTTGCGACAGTTCGGCGCTCATCGGACGCCATCGCCGGTCATTACCGTCTGGCACAACATTTTATGGCCTTATTTTTGTCAATTCTTTAGAATTTCTGCCTCATATTGCTTGCGGAATGCTATCAGAGCGCCATTCTTTATAGAGGAGGGCCGAAAGTAGGCATTTTTATGAGCAATATTTTGTGAAAACTTTAACAATTGAAATGATTAGGAGAATTGCACTGCGCTCGATGGTTAAAATGCTGGAACACTTTAATAAATTGCGCCGGAATTTAATCAACGTTTAGTCGATGTCTTCAAAAATTAAGGCATAAAATGTCTATGCCTTAGTTATGTTTAGTTTGCCAAAATAGTTTTGATTTCCACCATAAAACTGTTAACTGTTCCAGCGCCATATGAAGCTGAAGGCATGATTGATGAAGTGTCAAAATAGTTTTGTGTTTCAGCTAAATTTTTGAGGTGCTGATTGTAGACGTAACATTTATCTTAATGTGACAGAGAGTTCGGTTGATTAATGAATGTTTGATAGCATGTATTAATTCCATGTTGTTTTTATCAGTAGATTAAAGGCGTTTACGTTTCTAGATATGGCTAAATTGAAGAAAACGTCAAATCAAAAGTTGTTGTCTATAAATGGAAATGTCTAACTTATTTAAAACTTGATAAAGAAGCTCTTTAAAATGTTGTGGCTTTGACGCAGTCATGAGATAGTTTGACCCTTTATTGATGGAAAAAAAAAAAAATAATTTAAAGACAGTGACCATATAAGTCCTTGGTCAAACAATCACCGTCGAGCAACGACTTCATACCACATAAAAATGTGTAAGTTAGGAAATACAAGTATGGTTATATTCGTATATGTCTTAATGAATCCAGTCAACCGAATTTAAAAGCATTCTGCTTAATAACTCAACAAATGAAGTGCAAATAAGTTAATTACTCCGCACATTTTGCAAATGAATTGGAAATTGTAAGAGGGCGGTGCCCAGGCCAAATGTGTTTCCACCAGTTAAACAATAGAATAAAGTCTCATTCATACTTTTCAAATTCCTTGCTAAGTTAACTGAACTTTAACCTTTATGAGATGCGATATCCAATGTTTGCTTACGAGCTTGAACAAAATTTATGAGAACATGAACCCCTCACATGGCCCACCACAACTCACAGGCAACTCATTCGGCGGCAATTAGAGGTCGATAGACGGAAGTCCGCAGTCTTTTCTGGATAGATGGCACGAGGCACGAGGATGGCAATTAGGAACACATCATTACACGTGTCAACAATGTTAAAAGGTTAATTGTGAGCAGCAATATCAGCAGAGGCTGAGGCATTCGGAGTGCCTTTCCAATGGCATTGTTGAATTAATGTTTGTTTTTAATAATAAACTTTTTTTTACTGAACGCAACATTGTTGTAAATTGTTCCAAGAATCTTGCGCCTTAATGAAAAACTTAGCTCGTAACTTTTGCGGTTTTACAGCCTCCGAACAAGGGGCAAAGTTTTCCACCGAACACCTTTGCCACATTTTACGATTGCAGATGATGAAGTTTTTGTGTGTCAAGTGTTTGGCATACACTTGCACATTTCACAATTGGATTGCGGCCAAGTGGTGGGGGCGATTGACGGTTAAGGCTGTACTGGGGCTTCTTTCAGATTGAACCTGAACGTACCAGAATAAGAAAGCCTTTTACCTTACCTTGTTGCAGACTTTATGTACCTTTGTAAGGACAAATGTAATTTAACTTTCGTAATATATGTTTTAAAACAAATAGCTAACAGCATGGAAACTTAAGTGAATTCGCATAATTAAAGAATTTGTTTATGTCAAATCAAATCATTCTCGATAGTTACCTATCCCTGAAGTCCTTGAAGCAATGCTTTGTTTGTTAGGAGTAGTAACAGGGAGTTTTTACTATCCAAAATGAATAATAATTGACAATTCCGTGATGTTTTTCGTACAGATTTAATTTCCCTGGGAGGCTATTTCTCTTCTTAATTTTTTTTAACGACATTATCGAGTGATTCAAACAGCTTTACATATTATATCACTTATATATTAAACATCTTAAGCTTTCTTTCAATTATTATCAGAGAATTAATAGATTCAGAAAACATAATACTATTTATGAGTATTATATTCCTATATTTCAAACATTCCAGCGTAGTTCATTTTTTATTATCTTAATAAAAACTATGAAAAAATTTAATAAATTGTTTCTTAAACAAGAGAGAACGCTACAGTCGAGCAAGCCCGACAGTGTAATACCCTGTACCCAGGTAAACTTCCGTCACTGAGTTATATGCGCCCATAGCAGCAGTAAAAAGAGGAAGAAGAAGAGCGAACTTGTTTCTGCAGTTTGGGGGGGTTGTACTGGCGAGAATTCGTTTTGCTAATTACTTTTCTTAGAATTGACCGAATTGAATAAAATTATAAACAACAGTAGACAATTATATATAAATTATGTGTGCAAAGTTTGGTTTAGGTAGCATTTGAAATGTGGACGCTATTGACGAAATTCTGTAGCGGGAGAAGGGGGGAAAAATTCCAAAAAATAAAATAAACTCGTCCTTTCTCGGACCTAGGAGAATCTGGATGCCAACTTTGGTTATTCTAGCTTTTATAGTTTCTGAGATCCTCGCGTTCATCCAGACGGACGGACAGACGGACGGACGGACGGACATGTCTAGATCGATTTCTCTCGTCATGCTGATCAAGAATATATATACTTTATGGGGTCGGAGATGCTTCCTTCTGCATGTTACATACTTTGCACAAACCTAATATACCCTTTTTACCCTACGGGTACAGGGTATAAAAATGTATAAGCCTGCTACGCCAATTCTGAAATTTCTTCAATAATAGTCACCCATATGAACTTTCACTGTACATAAGTACATAACCTATGTATATGTACATACATATGTATACATGTATATACATACATATGTTGGGGTAAATGTGGCCTTCACAATTTGGGGGCACAATCCACGTCAGCAGCCGGCACAATAAGTTATCAGAGATGTTGTTGTTGTTGCTACCGTTGTTGGACCCGCGACAAGCCAACTAGACGAAAAAGTTTCAAGGCTAGCATAATTATATGGCAGCTGAATAAGCGACTTGCAGGCTTAAAGCTCACGCCTATCAACAACAACAATAAGTTCGCCCCCGCGTAGGAGTAAACGAGCGTGCATGTGTGGGTGGATATAAGTATATTCATATATAGTACATGTGTGTGTGTGTGTGTTTGTTTGTGTAATGGTGTGTCGAGATTTTTGTTAAAGCTTTAACAAAAACAAAAAAATCGGAGCGCACTTTCAGGTGCATGCAAAAATTTCAATTTGCATTCGCCACTTCACAAGAAGAAGGGTCGTCACCTAATTTTAATTAAAAATGTAATATTAAAATTAATTAAAAATACCTTTTTGCACTTTGTGCCTCGATTCGTGCTCTTTCCCGTTCTCACAATCTATTTGCTCTGCTCTTTCTCTTTTCCATTACAGCCGCGTCACTCTGCCATTAACTGTGGAAGAGGTGGGTACTCGGAGCATATTGAGTTGCTTCCCATTTGCATATAGCGCGTATGTTAATGGCCTTTCGTCTCATTTACAGTATCAAGTTGCACAATTATTCTCAGTAGCCGAGGCATCAAAGGACAATACGGGCGGTGGCGAGGGCATTGAGGTGTTAAAAAATGAACCCTTCGCCGATTATCCCTTGCTGGGTGAGTCAGTAACTGTTTTATTATTTAGCTTGTCTTGTTTTAATTGACCCTTGAACTTGCAGGTGGAAAATACAATTCCGGTCAGTATACGTACAAGATCTACCATCTGCAATCAAAAGTTCCAGCGTATATAAGACTTCTGGCGCCCAAGGGCTCTTTGGAGATACATGAAGAAGCATGGAATGCTTATCCCTATTGTCGAACGATTATAACGGTAATTAAACTTAATCACTCATCGTATATTTCAAATGTTTTATTTTGGAAGCCGTGAAAAAAGCGTACCTATGGTTGCTATAGTATGTTTTCTTACACCTTTACTTAATTGGATTTGATTTTAGAATCCAAAATTCATGAAAGATGGATTCAAAATAATCATCGACACGTTGCACGTCAGCGACTCGGGTGACTCGGAGAACGTAAGTCTAGAAATGTATACAGTATTTAACTAATTTATGTTTTCGTTTTTGTTCCTCCAATCCACTCACTAACATAACCACATTCAAATTGTATTCAAAATTTATAATTTCCTTGTGCAATATCACTTCAAAATGTAAATGTTTCGCTTTTGTTTTAACACTTATAATACAAAGAATCCGGGATATATGGATGACCACTTTATCTTGAATATTGATTCGTTGCATTACGAATCAGATCTTGGCACTAAAGAGAACGTGAGTTGGGTATTGGCACTTAATTTAACTTTCATTTCATTTATTCATGCACATACTAATTTTGACATCAAATATAAAAAAATGAATTGCATTTAAACATTTTATTTGGTTTTCCTCTGTCCGATCGATTGCAGGTGCACGAACTGACGCCTGACAAGCTGAAAGTACGGGAGGTTGTACACATTGACATTGCCAATGATCCGGTATTGCCCGCGGACTACAAGGCCGAGGAGGATCCAACACTGTGCGTTACTTAAAAATTGTTACCAAAGAATACGTTAATTAAATACGTTGGTTGCTTTGCAGCTACCAATCAAAGAAAACCGGACGCGGACCACTGACGGGTGATTGGAAAAATCATGTCAATCCTGTAATGACGTGCTACAAACTGGTCACATGCGAATTTAAATGGTTCGGCCTGCAAACGAGAGTAGAGAACTTTATACAAAAATCAGAACGTCGACTATTTACAAACTTCCATCGGTAAGTATTAAGGGCCAATTAACTTAAGTTGTCGGCATAAAGAAATGAACTGGAACAATATTTTAATGTTTAAATGACTCGAGCAACTTTATTTGAAATATATTTTTAAGTTTATAATTCTAATGTAAATACTCGTATATTTCAAAATAAGTTTTATACCTTAATTTTAAATATGCTTTCTAATTATGATTTCATTTTCTAAAATGTTGTTTTTGCTTTATTATACAAGTATATTTAAAGTTTTTAAAGCTACTTATATATTTATATATACATACATACGTATTAAATGAATATATGTTTTATTAAATATATATAGATTTTCATTTAACAAATTTTGTAACATATTTTGCAAATATTTTCGAAAAACTATTTTTGTTTTATTTCTAAAATATTTGTTTAAATATGTATATGTTCTCTAATAAATTTTTGATTTAAATATATATTTAAATTTGAATAAATACATAGATACATTTTTTAAGTATTTTATATTGAAGATGTTTTAAATATATATTTTTAAAATTAATTGTGGAAATATAATTTTAAAATATTTTCGATTTAAAATATTTCTATTATGGGGTGTTCAGCCAATCAACTTTTACCTCTATAACATTTTATTGTATTTTTTTTAATAAATAATATCATATTTATGTTATTCACAGCCAAGTATTTTGTTCAACTGATCGCTGGTTCGGTCTAACAATGGAGGATATTCGCGCCATTGAGGACCAAGTTAAGGACGAACTGGATAAGCAACGTCAACAGGGAGAGGTGCGGGGAATGCGTGCTGATAGTGATTAAATCTAGTAGAACAATTTTTAATAAAAAAAATTAATTAAAATACAAATAAAACTTTACAAAGTAAATGAGGAGAAATGCATAAATAAGTTTAACTAACACCAATAACAAAAACAAAAACAATGAAATTGCCTACAACAACAACAAGCAACACCAAGTGTATAACAACAACCACAAAAAATAACAGCAATAACATAAAAAAAGGCTTAGCTCTAGTGTAGCCCTCGTTTTCCAACTAAAAGAAGAAAAAAGCATAAACAGCAACCACAACACTGAACTACCACGGCCGTTAGTTAAGTTAATAGTATGTTATTTGTAGTCACGACACAGACCCATGAAAGGACACCACCAACAACAACAACAAGAAAACACGGAATGCAATTATATTGCACATTTAAGTTTCTTTTGTTTATTTTATTTATATTTTAAATGCCCTACACTAGCGCATACTTATTATGTAAATGATATAAACGCGCTATAAAAAAACATTAAAAAAAAAAAAAACCAAAAAAAGCGAAGCACATAAGGGTTAAATATATTGGTTTTCCTTCTTGTCAGATTTCTTAGGTACTATACTTTAAACTTGTTATTTAAGTTGCAAACTAAAATGTAATTAATTGAAAACTGAAAGTTAATGTAAAAAGTTAAAAGAGTAACTAATTTAATTACTTAAATAAAAGTGAATTGAATAAAAACAAACAAAAATCGAAAACAAAGTAATAACATCAGATATATAGCAAGAATCGAGAACTAAGAGGAATAGCACGGGGGTCTTTATATAAATAGTATACTATATATGTATAGCAGGGAGGCAAGGGCAAATCGAATGTGGCACATACACACACACATAATAGCACCACATATAGGTTTTTAGATTGGCACGGTAGTAGTGATTTACTTTTGATATTTTAACGCAGTTCTCGATACACTTTCCAGTTCAGTTTTCAACAGCATTATGCGTCTGCGAATGCGCAGATATTTGTATTTCTGCGATTTGAATCAGATACTTCTTCGCTCAGTTCCTTGCTTAAAGATGCCGATAGACTTTGACAGAGAAGAAGAGAAAAGTAACGCACAAATTTCAAAACGAACCTAAAACTACTGCTTAGTTCTATAAGCACACTCAGTGAGGAAGTTAGGTGAATAGAAAATATAAATAAATACAAAATAAATATGTAAACTGAAATTTATGGCAGTTTTAGTTCAAGTATTAAGGCATTATTGCTGGCGAATGTGATTCAAGAGGGATAAGTCATTTTTGTGCGCTTTCTCAACTTTCATCTTAAATATAAATATACTGCCAACAAAAAGGGATGTATCAAATATAAAACTATTAATACGATTGCGACACTATTAACACACTACAAGCCCTAACGCTCCTCCTACCTTGTAAAAATAAGCAAAGCCCAAAAATATTTGCCCCACTTTCTGCTCAAAAAAAAAAGAGGAAAAAAAAACAACCAACAAAGAAACTTAAAATGCATGCACATACATACTTATAAGCATTTGTATGTGTGTGTTTGCGTGTCTCCGTGTATATCTATCTATCTATAAAACGTCCATTTTAAAGTGAAACCTACAAAGAAACTGCTTTCAAGCACACTTCACAAATTAGTGAAACTATATTTTCATTATCTCTTAAAGTACACACATACATACAAACTGTAAACACACTATAACACAAAAAAAATAAATAAATAAAGAAAAGAAAATTAAAAAAAGAGAAGCAAACATTTAAAGCAAAAGAATTTAAGTGAACCTCATAAGCTTAAAGCAGTCAGCGTAATAATTTCCAATTTATCGTCAGCGGCAACAATTTTCCAAGATAAGGAGCATAAAGAGTTTTAAATAAGGATATTATTATAGGGTATTACACGACTTTGGCGGTATGCTTGAGCTGAAATTTAACAAATTGCTTTTATTTTTATAGGCAGCCGAGTGTTTTGATTTTTGTTGGCGCAATAAAAAATAAAACATACAAGAATATACACAAAAAGAACAAAATTGAAAAGCATATATGTATTGTACAAACAATTCATTTAAGTACGTTATGCGAAATATACTTATAAATATAAATAAATATACATATGTAAAAAGTAAATTGTTATTTGCTGGAAGTTCGCGTTCGTTCTCGTTTGTTCCAAATTTTTTGCTCGCTCGTTCATTTATTCAAATCAAATACTATGTGTGTGTAATTTACATAAATTTCTCCAAGTTAATCTGAATGTCTTCATGCATTTAATGGTTTTTGCAAACAAAGGGTATATAGATAAACCTTTGCAAAGAGTATCGATGCTTCGGCCATACCGAAGATGTCATCATTTTTGAAAAATACATATTTTTTGTCTTTCAGCAACTTGAGCTTCAATTTAGTTTCTGCTGAGTGCCGCTTTCTACCTAATTCTAACTAACTCCTGTAGTCCGAAACTATTTCTAAGCACTCATTCAAAACATGTTTATAAAAAAATAGGGAATTCATTTAGCGCACCTGAAAATATAACCGTTTTTATTTAGGGATTGAACAAATTGTAGAAAATTAAATTGCTATAACCAACCAACCTTTCATTTCTGAATGATTGTTGACTTTCAAGTTTCCAAATTCTGAATTCAAGTACAATATTTTTCTTAAACTAATTATTAATTGTAAAGAAATAATAAATTCTTGTTAAATGTGTATAATAAAGCAAATGTAATAGAAATGATAATAACTAACAAATAAATATATATATATATTAAAATATACTAATAACACAATTTTTAATAAGCCGAAACCATATATTGATAAACAAAAAAGTTATAAGCTGTTCAAAACAATGAAAATACAAATTGTATTGTAGAAAATATTTTAATTAAAAGACGAAATGAAAAATAAAGCATTATTAATTATACAACAAAAATTTGGCACTATTCTTTTACAAAATAAAAAATCCACAATTTAACTATTACAATTCTTCTAGAGTAAGATTAAAATATGGGATGGGAATGTCTCTAGTCAGCCAACCAGAAGAATTGGCGAACTTCCTCCTCATTCGAGGGACGACAATGCGGGGGCGGTACGGCACCGTCGCTCATTAGCGAGTGACGCAATATTTTCATCGCCTGCATATTACGTTTAGCGGCCAACGACAAATCTATTATCCGCTCCGGATAGTGTAGGCCAATGACGCATTCGTAGCGCTCCTGTTGCTCAACGCTCATTCGCCAGGGTTCATGCCTGCAAGAAAGAAAAGAAAGAGGACGTGTGTGAAGTTATTAATCGAAAATGGATCGATATTTTCTGGTGACACCAGCGTTATCGTAAACTTATAGAGAATGTTCTTAAGTAGCGGAAATATTTATTTAGATAAGGTTCGGTTTTTTAATTTGAGAACCCATTGATAAATTAATTAATTACAATAAATTCAGATAGGATTATTTCCTAAGATGCTCTTCATAAAACGGATTGAATAGGGAAACTATTCTAAAATAAAACAACGTTTGCAAAAATATATCGATATGGGTGACGAATTTCTCAACATAATCGTTTTTGAAAATTGACTCAGGAAAGATTTTAACTTTGAAATATTAAAAAGTTTAAAAAAAAAAATAAAAAATGTTTCCCATAACTAATCGATGTAAATAGTCTACTTATTCCTAAATAAATCTGAGAATGTACAAATCTGACCTTGAAAATCAGCTCCTAAAATAATATGTTTTTGATTTCGAAAATGGTTTATAAGAGATTCAGCTAAATACAAATTAGTTTTTCTAACTTAGTTTTCGAATAAATAGCTTTTGAAGTTACTAAATTGTTCCTAGCATGAATTGCATTAATCTGATAGTCCCAAATAGTATTCTATAAAGATTCCATTTACAATTTGGAAGCATTTCAAATTAAACTGAACACTGAACGCTTTAAAGCTTACACAAATTCCTTAGGGACATGCTTCAATTCCGGAACATACTGCTTCACATAGACACCCTTGGGGTCTAGGCGTTTGGCCAAAGCTACTGGACACGTGACCAGCGAGGAGTCGAGCAGCCGTTCAAAGGCGGACGAGGAGACCCACATCCAGTTGCCAGCACACACAGACCAATCGGCATCCAACAGATATTTTAGGAAATGCTTTAATCCATGTTCCCAGTTCTGCCAAAGACCACCACGGGTGAGGAAAGTGGCGACCGTGTTGCGTAGAGTGTGGTGGAGCCAGCCTTCAGCCAAAAGCTGACGCATGGCCCCATCGATAAGGGGAAACCCTGTCTGGCCCAATTGCCAGCGTTGCAATTGGTCCGGAATCGGCTTGGCCCACGGTATGGTCAAACAGATCTCATTGCCCTCCATGCGATCATAGTTGATATTATTAACCGACATGGTATAGAAATATTCGCGCCATATCAGTTGACCCGTAATATGGGCACCTCCGGTCATTTGCACACCCCGGACACAAGCCCTGAGTTGGACATTCTTGAAGAGATCGTGGACGCTCCAATAGAATCGACGTACAGACAGACATCCAAAGCGCAGATGGGCGCTCATTGACTTCGGCGTATCAAGAATATTGGGCATGGCCTGATTCGGTAGATAGTATCCGCGCTCGAAGGCATGCTGTTCCACCTTTAGACGCTCCTCGAGCAGCAGCAGCGCCTGCGTCTCACCCCCGCGCCAATTTATCTTTGCCAAATAGCCCATATTGTCGCTATAGATGTTGAAGTCTTCCGGCGACGGTTGCTTATCGAAAACGCGCAACTCGCTCTTTAGTTGAGGGGATAGCTGCAAGAAGCTCACACCCTCGAAGTTCGCATCATAGGCCGGCCTTGGAGGCAATCCAATGATCTGTACAGTGTGCTGGAAATGTATAATAAGAGAGAGCCGCAAATTAGAGAGATATTAAAAAATATACATTTCAAAAAAAAATATAAGCTTAATCATTTTTTTAAATTAAAATTATTAAAATTTGTTTAACGAATTTTGACTTACCAGAAACATTTGATAGGTAAGTGGCGGTATGCCGCCATTGGTATCGATTACCAGCCGCGGATCCCATAGCGTATGCGATACTTTTTCCACATACTCAATGCCCAGCTCGCAACAGAGTTGCTTAATGGCTTGATCGCGTTCGTTCCAAATCGGTTCGCAATCCTGTTCTACACAAATCTTCAGCAAACGCACATGCTCGTTCAGACGTCGGAATATATGAGCCGGTTGACCTTGAAAAACATACAGACGTCCGCGGTTGTCAGTTTCCGCTCTCAACTGCTCGTCGATATCTTGCAGTGAGTCGATGAGAAAGCGCATCCGATTGTAACCCACACTCTTTGTGCCTTAAAAAAAATAGATAGTGGAATAATAATAAGTGTATAATTTTAATTTTACAATTAAAAATTTATTATCGTTGGTCTAAAAATATAACGTATACCAAATTTATATTTTGGATTTAAAAGTAATTGTTTAATAATGTATCGTTATTTTAACTTTATTTCAAAATTTCTCCTATCTGTGTTTTAAAAATTAAATCTTTTTCAACTTCACAACAAATTTATTTCGTAAAAATTTTTATAATGTTTTCGAATTTCTGTTCAAAAAATGGGAAAAATACTTTAAACATATCATTTTTGTGGTTTTAAAATCTTTACAAATTTTATGCAATAATTTATAATTTAAATTATCATGAAATATTTATAAATGGGTTTTAGATTATATTTATAATGTTGAATAGGTAAACAAAATCAAATTGTTTAAATTAATTAATAAATAAAATTATAGGAATTTAAGAATTATAAAAAATTTATTGTAAAATTCGTTGAATTTTGCTTGTAGAATATACATAAAAAATATCACTATTTTAATCTCAGTTCCTAAAAAGCTTCAAATATTCATGGCAGCATGTTGTAGATGTTTTACAAATTTTGAAAAATGAAAACTCATATATTTTTTAAATAATTCAATGTTGAAATTTTAAAACTAAAATGAATTATTAGAAATTCAAACCATTAATTTATTTGTGAAACAAATTTTTTTAGAATATAAATATTTATTTTTTAGATTTATAGGGAAATCCACATACGGCTGCTTGCAATATGATACCTGAATTTCAACTTCAATGTAGAATCTGCAAATTTTTAGATTGTCTTTTAATTATTGAGATGCGTGTTTTTTATAAGAAAATCAAATTTAACTGGTATTTCGCTTCAAAATCTTTAAAATACATAGTTACTCACAAAGCAGCTCCTTCTAATTTTTGTTTACAACATAATACCTGTACTCTGTACCTTCCTTTCAGAGTACGTTCTCTTAAATGGCTACTTGTAGATCCCCCGCTTATAAACTTTGAACTAAGAAAAAGCCCATCTGGGAAAGGTTATTGTACCCCATACGACAACGCCCGTGAATGTATGTAGATATGAATGCTGCAACTTTGAATAAAGTGCTGCGCTTGCATTCTGGCGCTTCGTCAGCCGACACCGAAGAGACGAGCAAGCAGTATGTTTACAAATAAAAGATGCGATAATCAGCGAGTCTTACTATTAAATCATACCGCCGGCTACTTGGCCATGGCCGGAACATTTGCAATTCTATTATGTATTGAATTTCTCTCGTGCACGCGACGAGCGCACTTACAACGTTTATTTTTCTGCCCTTCTTCTCCTCCTCCTCCTCTTCAGTTTTGTGCTTCAATTTAGCCATTTAAAGGCGCTATATATTTATGTATTGAAAAACTTTATTAATTTACCTGCACTCTCGCCATCGAATATGAAAATTGGTAGTAGAGCGACTCCCTGATCTTTATCAGCCAGGGCTGCGATCAAAGCGGGATTATCGTGCAGCCGTAGGCCATGTCGGAACCAAATAACATTCGCGCAACGGCTTGCCATTTTGGCAAAATGTTTGCAAATTCTCCTTTGATCTCTACAGATGCGTTTCGATAGCTCGAAATTGGCAATTGTTTTTCGTGTTGTAATTCTGTTTTCTAGTTTTTCCGCACACGCGTTGCGCTCACGTCGATTTCTAATTGGCGAATGGAACGCTGGACGGTTTCTCATCGCCGTCGTCGATGTCGTCGTTCTCTGCGTCAACACCAACACAAGCCCACAATGTGCGAACGCGTGCACATGCGTGTATGTGTGTGTGAGTGTGTATGCATGCCAAACTACTTTATGTACGGTTCGTTGCATTTTGAGCACTGCACTGACAACCCACCCCCCGCACACGCGGCTCTCTCACTCAATCAGTCAGTTAGTCAGGCAGCCTCATCCCACCTCGCCGCAGCCCACAACTGTTGCTGCTTATTACGTCGTTGATTTGTGTGTGGCGCAGGCGAGCTTTTTTTTACAGCCATTGGCATGGTAACCCTAAATTGCCGCCTAGTTTACAATGCGGATTCAAGCTCGTGGCACACACTCTCCAACGTATGTTTACAGTTAAGTTCAATTTTGAATTTGATTTGTTCTCAAAATATAGTTTAAAGCAATCCTAGCTTCGAATGCAAATCTATTCATAATAAATAAATAGTGTAATAAACTTCTTTTATGATTTTTTTTTAAATATTCTATTCATTTTCGGGTAAGATTTATCTCCTATAGTAATTTTATAATTTTTCTCCGCATGTAGACAGCTAAAAACTAGATTTTAAAACATATTTGGTTCAGATAGTGAGTTTTTATACTATAGTATTAGAAAAATTGTCCGACTTTTCAGTCTATTTTTTGTGTCATTATTCTATTGTATGATCTACTCATTAACAAATTAATTTATATTCCCAGAATTTCGATTATCTCAAATAAATATGTGATTTTGTCTTATGGATGGTTATATTGTTGGTTATACTGATGCGTGGCATACATACTTATATTGAGTAGTGTATTTGTGGGTTTTCATAATCCTTACATATTTCTTATTAGTTTTCCTTTCCTCCCAAAAACAAAGTTAGGCATTTTATTTATATTACAATTTTTTTTTTTCTTTTTTTGTGAGCTTTGGTTTTCATTGAATGTTCTACTTGTATTTCATAACAAATGTTCAAAATGGATCAAATTTTGAATTTTCAGCAAATAAAGTAGTAATAGTGCTCATAAAAAATCTCTTCAAATCAAAATAACAAATATATTTCAACCGCACATTGCCTGATTTTATAAGGAATGTATAATTTTTTAAAGTTTAAATTTAATTTTTTTTTGTTTTTATTAATTTTATTTTCTGATTGTTTCTATTAGCTCTGCTTACTATAAAATGCCATAAAAGGAGAATTAATATCTATAAAAAAAACATCCCAAGCTACATTTTCTTTTAGAAGTTGATCAAAATTTAGTGGTCATAGTGCTTCTTAAAACAGAAATACTGGACTCCATGTGTTGTTGTTTCTATTACTATAGAATAATTAGGTGTATTGAGGATTTCAGTGGGAAATGTTTAGAATTAACTCTCTTTTTGTTTGGACTCTGAAATACGTTGAATGTTTTGTTAAAGACTTTCTGGCATTTCTAAACTGTTCCAAAATACCTCGATAATCGCTTTCGATCTAAAATCCTTTGTGGCTTGTCAAACTGCATATGTCGGTAAGTGTATGTGTGTGGGATTCCATTGTTTTCCCAGCAATAAAGATGCAAGCTTTGCATATCGTCATTGTTGCCTATCAACGTCAGTGGCCACGGCAAAGCTCTGGGAGGCACGTGACACACGTGTTCACAACACGCAACAATAAAACATTGCAAGGAATAGCGGCTGGCTCGACGGTTGGATGGTTGGGAGGTTGCGAATATTGTGCCTGCACGACGGGCGTTCGCACATTACAGAAAACATGACAATGGGGCAGCAATAACGCACAAACAGGACCTGGTAATCAAAGCTAACGACCGAAATATGGGAGCAATTGCATACCTTGATGGCAAAAAATAATTATACGGTTTTGACTGAAAATAAAAAAATAAAGCGATTAAAAGAAGTAACTAAATGTTAGAAATTTTTCAATAGGGAAATGGAAGTAAATGGAAAATTAAATGGAATGTTGAAAATAAAAAATAAATAAATCAGATTTAAATAAACGCTATTAGAGAGATGAAAGACGAAGCGAAGACATGAGAATTTGTATTAACCAATTACGCGGTATCTAAATTGGTAGATTTGCATCAATTCCAAAATAATCTCTTTCAAAAGTTTTGGAATAGATTTTTATCGAATTGTTGTTAAAATTGTTATCGTTCTTCAGTTTTGATTCATTATTTATTAATATAACCGAATAACATAAACATTTCGTCGAATAGGGGAAAATTTAAAAATTTCAATCGATTTCGAATACTGGAAAGGACTAAAATATTTGGCTTAATACTCAAAAATGGAACAGATATTTTTGACAAAGCTAGCTTGAATTGAATATATCTGAGATATGAGTTATAAAATAGTCTTTCTTTTATATTTATTTAGGTTTTTTTAAAATAAATAAAGACAAGATAATACTCCTCTTAAGTCTAAAAAAATCACTTCAGTATTGAAATTTTATTTTGTTTCTCTATGAAACATAATAAGTATATTGGGAAATAATAAACAAAGATTATTATATTATTTTATTTCATTATCGAAAACTCGCAAATTATATTTAAAAAGAAGATCCTTGGTTCATTTTGGAATCCACAAAACATGTTGGGCCCACATTGCCGCATTGCTGCACTGCCACTGTTGCAGCGTTTAAAATGAGAGCTCAGGTGCACCATACTGGTCGGGTCTTTCAGAATTTCTAGCAACATGCGCCATTGCTTGTTTCATTCTTTCGCTCAACACGTCACCAAGGAGTTGACGGGCATGTTTCCTTTGTGCAATCAGCCCACACACACCCAAACACACACACTCAAATGCACACAGAGGATATCTTGTTGGGTGGTGGGTCGTGAGTGGGGCAGGACCTGCTGGTGCACTTTCTTTATGCCTCTCCATTCGCATTACATCATTGCCAGCACGGGGTCTCTGTAACAAATTTTAAATTGCAGCTTGTTAGCGCAGATTGCACGGAGAAGGAATTGTTATATGATTTCACATTGTCTGCAGTGAAACGATAAAGTTACTCGTATTGTTTACGCTGAAGGCTTTTAAACATCATCAGCGCAGCGAATCAGTGTGCGAATTTTACACATTTGAAGCAACAAGCAACAGCAGTACAAAAAGAAATAACAACAACAGAAAAAAGACTGACAATGTGAAACATGGGCGGAAATGTCAGTAATCATAGAAATTTTTTAGCCCTCGTCAAATCGATTGGCTGAGCAATTGCTCATATGGAGCAAAACAGTTGCCCCAAAAGGCAATCAATTAGAATTACAATATTATCGAAAGCTGCTGCGCAACTTAAAGGCTCCACGGAACAAAAGATTGCTTCAAGATAGAAGCTAACCAAAATTTAAACAAAAGATTGCTTCCAGATACTTCACTTTAAATTTACTTTAATCTAATTATTTGCATTTAGAGTCTTTATTAAATTGTAAATTGTTATTAGTTGTTCCATAACTATGCAGTTCCTTAAAACTAAAGAATGTAGTTATTTTTCAACCCCTTAAATTTTACTCTAAACTGAACAATTACTTCAATTTCGGGCGCTCACAAAAAACTGCTTAAATATTAATCTCTTTCAATATAAACTAAATAAAAAACATAAGGGGTTGTTATACATATAAAGCATTAATTATACTATGTAATGATTTTGTTGTTAGAAAAGAACAATTTTCTTGTCTTTAAATTTCCTAGCTTCTTATCAATCTTTCTGAAAACTCTATTGTTACACTCATGATGGAAAAATATTCAAAAATAATGAAATTAAATCATTTTATGATGTTTAAGACTAAATTAAAAATAATCTGAAAACAATGGAATATTTTCTAGCTGCATAATAAATACTATTTTCGAAAAGTCCAACCCTCCAACCTCTTCTAACTCAATCATATTTTATTAAATAACAGCCTTCATTCTTATTGCTTATTAAAAGTTTTGAACTATCTGGATTACATTCATTTATAATTCAATCAACAGAAAGTCAGTGGAACAGTATTTTTTACCTACGATCTGTATCTGCAAGTTATATTGATGTTTAAGTAACTGACCAATTGGTAAATGTTTAAAATTAAATCTCAAAGTTTTAAAAAACTATATGGTTAAAGATATAAAATCATATAACCAACTTATTTTAACTCTTAAGTTTTAGTTGAATAGTGAATTAAAATGACTCATTATAAATATTGTATTTTTTTTTGTGAACATAAATGTTTCGTAAATAAAATGCTTTGAAAATACGCTGGTCTGTTAAATTTCCAATCATTAGAATTATCATCAACAATCTTGAAGTTTTATCGTTGAATAATCAACCAAGTAATTGGTAACTATTTTTAAAAATGTACAAATAGAGAGATATCTAAAGGTATTGATCTAAAATATTAAATATCATTAGCATTATAAGTAGTTTTCATAAATTAATATTATAAATTTTGAGTAATTCTTGATAATAATTAATTGCAGATTTTTTGTTCATTTCTTCTCTCTACTCTAAACAGCACTTTTATATTTTCTTGAACTTTAAAAACTTATCAAAACTTAAAAACTTATTTACAAATGAAACAATTATATCAATTGAAATTTATTCATCAATTGAAAATCATTTGAAATATTAAAGCATTTACATTATAATTTACTCGTTAATCCAATTAGAAATAATGTTCAATAATATGCAAACGATGCAAGAAATTGCACAAATTTGAATCCCCTCCTCGCTAAGATAAATTGAAGTACAACGAAGCATAATGAATTGAAAGCACTTGCTGTTCATGGAACTAAGACAATAGTTGCGATTAGGGTTTGAATTCCAGAGCAATTATATTGAAGAAGTTCTGGCACCACCCACTCACTACTCAACCTCATCTTAGGACGTTTGTGCCTAAAGTGGCATTAATTTGATGAAACAATAACAAGTTCATTGAATATCCCAACATTGGAGGCCACAAAACGTAAGTTGGTCG